ATCAACAGATTTCACCTAACTTTATTAGGTTAGTTGAAAGCAATAATATTAAGTTTACAAACATACAAAATATTAGGTTCAACTTAATATTATTGCTTTCAACTAACCCAATACAGTTTGGGGAAATCTGTTGACATAATACATTTCATTAAAGTCAACATTTCAGTATTTTCAGTGTAAATGTTGCTGTTGCGTGTGTGTGCAGCCCTCAGGCAGCTGCTATCCTCTGGGTGTGTGAGGCTCGCTGTGCAGCCTGGTGTTAGCTCTGTTGCTCAATGCTACCAGAGAGACTGTAGCCTGAACCGACAGGTGAACCAGTTCATAGAGAGCTACAATAGATCTTAAAAAAGCAGTGCCATGTTTTACATTAACCTATATATATTTTTAATTCTTCCAACTGTTGGCTTCTGGGACTGAGCAATGCCTGAAGTTAGTTGCATTGTGTTGTTACATACACAGAACGTTTACTAAACAGACTTATGAGCTGGTAAAGACGTAATGAAATAAATGGTATTACCAATACATCTGTTTCTTTACTTCTAACTGTATAACATGTTTATCTATAGTTTCCCTGTCAAAGAAAACTAACAAATAAATAGACAAGCATGTTTTTTAAAGCACAAACAGTTTACTAAACAGACTAATGAGCTGGGTAAACTGAAAGCCAAAGTGTTTTCAGATACCCAGCCTCAAATGTTATGCAAATGTGATGTTATTCTTCTGATGTGTAGATAATCACTCAGTGCTTCACTTCACTTTAAAATATGTGTCTTTTACCAACCAGGGAAGAAGGCAGCATATTACCTGCATTATAATGAAATGATGTGATTTAGTGTATTTTTATTCTATTATATATTTATACTTTGATATGTTCTCATGTGATTTAAATGGAAACATTGCATTTTTTATTAAGTTTTACATTCTTGTTGCTTTTATTGTTATTGCTAATTGTGTAGTACCTTGTAACTTTAGGAAAGCTTCGATACAAAAAATATGTAATATAATAAATAGTTTTACTACTACATCTGTTTCTTTACTTTGAACTGTTTCAAAAATTGTTTCTGTAGTTTCCCTGTCAAAGAAAACAAACAAATACATACACAAGCACCCAGAACTAAGTGTAGTAAAGATGCTGTTGATCCATAGAGAGCTGCTCACATATGTACAGGTAATATGTCAAATGCATTTGATTATTCTGGACACATATTGAATGTTGGACTGTTGTATTCCCCCTCTGCCGTTCCTCAGGGTTTCTTTCAGCTCGTACACTGTCCCAGTGTCTCTGACAGAGCGGCTGTACAAGCCTCGCTCTGTTCAACACCGTCAGCACGCCGCTCTGCAGGCCCCGTCATGTCGCTTAAAACACACAAAGCCTGTGCATACTAGTCCACACTCTGCTTTTTAAAGCCTCCAGCATATAGAATAAATCATTCTGGCTTAAAATAATAAAAGGAAGAAAAGCTGTCTTCAGAGTGAGCAAAACAGTGTCCGAATATCTGATTTGCCTGTGGGTTTTTCATGATTTCCAGCTGTGTTATTTCATTGCAAAAGCAAATGCAACAGCTCTAGTCTTGCCCCCCTGAAGAACATGTCTGATCTTGGTGGTGATTCTCCATTCCTTTTCAAAGCCCAACCCAAAAAACTAACCGTCAAAGCCTCTAAAAATACAACTCCAAGAGTCAATAATACAGAAACAATACCATTTTACCCCAGCAGAGAATACACACAGCCCTTTCAACACAAAGACTGAAACATGTTCCTCATATAAAGTACTTTTTTTTTAAGAAAAAGAAGGGAGCACAAAATGTACTCACACAAGCCTGGTCCTGTTAGTCAGAGTACATTGTTTAATGTGTTTGTGGCTGTGCACCACTAAAACAAGTTACAGTGAGTAAAGTTCAATATCTTTACAGTTCCCAGTGAATTGTTTTTTAAATGTAATCCTTTTTTTTAAAGATCCATGAGCAAGACAGAAAAAGACCTGAAGTCTGAAGCTTGGCAAGATGAATTTGTACAGGACAGAAATCATCCAGCATTGAGGTTAAAACCAGGAGTTCTCTAAAAGAACACTGCACCACCACAACATTGCATTATTGTTTACTGCAAGAGGGTAACGGTCTTGTAAAACAAGACAGTGAATCCTCAACCATTCATGTTCATTGTCTCGAATGTACCTGTCGTGGCTGTGCGAGGCACTGACTTTGCCTAAAATATGACTGAAGCCTCCCCGCAGCACAGCAGCCATCTGTCCTGACAGAGGATCTGTCATCTGCCTCATGAATAAACATGAAGAGTATGAAAGATAATAATGGTTGAGTTTTGTGTTCTGTTTTCACAGGGCCACGGCGCGCAGGCCAAACACGACACAATGAACAGATGTCTGCTGAAACGGGCCTGTGCTCATCCCCTGTGTGACTTCAAAGAAGGCTGTGTATTGGATAGAATCTGGCTATATTATTTGTATGATGATACAGGGGTTAGGATTTTAGATAATTCAAAGCAAGAAGATATAACGGAATTCAGAGATCAAATTTAAGAAAAACTGTCAGCATAATGACAAACCCATTTTGTGCATAAAATCTGACTAAAAACACAATTGTTATGCAATCAGAACAGTGAGATCTGCATTTACAATTGTCACAGTCCCAGTCAAATTAAAACATAATATTATTTATACAATATATAATTGGAGAGGGCGCATATTGTTGCAAATGAAATAAAGTGTAGTCCGAGTTAATCCCTGCATCTTTACTATTAATAAAAAATCAATACAGAGAATTGATACAGTATCACAAACCATTAAATGATGATAAGGTACTGTATGGATATTTTCTTATACCCTTATATAAAGCATGCCTATATTAAAGGTGGGGTAGGTAATTTTGGAGAAACCAGCGCGAGTGCGCTAGAATTTGAAAATAGAAAATACACAACCGGAAAAAATCTGCCACTTCCTTACAGAGCCCCTCCTCCAACACACACGAACGCGCACATGACCAATGAGGGCACGAGATAAGTTTCTGCACAGATGGAAGGCTGACAGGCAGGTAGGCCATCCAGTTATTTTAGCCGGGCCGGCTAAAATGATTGGTCGTGCTTTTTACAGTATTACGGCTTCCACAGATGACATTTTTTTATGGATTTTTTGTCAAAGCACTTAAGATATTCATTGCTATCGGGATGTTAAGAGCATTCCATGGAATATAACAAAAAGTGTATCTCGAGCCGGTTTCTCAAACTTACCTACCCCACCTTTAATGATTAAAGATATACTTATATTCCTAAATTACTTTGAGACATCTTGTGCTTACTTCAGATGTGAACATTTCTTTATTTTGTTTGTGCTTCTTTCACTACCTGCCAGGTGTATCGAGAAAACAATAGACTCAGCTGCCAATTATTTCAGCTATTACTAATGTGGTTAATGCATCATCCCTGCAATACAATCTATACTCATTAAGTTTGCAAATTAAAAAACGTTATGCATATGTAGTTTTCCTATAGAGTAGAAGTTAAATCTCATATGTTTGGATTTGGACAAGAAAGCACTCGATACAATGACAACAAAATGTATTTTATACTGCATATGTGTATTACTAGTGAAAACACTTGCTGCACATAATCTATGGGGTTTCACATAGTTAATGTTATTGAATCACATTTCTAAAAGTATGCACAAAAACGACATGCCGGGTGCCTTTATGACTTCACAGAAGTTTTTCGGGTGAATAATAGACACTTCTCCTTATCTCTGGGATAGCAGCAGAAACAGCTGTTGCAGGAAGTAAGAATGATCTCATTGAGCAAGTAGACTCATCCTCACCGCCTAACCTCCGACCTTAATGAATGATAACACTGTCCCTGCATGAGTGATGGAAATAGGGAAGTCACCAAAGGCAGGCCTGCTGTGCTGAGAGCTCGATCCCCGTCCACCAACACTGAAGGCACCTTAACTTAACTGCATTCCTGGCACAGTCGCAAATAATTGATAATCAAATTAATCATAGTTTATGAGCTATCCTTCCACTTTGTGAAGCATGTTTGAAATACATAAATGACAGAAATCAGCCGATCTCACTCACCGTCCGCCCATTAAGCTCACTTCGCCAACAAGGTGTGTAGTGCTCGCAAGAGACAGAGCTCAAGTTTTTACCTTAATTTAAACAACAAATCTTCTTAGTCTGAGCCTTACCTGGCTTGGCCGGCTTTGGAGGAGGCATCGACATTTGCAGGGCTCGAAGATTAAATAAAACTAAAGCTGCAGTGTGTTTATTTCAGGCTCAAACGACGCAGGAGTGGTAACACTTTGCTGCCAATGAGGAAGTGCAGCAGCACTACAGGCTAGCCGGAAAAGTTCGGATGCGCATGCGCAAAGCTATTTCATTTATTCTAACCTAATTTGTGTTTTACATTTTAGATATTTTGATAATATTTCATGTGAAAACCCTAAACATTGTATTTTATTCAAGCATAGCTGTTACTTATCATTAATCAATATATATGAATGTATTGTTTGTTTTTTCGTATTGATTTACAATGCTTACGTTTTAAACATTTATAAAGATGTTTTTATAAAAAATGTGCATAATGAATGTATTCTTAATATAACTATCATTATAAGTAGTTTACATAACCTCACTTTTTGTATAGAATATTTTTAATTTGATTTGTATATTACTTATCCTCATTTCAATCAATTAAGATGTATTTATGTATAATGTTTAGCGATATTTAAAGTGTGTTTTCATCTCATTTGTTTTTAGGTAAGATGCATTTATTAAATGTATTTTTTATGTTTTTGAACAATTTTAAACGCATATTCAATTAGGTTTTTTGTGTATATTTTCTTTAATTAATAGGCATCTGTTGTAATGTTGTAACACTGATTATTGATTCTTTCTGTATTCTCAATGTTCTCAATGGGTGGGTCTTTAGTGACGTAATAGCGTCATCAGCCAATCATGAGCGTTATAAGGCGGAAAAGCCTGAGGGTACAGAGTTGATGTAGCCACTACATGCCTGGCCACAAGTTAAGTTTGCACATGAACTGTACATTAATTAGCTTTTTCTAGTATTTTATATTAAACACTTTGCAGCGAGCACCCCCAGCAGGCTGAAATGAAGACACTCGTTTTGGGAGTTGGTGGGTAAGTAAGCTGTTAAATGTGTTGCTGTATTAACCCTCTCCGTTTGGGATTGTGATTCATCGATCATGAAATGTTTGTTGGTTTATTGTGATGAGTGGGAAATAGAGGGAAACTGGACCACAGTTCTTGCATTAGCCTCCTATGATTAAATTACCTGTTAACATACATCCAGTGGGGGGGCAGCAGGGACTCATCAGATCATTAACATGTGACAACCTTGTGGCAGATAAGACTGATAAGAGGTGGTTATTTTTCAGAGAAAAAGCAACACGTGTAACCATTCTGAGAGTCAAAAAGAGAAATCAAAATGTCCATTTATCTGTTATATCTGACAATGATTCATTGTAAGAATAGAAAACATGTTTTTCTTTAAGGGAATACTCTTTTATAAAGTCTATAATATAGCTTTTCTTGCATTTGAATTCAGCACATTTAAGCTCATTGTGACACACAGATATGTTAATTAGTTGCATGCATTTCAACAGATGTCATGCTAAAAGTGTGCATCAATTCTTTAGTTTCTTTTGCAATATTATTATTTCAAGGTTAGATTTTTTGTGTTTTTAATGCAACTAAGTTAAATTAAGAAATAAACAATTTCAATGTGTACTGTTTTTCTTTCAGGGTGACTAATGGAGGTAAATCTACTCTTTCTAAGAGTCTACACAAGCAGGTACCCAACAGCTGTCTCATTGCACAGGATGAATATTTTAAGGTATACTTCTTTAAATCATATCATTACTTTTTGCACTTCGTCTGGAAAAGTGAGAGCTCGAGAGATCACAGTAGAGGTTTTTTATTTTCAGGATGATTCTATGGTACCAGTGGACATCAATGGGTTTAAGCAATATGACAGTAAGGAGACTTTATTTAACTGTTTGTTAAGACCCTGAGGTCTTTGGTGATTTGTTTGGGAGTTTTATCTACCTGGGGATGTTGTTAAATGTGCAAATGGTTGGTAAGTTTCATGAAATAATAACCAAATGTTTAAAATTATTAGAATATCACATTAAAATCATATAAAACAAAGACAAGCAAAACATTCTCAATAATCTAATACCAATACATTACTTAAATGTGTATTTAATTTGATGTCTTAATTATATAGAGTAGTCATTAAAAGTACTCGGCAGTCAGCAAAGTAAATCCTTTTATCTTGTATTCTGTCGCAGTACTTGATGCTCTTCACATGGACACCATGGTGAGAGAGGTGGAGTCTTGGCAAAAAGACCCCGTGGCGTTCCTGCGGCAGCGAGGCCCTGAACACACCACAGCATCAGCAGAGGAAGAGGAGGTTTATGTGCTGATCGTGGAGGGCTTCCTCATTTTTAACCACAGGTACATAAGGAAGGCTTTCCTGAAAATACTGTGCTTATGACTGTTATCATTTACACCGTCTTTTTTTGTATTTTTTTCCTAAAAAGAACGAAGCAACTTGATATTGAGATCAAATGCAGTCGGTGCAGTGTGACATTGGGCTTTACATTTATAAATTCAAATTGTTAATCAGCTGAATCTATCAAAATCAAATCTAGCATTGCTTTGAAAGAGGTATCTCTGAAAATCAACAAAAATGGTATACCTATAATAAGTACTACATTTTATAACTGATCTGACAACATATCCCTTTTTATATTAGAGATATGATATTTTTCTAAATCGTAATAGGTTAACTCTGACATGTTTTCGTTTGTTTTTTCAGGCCTCTGAATGAGCTAATTTACAAAAAATACTTCATGGAAATACCTTACGATGTCTGCAAAAGGAGACGAAGGTGTGTGATGTTATAATCAATACACATTATTTCTTGGTTTACCTTTTTTCATGGATATTGTTTCACTTTCATATCATTGTTTAATGTTTGAGAAACGTTGTGTCTTCCTGTTTTGACCTCTCTTGTTGTCTTTGATTGACAGTTCGAGGGTGTACACGCCTCCTGATCCTCCAGGATACTTTGATGGATGCGTGTGGCCAATGTACCTGAAGAACCGTCTGCAGATGGAGAGCATGGTGTCTGGAATATGTGAGTCAAAGATGTCATGAATAAAGTTTGTGTTTCTAATCAGATCAAAACTTTAATTCATTTGGAGCATTAGGGTACTTGGTGTGTTTTGAGACCTCAAAGATAGGACATTTAAAGTATTAAAAGGTAACATTTATCCGTTTTTTTTTTTTAGTATTTCTGGATGGACTGAAGCCAAAGGAAGAGCTGCTGGCTGCGGTGTGTAAAGATGTCTGTCAGGAAATAGAAAGGCTCAGGGGTGAGTTCCTTAGGATTTACTTGTTCTTATGTTTTCCAAGATTTGTATGGGGCTGTCTTACAAGCATTCAATTATGATTTACGTTATTTGCAGCTGTGAGTAGAGCGTTATTCTGCCTTGTACAATGCATTGTGGGCCACAGAGTATTCATACTGCACATTCCTACTGCATTAGGACATTTTCTGTTTGACTTTTGCTGTGTGGGCTTACTACATATTAAGAATATGCCTACATTCTTATGTAGTATTCAAATGATATACAGTTGCCCTAGAGCCTAAACAATACATCTACAACAGATTAACGTTGACTAAGACTATTTTATACTAAGTATGTGTTTTCATTGTTAGTTGGGAATGTTTGAAATAAAAAAGAATGCATATCGGTGGGATTGTGGAGAGACAGGCTTAAAGTTTGACAAAGATCGTTTAAACGTTCAATTCAAAATACAGTATTTAAAAAACAAATATTGAAGTTATTGTTATGTGTTTTGTTTGCAGAGGACGACTGAAATGTTTGGAGTTTTATTTGTTTACCTTTTGAAGATGGAAACTGCTGCTCCTATGAATGTCAGGAAAGTTCAAATGTTTTGGCTTGTGTGACTTTAAGGACCAAATCAAGTATTAATGGCTATGTTAAACCTACAATAGTTAATGTAGCTAAAATGATTAAAACAACTGTGAACTAGAATATTAACCATACACACACATATAACCTCAACTTTTTATGTGACTCCAGATAACCAAATAGTGTGCATCACTGCTACAAATAGTATTAAAGATTTTTCACTCATATTTTAAACAATGATAATTGAATACTGTGGTTTAGTGAGCTTCAATATTTGTTGTATATCATTTGTATTGTCAAAGGTTACAACTGTGAATTTGTAACATTAGTGCAAGGTTGTCTCCCTCTGTTGGTTCAGTCTGATAAACTTGAGACAGACTAGCGACCAACTTGTAGTATTCTCTTTTCAACTGTTCTAAGCAAATACAAGGAAAGAAGCAACACAACAAAAAATCACATCCTAACAAGCATGTTGCATCTGTCATTCTTCTTGTATAATCATTAAACCAATTACATTGTGAAGTGAGAGTGTCCAATCTTGGAGCATCTTTTTGTACGTATACTGTATGAGAGGAAACTGGAGTAAAAGATAACACAAAAAGGAGAAGTTATGCACATTTCTGGTATTCCCCAAAGTTACTGTTGACCAGCCTCACGCCAACAATCTCCCTCTGTGCATTGTCCATCCTTTCACATCAAAGTTTTCATTTAATTATACAAAAGACTACATTTGGCATTATATGCAGGGACCTTATAACCACCAGTACTATACTGGAATAACATTTCTTGGCACCAGTTTTTCTGTAAATCAGGTAGTTTGTAGTACTTTCAATCAACAAAACGTTATTTAGGAATAAGCACCTGTGGATATAATATAACTTAAAAAATGTTTAATATAAACCAAGCCTATAAAACATGGCCAAAACATAAGCTCATAATGAAGAGTCTGTCTATCTTACACTGTACTGGTGTAACATCCAATTGCCAAAGTCAACTGACCTCAGTGATTTGGGGCTCCCAGGTCTCTACTGTATCAGGCAGTATCGCACTTTGCCGAGTGCGTCATCTAGCCTCGATTCCATGGTTTGCACTGATTTTAACGTTTCTTTCTACTAGCACCCACACAAAAAGGCTCATAGGTGAACTTTAACGCACATTTCTGCTGATTGAAAGTATTCTGCTTACCCTTACCCTATTTGACCTATAGTTAGACAGAACACACGCATCTAAAACACACATTTTGCTCCCAAAATAATCTTAGAATAAGACAGCTGTGCACTTCCATTTATCCAAAAAGCTCTCATGTTTCTCTTTTGTTCTTTCTTAGATTTGAACCGCATCTCACAGTCTGCATTGGTGGTTTATGATTGCTAACTTGATATAAGAAATGTGTCTCCTGTTACCCAATCTGTGTTGAAATATGTTCTATTGCAGTATCTGCAATGCTTCCAGCATTTTTTTGTATTATTGCATCAGAGAGGTCCGTTTGCATCCCACACAGCATGCTATCCAAAAGTAAAGCAGGTTTTAAAAAATGCCGGAACCGTATGTTCAAAACTTGGACTCAGAGACTGGGCACTCCTCTTGGTTAGCTCCTGCATTTAAAATCCTATAAATAGAAAGCCTGCTCTCATTTTCAGAATGAAACCTGTTTGACAGCCCTTTTTTTCTAGTTTGCTGTTTGAACCAAGGAATGCTTTCTAAAACACTGACATGAAATGTCTAAGAACTTCATTGCAAAACCCTGCTCTGACTAATGAAGCTGGTTTGGTTTCCCACGACACTTAATGATAAAAAGTTTACCAAAAGTCCATGCTGTCAGCAGAATAATAATGTGTGCATCAGCAGTCAACTTGCCTGACCGGCATGTGCAGTGTAGGAGTTGTCACATGTAAATCTGGGCATTCCTTACTTCCTTGTAGTGACCATATCCTCTTCTAACTCCACACATATAAGCTGCAGTTGCTTTTATACATTGACACGCTCATACAGCCTCATATCTTGAATTAAGTTTTGGCTGTTCAAACTCAGGAGAAAACATGTCCAACACAGGATTTTCAACTTTTGTGTGGCTGTTTTTTGCATGCTGCTTCTGCTACAGCATAGCTCGGCCAACTAAACTCAACCAAGAGGCTTCAAACGACAGACCTGTGATCGGTGAGTGAAATGTGCCACTAGAAATAAAGAAAAGCAATACAAATATTCAAGATGAATTGGAAAAAAATGACTGTTAATTGTCACAGGTACTGTGTTTTTGTCCCACAGGTATTTTGACTCAGATGATTTCAGATAAGGCCATGAAACCCTTCGGGAAGACCTACATACCTTCCTCATATGTGAAATACATCGAGTCTGGAGGCAGCAGAGTGATGCCTATCAGGTAGGTTTAGTCCTTTCAAACTGGTGTTAGTCATAAAGATACACCATCATACCAATCTATATGACTGGAAGATTTGATATAATATCTATTGAAAGCAGGAAGTAAAAACTGGTAATCATGGACATAATCCAAGAAAATTCTACCTATTAAAATCCACTATACCTAAAAAAAAAAAAAAAATACATCAATCCAATCTTAATAAAAATAAGAACATGGTGTTTTTTAACTATACTAAAAGACTCAAGTTGAGTTATTTAAGGAGGGTGTATTAAAAAAACACTGCATCCTTTTTTAACGTATCTTATGTTTGGAACAGTCATTTACATTATTTGTTAACTTGCTGTTGTATACGTTTATGTCACTGTTGATTTGCTGCTTTTGAGGAAAAAGAGAAGTGAACTTCCACTTTTGACTTTTGTGCCGTCAAAACACACTCAAATAATGGGAGTATTGTTTTCTTCCGCAGATTGACTCTTACCACCGCTGATTATGAATCGATTTTCAGGAAAATAAATGGGTAAGCTCCATTTCTATAAATGTCTTGGAAGAGGAAAATGCAATAACATTTACATCTTAAACAAATTCACTGAGTGACTGAGCATTTCTGTGACTGACATGTGATGTCTGTTTAGCTTGGTTTTCATCGGGGGGGCAGTGGATTTGGAGAAATCTGACTATGCCAGGGTGGCCAAGATTTTTTACAGACTCGCTCTCAAGGTTTGTACGGCATTATTTTTCATTTGTGCTGCATTCAATGAAAGAAGCTATGCCAATAGAGTTTATCATTATTTCACCTTTACATGAAAATGGGGATGCAGGAAATGTGCTTTTCTGCCACAGCCTGATCAAGATTCAGTTTATTGAACAAAAAAGTAAACTCTCACTGTGTTTATTGCAGGCCAATGATAATGGGGACTTCTTCCCCATCTGGGGCACGTGCATGGGCATGCAGCTCCTGACTGTGCTGGTAGCCGGTAAAAGTCTGTTGGAAGAAACCACGGCTGAGAACGTAGCGCTGCCCCTCAACCTGACCTCAGGTTAGAGCTTTCTGCATTTCTTTGGATCTATTTTCTGGAGAACATTTTCTGCATGTACTCAATCGTACCACTTGGTGTCAATAGAAGCAAGTTACAAATACAAGTTAAATGTTTTTGTCTAATAATAATGTTCTTGTTTGATGAAACCCTGATTTTCTAAAGTATATTTCTCCCTGCAGAGGCTGACTCTAGTAAGATGTTTGAGGGTTTCCCCCAAAAGCTAATGCAGGCTTTGACCGAAGAACCTCTCACTGGCAATTTTCACCACTATGGACTATCAGTAAAGGTACAAAAGATCTGGTGACATGTGTTATAATGTTTCACTTCCCCTGGGTCTTTTGTTATTGTACTTAAAAAATATAGAAACCATCCTCCAATAATTTCAACTTCATAAAATGAGGGTTTCAAAAAGGGTTTCTGTTACTCAGGTCTGACACTTTTGACTCAACAGGAACTTAAAGGTGGGGTAGGTAATTTTGGAGAAACCAGCTCGAGTGTGCTAGAATTTGAAAATACACAGCCGGAAAAAATCTGCCACTTCCTTACAGAGCCCCTCCTCCAACACACACGAACGCACACATGACCAATGAGGGCACGAGATAAGTTTGTGCACAGATGGAAGGCTGACAGGCAGGTAGGCCATCCAGTTATTTTAGCCGGGCCGGCTAAAATGATTGGTCGTGCTTTTTACAGTACTACGGCTTCCACAGATGACATTTTTTTACGGATTTTTTGTCAAAGCACTTAAGATATTCATTGCTATCGGGATGTTAAGAGCATTCCATGGAATATAACAAAAAGTGTATCTCGAGCCAGTTTCTCAAACTTACCTACCTCACCTTTAATGTGACTTGCAGTAAAGACATTATATTAACAATCTTCAGATTTACTAAAGATTACTATACAAGTTTTTTCTCCATAAACTGTGTGGTTTATTAAAGGCTGGAATAAATCCCAAAGACCCAAACTCATGTGCACAATGTAGCAAATGGTGTGTTGTAATTTAATTAATGATGTGCTTTAGATTTCATCTGATATTAAGCTTATATGGTGCATATTTCTAAATAAATGTCTCTTTAATTTAATCACCACACAGCAAACCATAGGCCAAATTATCCAGCACAATAAGGCTGAACAAAGTGTACAGAAATATGAGTAATTATGTTCCAGGTACACAGGCATATCTGTTGGCCCTATAGCTAGAAACACTTCATTGTTCAAATAGCGAGTTAAGAGTGTCAGAGCATTGCAATAAAGCACATATTTGTTACGTAACTTTAAAACATAGAGTATTGTATAAAATACGGAGCATTACAATTTTGATGAAAAATAATTACATCAAATCAAAACTGATAAGACAATTGTTCTTTCAGAACTTTCAGGACAACGAGCCGCTGCACCGTTTTTTTCTCCCTTCTGTCTACAAATGTTGCTGAAAACCAAGTCCACTTTGTTTCAACCATAGAAGGTTACATTCATATTTTAACAAAGATCTCACAAACGTATCATCATTGCACTGTAACAGAGTTGTAACTTGTCTTTTTTCCTTCATACCAGGTAGAAAATATCCCTTCTATGGAGTCCAGTGGCACCCAGAGGTGAATCCTTTTCAGTGGGAAAGAAAGCTTAACTTTCCTCACTCTGCTCACGCTGTCCAGTTATCTTCCCTGCTCGCACAGTTTTTCGTCAATGAAGGTAATAATAATAATATTTGTATATTTCATCAGGAATGAACTATGATTGTGGGTTATAGACCATTACAATAAAACATGTTCGATTTACATTTTCCGATCTCCATAGATGTTGCAATATAAGCTACAAAAATGACAATCTAATCAACCAATCTTTGTGTTGAAAAGATAGCTTATATTTTATTGAACTGTAAACGTGTTAAAGTCAATGGCAAAAGCAACATAATCATGGATTTGTCCTAGTCCAGCCCTTGTGCAAATAGATTTGAATTAACTGGAATGGGAACAGAAAAATAAAAAGTTTGGAAAGTGTTAGAAAATTGCTCTTTGGTGGGGAAGAGAAAAAAATAAAAAGCCCTCCCTTTAAATAGTTAAAGGAAAATGTAATCAGAAAGTAATTTAATGGTAAAATGTAATAACATAAACACCGATAAAACATGTTAAAATAGCCGAGTTAACAGAATTCTTGAACAGAATAACGGTACAAAATGTATAATCTGTTTTTGTAATATATACCAAAAGGTTAAAGATGCTAATGCAAATATTACATTGAACACTTGTTTATCTGCCTTTATACAATTTCCCCATTGAGATGATTAATCTATTATTGTAATCTATTCACATGCATCTCACTTCTGCTTTGTTTAGGAAGGAGAAGTCTACATCAGTTCGACAATCCTGAGGAAGAGGCCTCGTCTCTGATTTACAACGACACGCCTGTATACGCTGGAAACTTCACAGGATACGAACAGATCTACTTCTTCTGAAATCCTCTCTGTCTCCTGTCCCTATGTGAATTTACAACAGATAAATGTATATTCAGTCTGTGGTAGTTTTAATCAATGATTGTTTTTAAATTGCTTGATTTCAAAATACATTTATATTGTTGTCACTTCTGAATGTAGCTTGATGGAAAATGCAGGGTCTGTCTGTGGAATTCAGAGCCAATTATTGTACTTTTTACTTTCCTACATTTGTCTGACAGCTGTAGTAACTTTAAAGGTTTACATTTTTAATGCAAAATATATTAATCATTATATATACAATGAGATATATGGTACAAACTCATAAGCTATGCAGCAGAATACTTAAGTATTAGCCCTAGAACATTTGAGTGATGTAAACATTATGGATCAATCATTTTAATCTAATAATATATATGATTGTCAAATAAGCACTTTTGTTTTTGGTACTTTAATTAATGCTAATTCTAGTATACTTTTGCTTCAGTGAAATGTTTAACTAAGGATCACAAAGTCTGCATACAGAAGCTGTTCTGCAGCTTTTAAATGGGCCACATGATGTTGTCATGTCAAATGATATAATGTCCATTTTGTTCTATTTTTACTTTACATGAACTTCTTTTCCCTGTCAAATTTGAGTTTGAAAGTTAATTGTTGACCATGGAAACAGCGGGTAACAAAACAACCTCTCTTTAAAATGCATTTAAACAGTTAAAAGCTAAATAAATGTAAAACAAAGTCCAATTGAATCATTCTGAGACTTTATTTTGGTGTCTAGTCAAGGCTGTATTACCAGGCAAGTTACATAAAAAGCTTGAAATGTATCGGTTTGATTTTCTTTTTTTGTGTAACTCAGGGTTTTTTGGAATCAGTCAACCAATGATTTTTGGCATTATTGTTTAATTAAAGAATTATTGTTTTTACAAATTTTGTCTGCAAAGTGCTTTGTCCAACCAACAATCAAAAACCCCACAAAAGTCAAAGAAAATAAAAATGTTGAAGACAAAGGAAAACATACAATGTTAGCCCATCATTTATGTCAATGATGATTTATTTGGATTTGGATTGACTTTATCAAGCAAGTGTCACATTGTCACAGCTTTTATTTGACATATAGGCTACACAAAAGGGTGTCCATAGGGGCTTAAGTAAGTTTTGCACCAACACCCAGAAAGAGGGGTAATCAGGCCCTGTGTGAGGAGCCTTTGATTCATGACCTCAAATTAGCTAGCAAAACACACATGCATGAGGAAATGGTAGATGTGTTTGCACAAAACACAAGCAACCAGTCCATCCGTCACAACACACACACACACACACATACACATACACACACGTACACATACACAAAGGCCGCCTGCTGATTGGTCGCCCCTCACGTCAGTACTGTCTGCAGGGGCGGGAATAGGCAAATCCAGCCAGTGCTCTAGTTTCTCACACAGATGCTGCTGCTGGGTCAGTGTTATGCCGTCTATTAACAATAACAGAGTCAAAAGAGCCACAACGACGAGAAGGAGAAGGAGGGGAACATCCACATCACCATTTCTCCTTATCTCAATCTGCAGGGATGGAACAAACAATGTGACATAACCGCGCTTCAACTTCCGACCAAAAGCGCTTTTTATCCACCTTTTTATTCGTCTTTTTCACAGGTGCCATTGTCTCGTCGCCTCTCACAGCTGGCAGACAGTCCCTGGCACGGCTCGGTTCACTTTACAGCCTCCATCCATCTGCACGGCGGCTGCGGCTTGTTGGTAAACAGGATCGGACTCCCTCTGGTGCATTGATGCACCCGTTTCAGTGGTGTAACGGTGAGCAGTCATTTTACATTGTTAGGCCTCTCACAGAAAATGTGCAATACAGCCTGTTATTTAGAGGGAATCTCTCGTGGCAGTTATATAATAGAGCAAGACTGTAGTCTCTGAGTCACTACAGTCTTCTTTTAAATTTAGACATTTCTATTGTGAGAAAAGACAATGTGTGGAGCATAACGGTGAGTTTAAAGTGCCCTATAGTTTTAACATCCCCTATGCATCATGTTGAAGCAGTATATAAACATGTCATACATGGTTTATAACACACTCATGTTGTTGTTTAAAGTCTGGGATTCAAGAAGTTGTATAAAGGGTTTATTGATATATTCATCATTAACTTCCTGTGGCACCCATAGGTGAGGGCCAATGATATATTGAATGATAGTAAAACATAGTTGTAATAATATAAAATGTCTTTATATCATACGTTATAATCACTGACAAATAAATAAATAAGTAATATAAACGTAAAAATGTTATATATTTCCCTAAAACTACATTATTAGTGATGCAACAATTTGTCCATGAATCGATTTCTCAATTGACAGAAAATAATTCAGCTACTATTCAGAGTTCCCGTTAGAATATTTTTTTGCCGGTCAACATGTCCGTTAAAGTTGAAATCTTCCGGACAAAATTAGATAAGTGCCGGTTAAAGGTCTTCTTTGTTATTTATTGAGCTTTAAAACAAATTGATATGATTCGACATTAAACAAACTAATTATAGTAGATTAACTACATTATTCAAAAGTGTACAGTAATTTACAAAAACGCGGGAATAATAAACGGAGCGCTCTCTCCTTCTCCTGACAGCCCGTCAGTATCATGCAGCTCGCGGATCCAGTAATGAGTGACCCGACAGTAAAACTAAACATATCTATAACTAGTTTAGGTAGTTTGAGAGGTAATTAAAATAGCTACGTGTGATTTTCTAACCTGAAGTGTGTTTTGCTCTGCTCGCCGCTGCAGGGGATCATGCAGAGCTGCGTGTCGACTCGTCAGCAGCAGCCGATCTCTCTCTCCTGTCAGATTAGACTTTACTCGCATTTATGTCCATATCGATCAGATCTAGCTAGTTCTAGCTAATGATATGACTACCTGCTTGTTAAAAGACACCTAAACAATAAGCGTCGCTATGCAACCGGATGAGGCCACAAAGTATAGCGCAGCATTATGCATTTGTTTACATGCCCACCGGAACCCCGAGGCATTACCAACAGATCAACGCACAATCAACCCATACAGGACATCTCTTTCTCCACATTAAGTGTTAGACATTAGAATTGACAATTTTTGTCTGTCACATACTCTTTTGTCTGTCACATACTATTCTTGTCTGTCACATAAGTGGCGCAACTGATGCGGTATTGCGCTAAGGGAAAATTATTTTGACCGGACATTTTGACCGGAGAGATTTAGATTTGCCGGACTTCAGCATATTTTACCGGTCATTGTCCGGTAATTACCGGCTAACGGGAACTCTGCTACTATTATAATAATAGATTATCAATTTAAGCATTTTTCAAGCAAGAATAGCTCCACAAATGTGATGAGTTTAATATTTTCTTTGTCACACATTTGCGAATATATTATCTTTAGATTTTTGGTCTAACTGTTTGAGTGCATCACCTTTTTTGACGATAAATAGACAACATATTTTGCAGATTCATTTATGATGGAAAATACTATCATTATAATATGTTATAAACCATGTATGGCGTGAATTGTATACTGTGTGTGACTGCTAAATAGAAGGACCTGTAAAGTGTTACCAACATAATTATTTATTTAGGTTACCTACAATATCCAGTTTATATTCTTATAATATATCTGAATGTTATATCCATTTTTGTATTGACGGGTAAAAAGAGTCTGCTTAATAAATAGAATCCTTTATTTCCATCTACATTTCTTCCAGTTGAGCGCCACACAAGGCCAGTCATTGTGCTCTCTATGTAACATGTTGCCTCTGTGGATAATGTGGTTCACACTATGTGCAGTCTCTCACTTACACTCCTCTCCCCCAATTATCCACTAAAGACAAGTCTAGCAACTTTCCCCGTCTTCTTTGAAAACTGCTGTTTGCATCTGGAGGTATAGCTGTCATGCTTAAACAAAGGAGTCTCTCCATGGCAGTGAAATGGTGTGTCAGTGCTTTATCTGTCGGGGTGAGACCTGGTGAAAAATTATGGATTATCTTTCCTATTTCTCGTGTCGCCTTTTTGAGGGGCAGCTGCCACAGCAGTGTCCTCACTGGACTGTTGGTGCTGTTCAGACAAGAACAATTACTCCCTTTGTGCTGATCAACTCCCCTTCTATTCATAGAGGAAATAGTACACACACTCACACACACACACACACACACACACACACACACACACACACACACACACACACACACACACACACACACACACACACACACACACACGCACACACACTATCAAAGAGTGACATTCTCTTGGCAAATGAAGCAGTGTCAGGCAGCCGCAGCTCAGCTCTGTTTGTCAGTGTCTCTGTGATCATGCCTACAGTGTTTATGCGTGACACATGTAGCACTTTGATGCATGTGATGGGGAATTCTGGGCCCAACCTACCTTCTTCCTCTTCTTCTTCAGGAGCAGGCAGTCCTGCAGGCGAGCTTGAGTGTTTCCCCGATGTGAACTATTGAATATTTGATGGCAAGTTCAGTCTTTAATGCTAGCAGCAGCAGCGGCAGAAGCAGCTTTGTGTGTGAACACAGCGTATATAGGACAATACCCTACCAGGCATCTCATAGGATCTGTCAGGGAAGCTGCCATAGTCGAGGCATTTTACAGCCCTAGCAAATCACGGAGGGACTTCCCTGCCTTTGTAAAACAACAACGCCAAAATCTGTCTGACAGCTGAAACTCAATACGACCGACTCAGATTCTCTCTAAATGTTTCGCTATAGATAGCTTTCATCCTTTTTTTCCTGCGTCTGCTTCTCTCAGTGCCGTGGCAACGGTACGCCTCCTGAGTGTTCCAATATATAGGTCAGTGGTCTTGCAGGGCTCCACCCAAAGCAAAATACCACATATAGCTGTCTGCTCTTCATGCATACAAAAGGTGGAGGAGGAAGACGTGTGTACCCGTCCGTACCGGCAGTTGTGACATGACAAACACACACACACACACACACACACACACACACACACACACACACATGCACAAACACAAAATCTTGAATACTAATGACCCAGATCTGGTTTGCGAGTCTGCAGCAGCATCACAGGTGATTTGTGCCATCAGCTGTGCAGTGACATGAATACAGGAACATATACCATAGCCCCCCCCCCCCCCCCCGGCTGTATGTGTCTCTTTGTCTGCTGGGATCTTTGTGATGCAGATTGTTTGACACAGTGTGAGGATGATGGAGAATATTTGTCCTACATCTATCTGCTGGTTTGTTTGTATGTCACTTGTATGTAACGCTACCATTGTGGACGCTGAGTTTTAGCCCTCTGTGGTATATGAATATGGAGGAGCTACATTGGACGACGCAATGATAATGAGTTTTTAAATGTATTATGATGCACGTGCAGGACTTATTATGAATCAATAGCTAAACGTGTTTTTGTAGAGGAGAAGGGACGTTCTGGCACAACTTCACCTACTACCAAGGTACTGTATATGGGAAAGGGAAAAGGTCCAGAGTGAAGAGGAGGATTTTAGTCATTTTATTAGATTACCATTCCATTGTATTGACTTGCAGAGCTGTGTAGCTGTTCAAGGTGAAGCTGGAGGAGGCAAAGAAAACAAAGTCCTATTGCACAATGTTGTATTCATTTTGTGGGCTTTTTTTTGGATAGATTTTTGTGAAACACTTTGGCCTTTAGCTATGGCACTTTGGTTTTTAAATGAAACCATCTGAGACCATGGTTGGTTCTGTTATATACTTCTAAAGCGTGGCAAAGGGCCCAACTAGACTCTCATTTATTGTAAGGGGTTGGAAACAAAAAGATTGTGAATGGCTGCTTTCATCTTTAACAAATATTGTGTTCTATAAGCTTATCATATGTTGTTTTTTATGTAAAACAGGAATCTGCAAGGTAACTAATGACTATACAGTAGCTGATAAATAAATATACCTCTCAAATGAAGTGGAGTAATAGGGCTTATGTACGCTATTATCCACTACAATTACATCCATTTCAGAAAAGAAAAGGCTTTGCAATATAATTATTATAAGAGTTTGACTCATGACCTCTTAATTTGTCTGATAATGGTACTACGGCCCTGCACATGTCCTTCAGTTTGTGTTCAATTCACAAACATTTGAGACCCTGGTAGTGATTGCCTCTCGCTGAATGAAGTCATTTAGCGTGGAACTTAAATGTGCAGCCACAGACGAGCCTGGATAGATGAAGCATCACGGCTCATTCAGAGAGAGTGGAACTACCGGGCGGGAAGTATTGATCCGCTCATACTGCAATTTCCACTGTGAGACGGGAGAAATGTCAAATAGAAATGTCAACGTTTCACTTTGGCTGCAGAAGGTACTAGAAATACAGCAAAAAACTGTGCAACAAGAAAACAATACTAATCTCAGGGATATGATAAAGGTAAAGGACTCCATTTAGCCATCCATCGGTTGATCCATCTCTCTATTAATCCATCAATCATCCTATATGTCTGTCTGTTCATCTATATATACTTTTGGAGAAATGTTATCGCCTATTTAATTGTGTGTCATTCTATTCATCCTCTCAGTCGTCTATTTATCTATCCATTCATGCACCCATTTGACATATATCCATCCCCCAGTCGATAGTGCATCTTAAGGCCCCGGCACACAAAACAGATATCAAAAGATTACCACATCAAGGGGAAATGTAGGACTGTAGATATACAAGCTGTTTTTATAATAGATACCTTAAATAAAAAGCAGCGTTTTTGGACCAATTTAACAACACTCATCAACCACCTATCTTCTTCCTACTGTACATAGCCATGTCATTTTCAAAATAATTGCGCACTGATTCGGCTAAGTTGAACAGTCAATCATAGCGATTTCTCACTGGTCTGTGCCACAAATTTAATCGGGCAAGTGATAAGTCAGAATCAGAATCGAGGTTCTTGCCAGGTACGTTTATACATGCAAGGAATTTGCTTTGGTGTCTGGTGGTGCAAACATAAACCATCTAAGAAAATACGTTGCAATTGTAGGTCAAAAGTAGAGTATAATGATAATAAAAATTATGTTTTTTTTAAGAAACTATTTTGTGGTGTGGCAAAAACTGAGCCACAGTCGCTCTGGATGGCTCGACATTGATGTGTCAGGGCTTTTAGGAACAGTAAACATAGACAAACAACATAAACAGACTTTCCAGTCCACCTAACTCTTTGGACTGTGGGTGGAAACTGAAGCAGATAAACAGTAAGAACATGCAAACGTTACATAAACAGAAGAAGCTGGTTTCTGGCAAAGCTCTTAAATGTGCAATTTCTTGAAGTACAGTTTATTTTAGATTTAATATAAGCTGATGCTGGTGGCATTAAAAGTATGGATTTCTCTGTTATGATTAAACAATATACAAGCTGATTTCAGTCAATCAGCTGCTGTGATGAAAACTGGAGGACTCACAGCCTCCTCCTCCTGATCTAATGTGAAGAGGTTCATATCAGCAGATGGCGGTGAGTCCTGTGTTAGCTCTGATGCACTATCACTCACTGGGTTAGTGTGACCCCGATCTCACAAAGCCCCCTCTCACATGCAGATCTGACTTCTCATTACTCATGCAGACGCACAAAACACAAGTGTGCTCTGTGTGTCTCCTTGTGTCTGTCCATATAATCTACAAGTGTTTTTCTGCGTTATTTTTCTCCCTAGTAATCGGGGAATGCATAGTTCTCTATTTGGTAAATAAAGTCCATCATATCTAATGGTCATGGCCACATTTGTTCTTCAATCCTCCCCCCCCCCCGCCCCTCTTCTGACCTTGACTGCAGACAGCGGTGCTACAGTGATAATCTATTTCATGGTAAAAGAAACACACACAGTAGTGTAGCGTCACAGCCAGAAGGATGAAACAAAGGGGGGCACCTTTGATGGGAATACCATCTGTTTGGATTGGAGCACTGCAAAGTTCAAGCCATGAAAACAGCCATTAGTGTACGAATCAGCTCCCTGTACAGGAATACAGATATATTTCTGTGAAAAAATTGAATAGTGCAATGACTTTAATGAAATTGCACTCAGTGATTGACTCAATATCATACTTTTTGTCTGTGGCTAATTGCTCTCTTATGTTTATTTTGATGCCTTCACAGCGCACAACAAATTGTGGACGTAACAATGTTGCTTTGGCGTACCATTTAGTTTTACAAGTTTAGGTCCAGGAATGAAAAGGGCTTTACCTTTCCCTCAGCCTTTCTTTCTAAGCATATGTGTGTATATGTGTGTTTTACTTCTGTTATATGCAAAGTTGCAGGTCTGACTCTGAACTGCCCATGGATACATGGAGTTCTCTATATATGAACCTTTAATTTGTGTTTTTAGACATTCCTGTGTGAAGCAGAGTCAGGCTTTATTTGTTTTGCTATTTTTTCGTAGCATACTTCTTGTAAATGTATTTTTAAATCTTTCCTCTGTCTTTTCTTCAGGGTGCTTCTGTGGTCTGGGACTGGTTTATTCCAACAAGTCGTGCACCATGCCGCCCATCACCTTCCAGGACCTGCCTCTCAACATCTACATGCTCATCTTCGGGACAGGCATCTTTGTCTTCTTCCTGAGCCTCGTCTTCTGCTGTTACTTTATCAGGTGAGGGGCAATAGAAACAGAAACAGAGATAAAAAAAAAGAAAGGCGTTAAAACAAAGGAAAAGGTGTGTTTTGTAACATGGGCACTTACCTCAGTTTCTCTTTACACCAAAACAAATTCAAGAAAAACCAAAATGCATTACCTGGCTAAAGTAACGTACAGTGAGGACAGTAACAGGGTATGCTGTGTAATTAGAGTACATGATACTGCTGGACTTGAGTAAAACATCTGTCAATGATTCAAGGCTAATATGCTACATCATGTTACTAAATGTTTAGCATCATAACTTATCAAGAACCGAAAAACGTTATTCGATCCAAGTAACTGCTACATTGCTCACTATAACCAGGGGTGCACACAACTTTCTCAGTGAGGTACTCAGATGAGTACCTGGAGTCAATGTTTGGTACTCCAACTTCTGGCAATTGTCAACGGGGGGGGGGGGGGGGTTATAGTGGAGTACAGCACTTCGCGATTGTCAACGGGGGGGGGGGGGGGGGGGGGGGGGGGGGGGTAGTGGAGCACAGAGCTTCATGACCGCGGAGCGTGTGAACGTTGTGATCAGCTGTTTTAGCGCAGGGCTGCTGTACAGACCGACATTAACAGCAGCCCTGTCTGTGCACACGGAGACCGACTCTGTCGTCCGGTTGATCTAACCGCCTTCTGGGAAAGCTTCACAAGTACGTCGGTACGCAAATGCGCTTTGTGACACAAGTGACGGTACGCATTTCAGATTGTTGCCGCGCATGCGTACCTGCGTACCAGTTATGTGCACCCCTGACTATAACATCTAATCTATAGAAGTATTACACAAGTCAATAAAATAGATATTTAGTGATCTATATCAAACTGCACCAAAGTAGTGGACTGACCAACGTCAGTACAGAGAAGTGTGTACATGTGTATGTGTTATGTGTGTGTCCGTGAAAAGAAGAGAAACAGGGTGACCTCTCAACTGTTGACTGTGTGTGAACTCCCTGATGAGCTGAGGGGACGTTTGTGTCTGAAGCACGGGATATGAGGCAACAGGAAGTAGCCCGCTACAATGTGTGAGGACAGTAGCAAAGAAAACTGCAGAGACTCAGAATAAACACGACCTGAATAGCACACAGTGGGAGTACACAAAAAAAAATCAACATGAACGTCTACAATGTATAAAATCTCATAAGGAAATGTCAACACCTGCAGTAGGATTCGTTTTTTTTTTTAAAAGGCTCTCTTTGGATGGCTGGGCATCTCATAATGAGCTATTTTAGCTGTCGCTGTCAGAATCACCTCTGTTATCGAAATGTCAAACAATTTACAGAAAACCTTGGTTTTTGGCTGGATAATACAAATACAACCACTAAAGGCTGGTAGTTGGTATCCAGTATGTGCCGGTTTTCCTCAATCATGTGCATTTAACTCCTGTGCAGTTAATTCCTTTTCTATATATAATTACATTAATGAACAGCAGCACAAAGGGAAATTCAACATGCCTCCAAAACATCGTTTATTCTTGACCTCAAGACACCAGTTGACAAAATAATCTCACCCTGCTCCCTAGATGTTAACTTCTCAATTATATCATTCTACATTTGTTGGATGTTTTATAGGCCAAACTAGGGCTGTGCGATTATGGCAAAAATCATAATCACGATTATTTGGGTCAATAATTGATATCACGATTATTAAATACGATTATTCATTGACTTTGAAAAAATCCATTTATTGAACTTTAAAACAAATACAAATAATAATTTGAACAGTGTCTTTTTAACTGTTGATTACCCTGAACGTATAATTCAACTGAAAAACCAATACAAAAATAAATAAAATAAATGATACATTTAAATAAATAATATCAAAATAATAAATACCAATAAACAAAATCAACAAATATTTTGGAGCGCACTTCCCCAAGCTACTAAACATATATAAATATGATAAATACAAATAAATGAGACCAAAATTAATTAGATCAAATATGTTGCAGTGCACTGTCACAACCTAGCAAAGCAAAATAATTGTTTTTTTCGATTATGTTGTTTTCATAATTGTGGCAGGCCAAAATCGTAATTGCGATTAAAATACGATTAATTGCACAGCCCTAGGCCAAACTGAAGTATTTTTACTTGAAGTAAATATATTTCTGCACAGAGCTTTATATGTTTCAGCGCATTGTTTAGCTGCTTGGCCAGCTACTGGACCGTTAACTCTCACCAATCTCAAAGTTTTGTTTATCGGCTGCAGCAGACAGCTGTTTTTAGTGAAAAGTACCAAACGACGACTCTCTGTAAACATAATGGAGCATTTAGCAGCCAAGTATTTCCCTCAGGAGTTGTTAGACAACAAAAAAGAATAGTGAATATCATCATTTGGTTGGATGACACATGTTCCTTCTTAACTGCTGGATTTGTAAACAACTAACAAGTTCACCATATAACCCTAATTGTGATGTTATGTAAATGTTCTGTTCATAACTTCTGGCCAAAAAAGTATTAATTGCCGTTTATTACTTTTGGGCCAATAAATATTATAAATTAAGGATTTGGTGAAACAGTCACACCTAAATCCCCATTCAGACTCAATCATGAAGCTGTTGGGGTTCAGAAATGTAACTTATTTATAATAATTTATGAAAAAAAAACACATAATGGACTCTGTGGTGAGATTAATGTGTCAACTGTTCTGTGATGCTAACAATTAACTTTGATTCGTAAGAAATTTAACCTTGTTCAGTTTTTTAATCCAATCATTTTTGTATTCAACATGGATGAGAATAGGAAGAAAGCACCTTTTCCATTTCAATTGAAAACAATGAAAACCCCATGTGTTGATGAACATCCATAGCAACTAATAAATTGGCCTTTTTTCAATAAAACACACTTAGGATTGGATACAGTTTACCCAATAATAGATCCTAAAGGTTGGAATTTTCAGTGCAAAGGAAATCCATTGTTTCAACTCTTAGGCAAATCTGGGAATCTTGTATTATATAAATAATGGTATCAATTCAAATCAATCAAAAAGCATTTTTGATTTTCTGAGATAATTTCATATTGTAGTTATCTGCCCGATAAAAGAAACTTTTGCAATCAAATTTCTGTTATCATAATCATAATAATGTGAACGCTTTATTTGGTCTAGGTTTGGCTCTAAATTGACCGTCAACTCTGTCAGACAGCCGAGATCCTTCCTGTTTTCTTGAAGCACTTACCTCTGAATCACGACCAACGAGTCACTTCCTTTCGGCTCCTTAAACGGGTAGTCTTCGGTAGGAGTGTGATTGTGAATTCATTTATAGACCGGGGTGATTCATCACATGAATACTGAGTGATGAATGCCATTCTTTGTTGGGGGCAGGCTTCCCATTATCCACTCAGACAGGCTCTCTGTAAATCAGTGTCAGGGACTTTGTGATGTTTGGTTCACCGTGACTTAAAATCTGTCTCTATTCATCTATGTTAGATTTCCTCCTCTAATCATACAAAGCAATTATATCGTTTTCTAAAAAGCCTTGCAAAATGGTGCACACACACACAGAGATCTTTTCAGCCTTCATTTTCAAACAGTTTCTATTATAGTGGCACAAACCGGGGGTGTACACAGCAGTATACCTGCAGTGTACAAGACGGTAAAACCACAAGAGTGCTAAAAGCACTCACCCAAAATATCCCAACTTAAATTATACCCTAATGTGCTCTAACAGCACACTAGTCGGAGAGAGGCTGTAAGGATGAACGAGAACCACGAGTTGCAAGCCTTAAGTGAAATCTTAAAATAGGACTAATATTTTTAGCTGATATTTTGGAGTGATTTCGCATTTCTTTTAAACTAAATTACAATTTATACTTCTCGACCCTTGCAATAAAATGACTGAGCACAGAGATATTTAGCCACCACATTACCAAAGAAATGCACTGACTCATTTCATTTATCGTCAGTGATCCTTGAAACTGGATCTGTTAACACAGTTAGCCAAAAACAGGAAACACGACTGCTTACTGAACTCAGACAAAAACATTACTTATAACTACAAATGCAGAATACTTTGGTAACCTGTAGTGGTAACCAGTGCATGCCGTAACCCCTCAATTCCATTCTTTGGTCCTTTAGTTGTGTGTCATACCCTCCTCCCTCTCCCCTCCATTTCTGATATGAAGCCGTAGATTCACATGAAAAAACCATCTTACATGCCGAGAATGAGAAAGGCAGAGATTTGGGAGAATAAAGTGACAGTTTAATTCCAAAATGCTTCAGCAGCAGATAGGGCAGACTGGAGGTCATCTTCTATCATGAACAAAGCTAGAGAGTCAGCAGTGAGATTCATTTGGTTAAATCTGTGAAAAACTTTTCTAATAAGAAACATTTAGCCTATCAAAAGTTTGTATCTGTCTCTGAACAATCAGAACTCGAGCTGATGCTCTGTGGATTTCTGAAAAAGATCATAAAACGGAAACTGTAATGTCAAAGCAGGAAACAAATGAAATGCGTGTTGATATATTATAAGCAGTCACATTATAGTTAAAGGGGACCTATTATGCTATATTTGAAAAATATATTGTAGGGCCATACCTATACAAAACATGTCTGTGAAGTTTTTTGCTTAAAATACCAAACAGATCACCCATTGTAGCCATGCCTCTTACTGCTCATATCCCTCTATTACAGCCCTGTTCCAAAAAGGCTGATTCTGCTTTAAATAGAACGGCTGCTGCTAGCCACGCCCCTTTGTAGCGTCACGCAGCTTTCCCCTGCTAAGAGAGTTTTCTACCGGGAGAAGCTCAGCTAAACACTGAGGCAGTGGCGAACCGTCAGGGCCTTCAAGGTATTCAGAGAATACCCTGGAACACTCAGCTAAAACAAACAAAAAATCGATTTAATTATATAAATAAAATGTAATAAAATGTAATAAAATGTATATAAAATGAATAAATGAGAATCGTATCTGTGTTGTTGATCTGTAATATTACAGTGTTACGTTGATTTGTTTGTCCTTCTCGGACCATGCACTACGCATTTCAGTGGTTTTGTGTTAGAAAAGAAAGCAACCAATCAGATCTTGTTCTGGGTCTCTGGGTAGAATATCCTTCAACCAAGGTATTCTATATCCTTGATAGAATGCCCTGGCCGTTGCACTGAATGAGAGCGTACATTTGGACTGACAGTTTGATCAACCAATCATATTGATTTGTAGCCAATGGGCGTATTCTTTCAGAGTTTCCCTCGGTTCCAGGGTACTCTAGAAGGCCCGCTAGTTAACTGGCTCGAGACAGAAGATCTAGATGAATGCGACGAAGCAATTCATGCCGTTTTATTGTTTTTAAACGTTGAAATGGCAAGTGCAACAGGTGAAGATGAAGTTGTTGCGGAATTGTTGTGTGTACCCTTTTCAAGACGACAATTCAGTGAAAAGACGGACATTATAACGCCAGGGGGGGAGCGGCGGCGGCGGGGGGTTTGTGTTTCTACAGAAGGTCCAGTTGTGATAGACACGTTTCGCCACTGCACTGCGGTGATTAAATGCCATATTATGTTCCCAACCACTTCAAGCATTATTTCTGAAACAGTATGGAGCTCAAACCTTTCTCTCTCGCAGGGTTTGCCGCAAGGACATTACGTTACACATATTCTCTCCAGTACAGCGTTAGCTCTGAGTGTTAGCATGCTTGCTACTATAAACACAGACCATATTACTCCCAAAACAGGCTGCACATTGTTTCTGATACAGCACATAGCTTGACATGTTCTTTCTTAAGTGTTTACCGCTAGAACAGTGCCATTATATGTATTATATATACAACAACTTTACTCTAAGTGCCTCCTGCAGACATCCTGCTGAATACACAGACACACAGCTGCGAGAGGGGATTCAGCTAGACGACTGTATACGGAGACGATAGGTTGGGACGTGTCACGTGTGCCACATTTTACCAATGACGTCATAGGACCCAAATCCTGGATCAGCTCGTTTGCACCCCCGTTTTTTTATTTTATTTTAGATGTGGGTAAGGAGGAAAAGAGAGAGGGTTGTATTTTCTGAAACTGTGAGTCTCCTAACACACCCGGGGACACATATTTATGTATAAAATACATCAAAAAGTGCATTTTGCATAATAGGTCCCCTTTAACATTAGCAGTACATCAGCTTAGTTAATATCAAAGGAAATTATATAGTGTTTGATGGGCTTTAATAATGTCTGTTAAAGATATTAACGAAAGGAAAAGCAGTAGTTGTTTTTTTGGCACATATGCTTTTATCCCCCCACACCTGTTGAATTCATTGTGTTCAATAATAACTGGTCTGCAGTAGCTGTATGAACATTTTCTATTCTTGTAGACCAGGCACACAACTGAAACACTGACATCTCCGTCATTCCCCCCTTTCACCCACTTCACATTATTCTTTAGCCATGGGAAATCTGTACACATGTAAAACGTGTATCCTCACATTGTTCTGCAGGGAAGATTGTTAGTAGCAATCAGCGTAAACAATAAACCAAGTGACAAACACAACCAATAACTGTCACTTCCTTACTTAAAGCATAACAATTTTGTATTTTTATTTCATTTGAGGGGTAACGGATGGCATAAATAATTATTCATATCTCATCTAAGATGCTCTCACTGCATTCATTTTAAATCCCAGACAATGATAGACATGTGAGTCTATGTTTAGTTGTGTAAAAACAAGAGGCCCAAAATAACCTGCGGCTCGCCAAATGATAAAGATCTCCTCTCTATTGTTGGTTATTAGGGTGGTGCAGGGATTCAAAGACGCACCGTACTCATTAACTATGTGTGTGTGTGTGTGTGTGTGTGTGTGTGTGTGTGTGTGTGTGTTGTGTGTGTGGTGTGTGTGTGTGTGGTGTGTGTGTGTGTGTGTGTGTGTGTGTGTGTGTGTGTGGTGTGTGGTTGTGTGTGTGTGTGGTGTGTGTGTGTGTGTGTGTGTGTGTGTGTGTGTGTTAGCTTTGGCATGTAGTTGCTACATTGTGGGAACAATGTGTGTGTGTGTGTGTGTGTGTGTGTGTGTGTGTGTGTGTGTGTGTGTGTGTGTGTGTGTGTGTGTGTGGGTGTGTGTGTGTGTGTGTGTGTGTGTGTGTGTGTGTGTGTGTGTGTGTGTGTGTGTGTGTGTTAGCTTTGGCATGTAGTTGCTACATTGTGGGAACAATGTGTGTGTGTGTGTATGTGTGTGTGTGTGTGTGTGTGTGTGTGTGTGTGTGTGTGTGTGTGTGTGTGTGTGTGTGTGTGTGTGGTGTGTGTGTGGTGTGTGTGTGTGTGTGTGTGTGTGTGTGTGTGTGTGTGTGTGTGTGTGTGTGTGTGTGTGTGTGTGTGTGTGTGTGTGTGTGTGTGTGTGTGTGCTTCCAGGGGAACTTGTCTTTGTCTCTGGATGTGTAGTTGTTTGAAAAGAGTTAATTATCAAAGCTTACCCCTGCAATTACACAGCTTCTGTTACACACAGCAACATCATGTTACTGCACACACTTCTCCAAATCTCAGCCGGGATCCAAGGACCTGCTGTGAAACTCATCATAGAGTAAATATAGACATCTTTTGTCTTTTAACAAACAAGTGTCAAATGGGTAACTTAATGTATGTACCACATTCAAATTGTCCTTTATATTCATCTCTAAAGTTACTAGTTGCTTTGCAAACTATAATTTTGCTAACATAGAAGTATACTTTAATTCATACAAAAATATGATACGAATGAGCTGTTCCACAACCAGCAGCAACAATACTTATATTGTTTAAGTTTAAAATTACTTTATAAATAGGACTTTACATTTTATATGGAAATAGTATTCTGCATTCCTCACTGTGTAAAAGGTCCATCGTAAGAAGATGCAATCTGGAAAACAATGAGACCTGATGAAGGTCAGACAGATTGAAACGTTGTGAATTAATATCCAGCAGCACGTAAGAAACTGTGTGTGTGTGTGTGTGTGTGTGTGTGTGTGTGTGTGTGTGTGTGTGTGTGTGTGTGTGTGTGTGTGTGTGTGTGTGTGTGTGTGTGTGTGTGTGTGTGTGTGTGTGTGTGTGTGTGTGTGTGTGTGTGTGTGTGTGTGTGTGTGTGTGTGTGTGTGTGTGTTGGGGGGGTTCTCATACCTTGAAATATTCTTGCCTACATCTGTTTCTATTGTTACTTCAGTGAAGGATTCTTACATCACTTTAAACTAGAACGTCATGCGAAAGTATAGTTGATTGCATGTTGAAATTATTGTTTCCAATCATTTCTTATTATTTAATATGTTTATTAAACACCTTTTTCTCTTTTAATCCACAGCAAACTACGACACCAAGCCCAGAGTGAGCGGTTTGGATACCGAGAGGTAAAGACTGACTGCAATATTTAAGCACACTTTACGGAAACAAAACCCTCTTTTAAACATATTTATTTTGTGTCAATCCTGCAGGTGGTTTTACAAGGTGATCCAAAGAAGTTGAATCTTCATGGGGTAAGGATGTGATTATCATGCACATTTGCACTGATTCTTGCACATAAACACACCTTAAGAGATTTATAACGTGACACAAACGTAAACAAAGATAATGCATGATCATTTCATCAAATGAGGGTCCTCACTGCGTCCTGTATGTCCCTCCTGCAGCAGACGTGTGCCGTGTGTCTCGAGGACTTCAAAGTGAAAGACGAGCTGGGAGTGTTGCCATGCCAACATGCTTTCCACAGGAAGTGAGTACATGAGAGAACAGTGGAGTCTTTCTCTGATGCTTGTTACCGCTTTGCACCCGCACTGGCTTGTTCACATGAAAACGTTCATGTTTCATCTAAAGTTCAGTGATTACAGGAATTATACAGAGAGTTTCACTGGATTTATTGCTGACTGCAGCTACAGGAGCTCTTGTTCAACATTCAGGGAGAAAGAGTGAGAGCAAATGCGTATCCCAGCATGCAATGGGTAGACAACAGTTATAGATAGTGCTACTGTATGATCTTGTAGGAGAGGCATTCCTGATGTTAGTCAGGCTTCTAAAATTGTGATTTCCTCACAGTCATCTGGAAAATTAGAAGATTTTATTATGTCAATATTAATAGCTAGGGACTTAATGGAAGAGAGGCACAAATAATGTTATTTTGTTATTTTAGTTTGCATAACAGTAGAAGCTGAATATATTCTTTGAGATGTCTTAGTTTAAACCATGTCTCTCAAACTGAAGTTCAATAAGGACAGATTTAATGGAAATGTATAATAAAGAAAGACTTAAGATAAAGACTTTATTGATGTGAAGAATCCTCACTAAGCGTCAGTCTGTATGAAGACAGGAGATCGGACAGGTACCAGGTGATGGCAGTAAAGATAAAACAGCAGGTGTTTGTTAAAGCTCAGCTTCCTTAACATCTTGGTACATTGTGCTATAGTAAGTCTGAGAGACATTATTATTATTATTATACTTAAAGATTGGCTGGAGAAACGTGATGTGTTTGTTAAAGCTCAGCTTCCTTAACATCTTGGTACATTGTGCTATAGTAAGTCTGAGAGACATTATTATTATTATTATTATACTTAAAGATTGGCTGGAGAAACGTGGGCAGAAAAGTCAATGGGTAGGATCTATTATTATAGATAAGAAAAAGGAATAAAGTCATAAAGGAATAAAAGGAAAATGTGGACTAACTTCAATCAAAGTTTCTTTATATTACAGGGCTCTCTCATGTTCATGCATGGGCAGTGGTGAAATGTACAAGTCCAGTTTTGAGGAACATTTTTGCCACGTTATCCTTATTTTTACACTTATAGTTACTTTGAACATCAATTTACATACAAAACATTGTCCGTTTAAAATAAATAAATTAGGATATTTTCACAATTTCAACAACTTTAACGTAATTTTCATGCTTAAATAGCAGGAAATGCTTTTCAGATCCTCAAATGCGGAGCTGTCCTGTTTTTCTCTGTTTTATGTGATATTAAACCGATTATCTTTAAATATTAGAATTTCATCATCCATAATCAAATTAATTGTTATTTGCAGCCCAAGATCCAAATATTTCTTCCCCATGGTTAATCAAGTATGGCTTGGCTTTGATCAGTGAAACATATTTATATTAGTGAGAGGAATCATGATCTCATGTTGCTCTATCCTTTTAATTTCTCTCCTGAACAGGTGTCTGGTAAAATGGCTGGAGGTGCGCTGCGTCTGCCCCATGTGCAACAAACCAATAGCGGGCCCCCCCCGCCACAGCATAGGGACCCTTCTGCTGGATGAACTGGTGTAACTGAAGGACCCCTGCAGCTCGGGGTGGCCCGCCCGCCGCGCCCGGGCCCGAGCAGCTGATATCATTTAGCGACTAGCAGGAACATGGACCCTGTGCTGCTGTTAAAAAATCAGCGAAGAAACACCAACATGATAACAGTAAATTGGGGTAACCTAGTTACCACCCAGATAAAGACTGAATGATGCTGTTGCCTAGCGACCGTATCCAAGATGGCAACACGACACCTTGTGGTGTCTGAGAGATTATCTCCAGCCACCCACACATCACTCCACCACTCTTCTTTCAACATCCCCCCCCCCACACATCCCTCACATCTTCTCTGGTTACCTCGAGTCAGGTTAATGACACAGCGACAAGTGAGTGTTGAAGGATGGCAGCGCGGGGTCGGTGGCACTGATCCCACAGCATGTCTGAGTGTTGAATGTCATGGTGGTTACTAACATGAAATAATTATCGGAGGATGTTATTAAATCTCTCACTTAATTATTTTAGTAAAGACGTTTTTAAACAAAGCTACAGAGAAAAATACATTTCATCGTCCCTTAACATGTTGATAGGAGTTTCACTGCTTACAATTCGGTATTTAAAAAAAAAATGTCAACAGGTACAACAAGGGTTTACCAAAAAGATCTGGAGCCATCTAGAACAACATTGAGGCAAAGACATAGACAGGGTTTACTAAAACTGCTTTAAGGGAACTTTTAAGGTTTTGGGCCAAAGATTATGAAGTCGCATTGGTAAAAAAAAAAGATGAAAATTTGAATTCAAGCGTCATCAGTGGGACCTAAATTAATCCTATTAACATCTCAAACTGTAATCCACATGTAGCAAATTAATCAGTATTTCCATGTAAAACCAATTGCCAAACTGATTTAATACTTATGATTGATGTGTAAAATCCATGTTGGTGCCCGCCTCTACAGTGATATAATGTTATATGTGTTGTTTTCCCCACTGGGATGTTATTTTAATGTTCAAACATGTTTAAATTGTGTTAACATAGATGAAAGGAACTGACACTTTTTACCTTTCACTTGAACATTGTGTTTTTTTGTTGATTCTTTTTTTAGATATTGCACTTTAAATTCACAAAAAAACATACCGCCTTTGTTCTTCTAAAATGTTAAGACTAAGGTTTGGAGGCAGCATAGCTGGTCCCTTGTTTTAAGGTGTGGTGAATCTTTTATAAAAGTCTGTGAAGTATCCGAGAAGCTGCTTCATGTGAAGAGAAGAGAAGCAGCAAAGCCTCGGTGATGTTCTGTGAATTCATCTGGGAAGAAACTAGATCTCACTTTTATACATTTCTGTGGCATTATTGCTGGTGATTCTGTTTTTACATTCCTCCATCCTATTTTTTGTGATTTACACGATTCAGAAAGCGAAACACTGCCTAAAATTGAGCACAAAACTCACAAAGCACATTGTCCACAGGCACCTGCACTGTACATTAAGCCAAACACACACACACATGAGTCCGCGTGCCAAGAAAAGAAAATGTCCAAGAGATTTGTTCACTCTGATTCTGGCCACATTCCACATTTTGTAATCCAAACAGATGTAAATATCTTGAAACAATAATAAATACAGTTGTCTGTTTTGCTCAGCTTCTCTTGTTTATTTCTTGGTAGTCTTGTATCTGGCGCCATCATGAGGTGAAAAACTGTAGGGAAATGTGTTGGATTATTCAATCTAGCTCATTGGTTCACCACCTTTTTGGCTTTTGACCCTTAAGCAGAAGAATGCCATAGTAAATTATCCAAAGACAAATTCATTTTTAATGATTTATTATGGTTCTGAAAAGTTCTGGATTGGTAAAATCAATTATTTCGCTAGAGAAAAGCAAGGAACACTTCTTTACAGCAGTAAAGATTTGTTGATTTCATAATTGGTTATGATTTCTATCAATTGCTTTTACTAAAAAAAAATGTTTTGTGTGTATCCATCGAGAGTAAATAAAAAATGTATTTTTTACTTTAAAGGGTCAGATGACCCAAATTACATATTTCTACTTATAATGCCACAGTATCTTACCATGCCGTTGTTTTATCAGCACCGTTATCAGAGATTTTGAATATTTTCTTTGGAGATTTATTGATTTTAACTCACTGCAAGTCTAGATACCGCTGAAGGTGATTTGTTTTCCTTTTGTGGAAAGTCAGTGCTAAAGGGCATTGGAACTACATAAATTGTTTAGTAAATATGAAAGGTCCCCTATTATGCAAAATGCACTTTGTGATGTCTTCTATACATAAGTATGTGTCCCCGGTGTGTAAGGGAACTCACAAAGTGTCAGAAATGTTTTCCCCTGTACCCAAATCTCTAAAAACGTGGGTTCAACAGAGCTGATCCAGATTTGCGTCCGATATGACGTAATATCTGAAATGTGGGCTGGCTTTACGCCAACGGCCCTATCAGAAACGTTGCTGTATCAGAAACAATGCGCATCGTTTTGGAAGTAATATGGTCTGTGTTTACATTAGCAAGCATCGCTAACACTCAGAGCTGACGCTGTACTGGAGAGAGTATGTGAAAAAAATCAGGATATAAAAAATGAACTCACCTTGTGGTAAACCCGTGAGAGAAAAAGCATTTGAGCTCCATAATCCTTGATGTGGTTTGGAACATAATATGGCGTTTAATCACGGCAGCATTTAGCTGAGTATCTGGGAAGAATTCTCCTGCATGAGCTCTCATCTCTCGTTCTTTTTTTTCTTCTCTTTTTTTAAAGCTACGGACCCAGAATCAGCACTTCTCTTACAGGGCTGAAATAGAGGGTATGAGGCATGGCTAGAACGGGTGATCTGTTTGGTATTTTGAGCAAAACACTTCATAGACATGTTTTTTATATATCTGAGACCTATAATATATGCCTACAAATAGTATAATAGGAGACCTTTAAGTAAGAGAATGGCCTTTTTCTGTCAGTGCATGTCTTCATATCAAATGTGTTTGATACAGGCTGAATAACTACCACATAATGCATTTTATTTTAATATTATTAAGAAACTTTCATTATGAAGTGTCGTGTTAAAGAAAATGAAGTGATATTGGACACTGAAATCCATTGTTTTAAATGTTCAACAGGGGGAAACACAGTAGCAAACTGAAAGATTTAAAGGAGTCAGAAGTGCAGAGTCGACATCCATATGAAAACAATGAGCATCTGTAGGCTGCCTCATTAAATGTGAAAGACCCAGCACTATTGGTGGGTCCAACCAGTAACTAGCTATTTCCCCGCAGCAGATTGCAGGTGGCAGAGCATCGAAAGTCTAAAGGGGCATTCCTCCTTACTCCTGTCGCCTTCTAATTAGACTTAAAGGCAAGGAGGAGCCTCGGAGGAGCTGAAAGGGGATTCAGGATGGACGCAGATGGTGTGAGATCTCAAATGGAAGGAAGTGAACACTGGGTCTGATAGACTGAGAGGGATGGAAAAAGAGAGTGGAGAGGAGAGGGAGGTGGACGGAAAAGGTGGAGACTGAGTTTGGACACTTTAACTCTCTATTTTGAGAAGGTAGAGATTTGTTCAATAATTCAATGGATGAGATAACTCTGTTCTGACGAAACAAACGCCTCCAAAAGAAGCAAGAAACACAGAGAGAGGAGAAGATGAGCAGCTCAGGATGATGGACATCTGGTCGAAACTATCCTTTGAGACTCACAGCAGTTGGTGAATATATCAAAATGTTTCTTTTAAATCTGTCTGTCCTTAATTACAGCATTGCAGTGTGTTCAGAGTGTGTTGGTGATGATGTTTGTGTGTATCAGTTTCATCATAAATCTGATGACCTGCTGTGATATCCTGCTTGTGAGATGACGGCATTATGGAAGCACTGCAGTCATGTTAAATAGATACAACTATATGAGTCTATATGAGTCACAAAAGATGGGAGGTTAACCAAGATATTTAAGCTGAACATCTTTTGATGCTAAAAAAGGATTTAATTAGTGTGCAGGATCCAAAAGACGAGCTAAACCTCTTATTAAGGTTACAATACTTAATGGTAGAATGCTTTAAAAGGGTCAGCATGGTATGAACACATGCATCATGTCATAAACACGCAGAAATACCCACACACTTGCACATATACACACCACGCACACACACACTGCTTGGGTGGACCTGGAAACATAAGCAAGTCTTTCATGGAATCAGCCTCTACCTGAGCAATAAAGAGCCATCTGTGCTGTGAATAAACGTATGATGGCAACACACACACACACACACACACACACACACACACACACACACACACACACACACACACACACACACACACACACACACACACACACACACACACACACACACACACACACACACACACACACACACACAGGGTGGAGAGAAAAACACAGAGAAATGCTTGTTTCTGTCACTTCCCACCTTAAGCGTCGTGGCACTGCTGAGTGAATGTAAGGTCAGGTTATTTCTCTTTCTGTGCATTTTATAGCAGCCAGCATTTACCTGAGCAGCAGTCCAGCAGCAGCGAGATGAGGCCGCGTCAAACTGACATGAAATGAGATAAGCTGTCAAAACATTGAGGCACATCAGGGGGAGACTGACCAGGTTAGTTAACTTTCTTCGATTGTCATTTTAATTTGTTAGATGTAGATGGATTTCTTTGTTTCTATGTTGATACTACTATCTGTTGATGATCTAGGATCCCCAAAAGATACATCTTGCTTAAATTCATGGTGCCCAGAGGATGACTCATAAAAGCTTTTGAAACCTCATCATCCGTTAGTTGAGGAAAACTATGTTTATAATGAATGACAGTCCTCAGCCGCACTTTGTCATTTGCTAATGAGCAAATGTTAGCCTGTTAACTAGCGAAAATGACTAAGTGAACATGGTAAACACAACAAAAGCATGTTGACGTTAGCATTTAGCCCAAAGCATCTGGCAGTCCTGTAAGGCTGCACTGAAATATCAGATAGACTTGTGTTTCCTTTTGAAATACTGGATAGTCTGCATCCAAGCCTTAACAATCCTGAAAATTAAACAATCTGAGACAGATGGGGTCTTTAAGGTAAAAGGTTGGAAACCTCAGCCTCAAAATGCACTTTCTGTTTATCATTTAGGGAGTTTCAGTGCTGCGGTGATGGTCTTGTGAAGATGCTGCCTAATGAAGTGAAAGAAATGGACGACAGAAGAAAACAGCAGGACATCTTCTTTGAAAGCCATATTTACTAATCTATGGTTTAGGAATTATGGGTTGCTCTTTTTGGTGTGGGAGCATCTCCACGTGACAAAGGAACCGTCATGATCTTATAAGCCTCCAGTGGTTAAGGCTTGTTCAAAGACTACCCACCATGTTTAAACGGTGGCTTTTGGCCCTGGTGGCCCGGGTCGGCCTCATTGTGCTGGGCCTCTGCTGCTGTCTGTTCCTGTTCTACCTCCTCGCCTGTAAACCCGCGTCACACAGCAGCCAGCAATCTCTTTCTTGGTCTGCGGGGGCCACCAGTAAGGAGGGATACATGGCTTTGTTGCAGGAAAGAGAGGAGTCTCACAGACATTACATGAACAGCCTGAGCAAGCAGATAGCCCAGCTGAAGGAAGCTCTGCAGGAAAGGACGCAGCAGCTTCAGGAGACCCTGGAAAAGGCTAAAACAAGAGGGATTCTGCCTCAGGGTCTGGAGAGTTTGCACAAAACCCCGACACAGACCGACATGAAGGTAGGAATAATGGAGTAATGTTGTCTGATGAGATGCATGGATGTTATATGGAGCAGTAAATCTTACGTCATGTCCTTCAGGAGTTCTTCCGCTCCCAGCTGAGCCAGGCCGAGGTGAACTCAGGTGTGAAGCTGCCCAGCGAGTATGCAGTGATTCCTTTCGACACTTTCACTCTGAGGAGGTGAGTGGAGCACTCGTTCCTCTGTGAGGACTAAAGTAGAGCTGCCAAGGCCTCCAAGAGTCTACTGTCAGATCTTACCTCACCTTAATTTGTGTCACTCAGGGTGTACCAGCTGGAGACAGGGTTGACAAGACACCCAGAAGAGAGGCCTGTGAGGAAAGATCACAGGGACGAGCTGATAAGCACGCTGGAGACAGCTCTGCACGTCCTGAACGGGCCGCAGCAACGCGCAGACAACACAAGGCGGAAGCGCACATACTCCCCTGCAGACTTCATTGAGGGTGAGAAAGATCATTCATGACTCTTCACACAAAAAGTTTCCATCAATAGCTTAGAGATGTAAGATTTTAAGGAGTACCTTAACCCCAAAATGATGATTTGTATGTCAATGAATAACCTAGAGTTTGCTTCCAAGGTTTTTAACCAATTCAAGTCAAGTTGGGCCTAATTGATCAAGGCGTGCACAGGCATTTTTAAAGGATTTTTAAATGGTAGGGTTTTACTACAGTTTTCTTCCCAAATAAAGGGGTCAAAGGATGTGAGTAATTGATATAAAAACCTTTGCTCCTTTAATAATATCTTTAAAATATTGGTATTGCTTTGTTATCCTAACATTAGTTTGAAAGTTTTCTGTGAAGACCTTTGTCAATTGGTACTAATATATAAACATATGATATAGGGAAAATGAGACATAGCAATGAGGGAGTAGTTGAGTGTGTTGAGATATTTTTTAAGCCAATAATGGGAGAACACTGAGTTCAGTTTCTGTAATACTGCTAATTTCTACAGTATTATAGGTAAAATCATTGGACCAATAAATAAGAGTGTTGTCTGTCTGTCACAGGGTTGACCCGTACTGAGCGGGACAGAGGAACTGTTTATGAGCTGATGTTTAAAGGCGACGGCCCACGGGACTTCACACAGGTCGTCCTCTTCAGGCCGTTTGGTCCCGTGCTGAAGGTGAAGAGCGAGAGCGTGAACACGCGCAGCATGCTCATCAACATCATTGTACCTCTGTCCAAGAGGCCGGAGGCTTTCAGGCAATTCATCAACAACTTCAGGTAAAAAAAGTAAATTAAGAAGCTGCATGGCACCCACTCACACTAACTGTGCTTATATCAGGACATTATTGATCTCACGCTTAAAAAGAGTGCATTTGGCAGTGCCTAAAGTGAAAAGACAAAAAGACTCCTCTCCACTTCAGATAAAATGTGAAGTTTATTGCTTTTATAGCTTTGAGTGTATTTCTAATCTAAAACAGTTTCTCTGGATGAAGTGTTATAGAAGTGGGCCTAACACATAATTGATTGTATGTTTTGTGTTGTGTTTTTGTTCAGAGAAGTGTGCATCCAGAAGGACAGCAGGGTTCATCTGACTGTGGTCTACTTTGGTCGAGATCAGATAGATCAGGTGAAGGCAGTCCTGGATCAGACCACCAGGTAATGTTTACAGTTAAATCATCAACCTTTCACATTGGTTTTGTGTTGAAGCAAACAATATTCACCCACAAACATTTCTTTTTTTTCAATCGACCATCTCTGACGTGCATTATGCAATTGGCATCTTAACAAAGAGCCATTTTGGGGGTTGTTACAACCAGTGTGTAAGATCCAGAGCTGGGAAATATTCTCCATTATAGGCTGTGAAGTCATGGTTCAATTCCCAAGTTAGGACCAAATCATAAAATGTGTGTTTCAATTCCTAAACAACTCATTATGCACCCTTCATCAATTGTAATTCCATTTAAATGTTGTGACAGTTCAGAAGTACATTAAAGTTGTAGAAATATTTAATGCTGTGCAAGTTTGTGGACAAACATACAAAAGCAGAATGATCAGGTCTATATCTTTACTGCAAGACTCTTTTCAATCGGTCACAAATTTGTATTGAAAACTAATCGAAGTTGGAAACAAGTGAGGAGCAAAATACCATTCATCTTCTATGAGCCAACTAACATTTTGATTAATGTATTAACATTTTAAATGCATTAGAGTACCTGTCTCAGTATCCCAGATGTTTCCATGACATCCCTCCTGTCTTCTTCTCTCCCTCAGAGAAACTCGGTTCAGGAGCTTCACTCTGATCCAGCTGAATGAGGAGTTTTCTCGTGGTCGAGGGTTGGAGGTGGGCGCCCGGGCGTGGAGGCGCGGCCAGAACGCTCTGCTCTTCTTCTGTGATGTTGACATCCACTTCACCGCTGACTTCTTAACTTCTTGTCGTCTCAATGCAGAACCTGGTGAGAGAAAGGAGGATTTATCCCTGAGCTTTTCAACATTCAAATTCAGCACAACTTGCATAGACTTGATCCAGCCTTGATTCATACTATAATCTGTTTATGCAAGAATAAGCTTATAATGACAACATTAAAGCTGGGGTAGGCAGCTTTAATTTTTACGTTTTTTTTGGCATTATTGGGCAAAGAATCCATAATAACCTTATATAGTATTAGTTATACTCCAGGGTAGGCATTGTTCTGGGGGAAAAAAACACTAAAATGTTTTTAATGAATTTGAAAAGACATTCCTTGATCTCCTAAGCCAGGATGAGGTGCCAGAGTCTAGTTTTGTCCCAGATTAATTGAATGACAATATCCTGAAAATCAGAAAAAGATACAGTGCAGATAAAAGGCAAAAGGGAAAATAGTAGACCTAAATATTTAATAAATAAAAAATACAAATAAGTAAACCATGTTTTTGTTTTTTTAAGTGGCAGTAATATAAAAATATAAGGGAATATAAAACATATTAAAGGAGATGGTAACATTTCCTAATAGTAAATCAATTGTAAAGTAATACATTATCAACTATAAATTATGAAATGCCGCCTGTTACATTGCATTAAACAATGGGCCCTGGGTGTTTTTAATAGTTCATGCTGATCAGACCTCTGCTTGGGTTGAAGTTGGGCAAAGCTACATTATGCTAGAAGTTATATAAGGTAATGTATTATTGGATGGGCTCCAAAAAGCTGAACTGCACAGTGCCGGTTTGACCCATTTACTGTAAATAAAGTGGTTTCCACTCCATTTCAATTTGGCACAAAAAAGTGCATGCCTCATTCGCTGACTTGAATAATGGCTCTTAGCCTAAGGTGAAAAAACAAAACCTATTCCTGCAGCTTTATAAACAATAAGGACAAATAAGCACATATTTCCCATGGTTTGTTTTGGCTGAATCCGAATGTAAATAAATTGTTCTGTCTCTGCCAACAAAATGTGAAAGAATGAAATTACATTTTCCCACAGACTCTCTGACACCTCCTGCCGTTTGATTATCAGCTCACAGAGCTGCCTCATATGCTGCCTGCACTCTATCCCAGCAGGGGGTTGTGCTTTTTCCACTATGTAACAAGCAGCTTGCCATCTAATCCTTAGCTTTATGACATACCACATATCATGGGGCCAGGAATAGGGTGTACAATAATCTAAAAGGTGTAAACTGACATGAAGTTTCAAGACAAAATGTATACTTAAAATATACACAGCAGTGCTATGGTGAGATTTCTGGAGAAGGTAGTCTTTTCAGATTTCTTTGTAGAGGCCTTGTTGTTATCACTCATAATAACTACTCAGTTCTGAAATGTTCACTCCAGGCAAACTTCTGCTGTTGCTGCCAGTAATAAACAAATCCATCACGTCCTGCCTGCTTGGTGTTTAAAACTGAAAATGTGTTTAGTTCAGTTCTGTTTTGTTTTTCATCTGATGTTTTGTATTTGTATGGCTTTATTGACTTGACAGTACTTGTAAAGTGCTTCTTTTAACTATTTTGTATTGCTTCCTTCTCCAGGTAAGAGAGTGTACTACCCAGTGCTCTTCAGCCAGTACAATCCGTCTATTATCTACAGTAATCAGAGTCTTTTACCCCCAGTTCAACAACAACTGGTAGGTTAACATATATCAGATACATGTACTTCATTGTGTATGAATAGATTGTCAAGTCTGCCTCTGATTTGGTCTTTTTGTTTCAGGTGATAAAAAAAGACACTGGATTCTGGAGAGACTTTGGGTTTGGTATGACATGCCAGTACAGGTCTGATTTCCTCAACATAGGTAATACATCTTCTGCCGTGAAGAAAAACCTGTTCACAATTATCCCCAAAGTCATGTTTTGTAAGACCTAATACAATAAACTATCACATTTTATGTCACTTTATATACATGAAAGCACAGCATTCTTTGTATTTGTCTACAGAATTCCACCTTTTTCTGTCATAAGATGAAATTGTTAATTAAGTTGTGGCCTAATGCTGCAAAGGTAGTTGTACATTGTTTATGTATTGTTGTTTTTTTAACTCCAAGACTCTTTCCCTAACTGAGAAAAAGCTCTTTAAATCCCTGATGTCTTTTAAGTTACACATTTGAATAATCTCTCTCTGCTTTATGTCCTTTTTATGTTCAGTTCAACTAAATGTATGTTCAAATTCAATGATGGAAACAAGATCCTCCTTGAATACCGTGCATGCCATTCCTGATTTCCTGATCCTCACTGTCTCACTGCACATTTTTAAAGTTATCTTCTTCTTGCAGGGGGTTTTGACCGCAGCATCAAAGGCTGGGGGTTGGAGGACGTGCACCTGTACAGGAAGTACCTCCACAGTAAGCTAATGGTGATTCGCTCTCCATCCCGGGGCCTTTTCCACCTGTGGCACGAGAAGGACTGTGCAGACGAGCTCCCTCCAGACAAATACAAGATGTGTATGCAGACCAAAGCCATAAACGAGGCCTCGCACGGCCAGCTCGGGGAGCTTTTATTCAAACCAGAGATCGAAGCTCATTTGGGCAAGCAGAAAAACCAAGGAACATGATAAGGACAAAGCGAAAGGGCTTTTGGTTATTTTTGTTATCTCTGTTTAGTGTGTTCTTGTTTCATGATAATTTATATTTACTGACAATAAGTATTCAGCTTCAAACTAAATATTTTTACTGTAATTATTGTTCTCCACATGGACACATAAACTTGTGCAAACAATGGCTGATACATTTTGTTAGAATAAAGAATATGTGATCTATTTGCGTACTGATTTGGGTGGAGTTCAATGCAATAACAGGTTTTTCTGAGGGCTTGTTCCATGGGAGAGCACGCTGCATTTTCATCTGAAATGTTCTTTCTCATATTCGCGATTCCACTCCTCCTGCTTGGTAGATTTTTCTTATCTTCACTTCTTTGATCCTTCTTTGTTTTTAAATCTCTGGGAGTGTTATGACATTAGTTGTTACTCTGCTTTGAAACTTTATACACCAGTAGATATTATTGTGGCTCTAACACTCCTCTGAACCATGCACCTCCTGCATTCCTTCCTGCTGACGCTTCTCATCAGACGTCTGTTGCCTTTTAATTGTTACAATGCATATGACGCATGTTTTTATCTGAACCCTCTGTTATCTACTGTTTCATTATTTGTGCTTCTCATGATTATGCTACATACGAAAACATTATCATTGACACAAGAAAAGTAAAGCGGAATAGTTTGTGTGTTTTTTTCTTTCTTACAGCAGATATTCCCAAATTCTGTCTGTCATGCCACTCTGAAACAACAACAAAACCTGCACAGTTTATATCAACTGGTAACATTACAGGGGTGTTACATCATCAATAACTTTAATTGTACTGAATGAGCTGGATTCAACCTAGATAAAGGTTTGTTATAGGTCTATGAACTCTGAAGCAGTACTTTTTCTCATAGAAACATGAAGCTATTTTTTTTATCAAACTTTATCATTTTATGTATACCTCTGTTCAGTGCATAGTTGTAGGTTTTGTTATGGCGATCAATAAATACAAACACATCAGTAATTGAAATTGAAATGGAAGCTTGAGTACTTTTGCTTTATTATATGTTTCTCTAAATTAGACATTGTTTCTGCTTCTACATTTGCTGTCAACTCTTTCGGGGTTATGGTGGTGGCCATGAATCCCTTTTAGTTTCAAATAACTGGAGAACTCGTGTTTTTGTGTTGTGTCTAAAACGCACTTCCAAAATGTACTACTTGTATCAAAATAGACATTTGACTCAAAGCAGAACCAATGTGTTGCACTGTTAACGTTGTTTTGGTTGAAGGCAGAATGTGGGACTATAAAGTCAAGATACCACCTAAACTGTATAAGAGACACGCTGGGAATTCGTTCACAGTATTCTCACAGCTAATTATTTTGGTGCATTATGACTCGGAGAAAGTTAACTTTCTTCTATTAATAGTGAAACGGAAGTCACCTCATTACCTCGGGCAGAGAGGAGGAGCAACTCTGTATCGGCCGACGGCTGCGTAAAGTCAACGCTGGCACGCGATAGGCCCGAAACTCCTATTACCACTTCCATGTCCTGTGCTGCATTCAGGTACACAGCTGAAATGTCACACTAAATCTGCCGATTGCGATAACTTTATTCACAAGAGACCAGACATTAAACAGTAACTATAGTATATTTTTCCAAGTACCTACTGCACTTCACTCCAATTTTTAAGCAATTGTTGGTCAACTTTACCTAATGATTCCCAATTGGTGATAGTCTATTTACAAAATTAGCAGGCTACTTCTTCTTTATTTTTAAGTATATTGGGAGTATTTTCTACAATTTACCTCAATGTTACATGTAGAGATTTAACATGTAACAAAGTATTTGTGTACGGATGTATTGCTGCTTTCACCTCTGGCTAACACATCTAAGTGTTTTTTGTTATTATTAAAAAATGCAAACGAAGAGAATTCAGTATGATTTCAATAAATGTCAACTTTTAGAGAAACATTTATAGAATTGAAACACAGGTTTATACATTGAAATACATTACAGCCCAATAATTAAAAATACTGAATCGCCAACAGCATGGCTGAGGGCTGAGCCCAGGGGAGCAGGTGAGATTTTTGAAATGGGGGGGAAGAAATTGAGAGGAATTATTTTCACGATAATTAGTATTTGTTTTACTATGTGTTTTACAATCATAAGTAACATTAACCCCTGGGTGGGCACATCGAAATGATCTAAGATGATTTAATTACAACGATCATGTGAACAAATATATATATTGAAAAAAATGATAACAAAAAAATAAAAATAAAAATATTTTAATATAAATATATATATATATATATAAATATATATATATTTAAATGGGGGATCAGTGTCCCTATGAAATGGGGCACTATCTTCGCCCCTGGCTGAGCCCCACATCCTCATTCATTATTATAATTACACATTTAATTTAGTTGTGTGCGTGTGTATTTATATGTGCGTGCTATAGACATCAGTGGCGTTTGAGCGACATCAGTAAACATTTATACATCATTATTGTGAGAGAATGCATTTTTATCACCAAACTCTCCCCGCCCACGCAACGTCACAACAAACCAGCTCAGAGATTTCCGACTGTACGTGAAGGCAGCATAAATCTCAGCTGTTGATGTGCTCCTCCTGCTGCCCTCCCCGGCAGTGTGTCTGTGGGCAGGACGGTGTAATGAGCTGAAGAATCCCCAGTGTGTTATCATCATGTGTGAGCATTTCGGAGGGTGAGCAGCTATTCATGCTGTGTGTGGTGGTTTTAGATTAGATCTAGACTTTAGATCTGTGTTTTTTGTTACATATTTTGGATTCCCCGTAGTTGTAGCTCCTCGGACAGTCAAACAGGAGTTTCGTGGTAGCACAATGACACTTTTATAATTTTGTACTGGAGCAGCGAGAAATGTGCGGCAGAAAGGCTGCCTCTAGTGTCGTCTAAAAGCATCCGGCAGAGTCGGGAGCGGACATTTTTTACAGAAGCGAAGAGTACCAGGAGACGCAACATGTTTGAAGGAGCAGGGATCCCTCTCATCGGGATGGACATTGCCTGTCTGATCCTCGGTATGTACATCTAACCTACCCCATCTTTTAAACCGGTCCTTTAATCCGTTTAATCATCAATAAATGCTGTTCGTTGTAAAGTGGAGTTACTATTTCAGCAACTATTTGGGGTAAATAAATTGTACAAGGAGTGTGTTTAAGCAAATCAATTGATTTACATACACGTCATGTAGTAGACACACTGTGAGACTTTAAGCAGGCAGGAAGATGGAAAAAAGGCAACAAAGTCCCACCCTGTGTGTGGGTTTTCTTAAAGCCAAGCTATATTTTTAGCTCAGTGTTTGTAATGCAATCATAGCACAGAGACAAGCTGCAGGGCTGCTAAATGTCACTGACCAATCTGCAAAAAAATAAGTTGAATAAACCTTTTGTCTGTTGATATGCCATATGTAGCCTATTTCTATTCACGCACGCACGCACGCACACACACACACACACACACACACACACACACACACACACACACACACACACACACACACACACACACACACACACACACACACACACACACACACACACACTTTCGCTATGATTCATTCAAACACAGACACTTTGCTTAGTCAGTGTCCTCTGTCCTGCTGACTGTGCAGTGTGCACCAATCATCCCATTTAGTTTTGGAGCTGTCAGTAACAATCAAACCGCAAGGTGTAAACTTTTATTTCCAATGGAATGTCTTCTGTTCAAAGTCTTCATTTATGTTAGTTAATTCGAAGTCCTTTTGTTTAAGTTTTATAAACTCTATGATCTGTAAGGGAAATATGCATTTAAAAGGAGAAAAAGTAGAAACACAACAAAATAGAAAAGTAAAAGTAGAAACACCACAAAATAGAAAAGTAAAAGTAGAAACACCACAAAATAGAAAAGTAAAAGTTGTGCATTCAAAATTACTTAAATATTACTCCCAGTTAGTTTCTAAAGCAAAACAGATACATCCATTATGCCCCCCCTTACATTGTTGCTTATAATGTAGGCCTATATAATAATATTGGTTAATTACCAATAATGCATCAGTATTATGCAACATTTTACTTTTGTAGTTTGTCAAATGTTTTTCCACTACTACATATAGTTTTTTGTGGTTTAACTTAACAATTAACCACAATTTATGTTTACATTCACACTAAGCCTATTTACACAGTAATTAATAACTACAGCTCTCAAATAAAGGTGGTGGAGTAAATCAGAGCAAGTCAAAGCATGTTCATTTTGTTCGGCTGGTTTTTCACCAATGACTAACGACATAATTCCTAGCATATGATTTTTGCAATATTTCTCTGTTGAAATTGGAGGCCTCAAGCAGTGTAATTTAGTTTTTGTGCAACTCCAACAGGGTGATTTTCCTTTCTTGCAGCTAAATGAAAGCCACAATAATCATCAGCACAAAGGGGAACTCCTGTGTCATGGCATCACATCACGTTTCCTGTGATTAAATCTTAAATTGTTAACATTTCCTAATAGTAGCTGTGGCTCATGACTGAGTCACAGGAGTTCTCTCTGCTTGTACATTTGGATGAGATGTTAAAAGTTGAAAATGAGGTATAATTGGTACTCACTATCTGCCTCCTTCTTTTTCACAGTTGGCCTTCCATTTTTTATCTTGACCCCTCAACACAACCCTTTTAAAAGGGGTTTCTTCTGTAACGATGAGTCCATCAGATACCCTCTAAAAGAGGATACCATCTCCTACCAGCTGCTGGGAGGAGTCATGATCCCCTTCACTCTTATCGTGGTGAGTCAACAGACGTCTTCTTCCTTAAGATCTCTGATCTTGACATGTCAATTGTTATGGTGAGTCATTGTTTGTTCTTCTTCCGCAGATCGTCTGTGGCGAGTGCCTTTCTGTTTACATGTCCCGCATCAAGAACCAGTCTTTGGGGACTAAGTATGTGGCGTGTGTGTATAAAGCTGTTGGGAGCTACGTGTTTGGAGCTGCTGCGAGCCAGTCTCTGACAGACATCGCAAAGTACTCCATCGGCCGCCTTCGGCCATACTTCCTGGCTGTGTGCAAACCAAACTGGAATAACATTAACTGCACACCTGGGGGATACATTGAGAACTTCACCTGCACTGGAGAAAAGTTTCTGGTAGATGAAGCCAGGTAATGTAATAAAGACTATACAATTATTGTTTTCCCAGTCCTAGTTGTGCTTCTTGAAATTAATAAACCTGTTTTGATATGTACACTTAAAAGCGGTCCCCCTTAATCATCTTCTTCATTTATATTATAACAGTGCTGATTTTGATCATTATTATGAATTAATGAAAAGTCACTTGATTATTGCGATGTTTCGTAATTTCATTTAGTTTCTCTTCTGTTTTCCTTTTGTAGACTGTCCTTCTTCTCAGGTCATTCATCCTTCTCTATGTACTGCATGCTGTTCCTTGTAGTAAGTACATCTATTCTACTTCAAAACACTTTTTCAGTCTAAATGTGACTTACATTTCAGTGCTGTAAATGCTAAATAACTTTTTTTCACATAATTCTCTTCAGAAAATGCGTTAGCTGCCAACACCTTTGTAAATATGGGTTTGGCCATGTTAAACTGAATGCCTGCTGTAGGTGTGAGCCCACACCTTTTTTTTTGTTGCTATTCTTATATTGTGTCTGTTCTGTAGCTGTATGTTCAAGCCAGACTGAGGTCAGAATGGTCGAGGCTTCTGCGTCCCACCATCCAATTCTTCCTGATTTCCACTGCTGTGTATGTGGGTCTGTCCCGGGTGTCTGACTACAAACATCACTGGAGTGATGTGTTCGCTGGCCTCCTGCAGGGAGGGGTAGTGGCTACTCTTACAGTAAGTCTCATCTAATCATTACATATGCAAGTGAAAACACTGTGTTGGGTAATTGGGAAAGCACCTTTAGAAAAAGCGTGTTGGCCATGTTTGAATTTAAAAAGAGGTTAATGGTTTGAACATGCAGTTTTTTTACTTTTGTTTTCCCTTTTAGGTTTTATAAATCATCTTAAAACACAGTGAATAAATGTGTCCTATACTGTAAATACTATGTCAGCATTTTCCAACTGTTTATTGAAGCTATAGGACGTTACACTGAAATATTTAGACCCAATACTTTATGACTTGTATAGGGTCACCATTCAAATCAAATGAAGCTTTGGGATTTCCACTGAAAACAATGTTCTGTTGGTTTGAACAATAAGTTTCTAAATAATAGGAATAAGAGTCAAAGAAAAGTACTAAACCATTTTTATATGTAATTAAAAGATAGAATATAAAAGATAAATAAGGCATTTTACATAAAAACACCTATAATACAATACAAGAAGATGTCTGATCTACTTTAATGATGTCATATATTTTCTCTGTGCAATTACGACCGAAGCAATAACAGAAGAATGAGTTTTAATCATGCTGCATGTTTTCTGCAGGTGGTCTGCGTGTCTAATTTCTTTGAACAGCCAGTGGGCCCGGTGGTGTGCCAGGAGGAAGAAGCCACACACACCAGTTTACAGGAACACCCTGCTAATGGAAACCACTATGGCAGCACTTAGTGACTGAGGCCTCAAAAGACAATACTCTATGTGGCCTTTATTCCTTGAAATGATCACTGAGGTTCTACATTGGATCAGTAAACTGCAAGCGTTTGATGTTCACTGCTGGTTTCTGTGCATTTCACAAACACAGTTTATCTGTGGAGCCCACACTGCAGGCTCTAGCTGCTTCTTTCAGTGTGGTCTGTAAACTTTGCAAAGTGCACGAGAGCGGACAGGTCTTGCACTTTACTAAAAGTAGAACACTTTCTGCCGAGTTTTGGGGTAAATCCAACGTAAAACAGTTGAATGACAAAACAAAATACTGCATGTTGGGTTTATTTTAGAGAAGGTGGCTTTTTACAGTGTGAGCTTGTATGAAATGTGGTTTCTAGCGTATATTGGTCTGATGTTGCCATCATGAATGAATGAAATTCTTTTTGCCCAGAATATAATGAGTGTCTGTGTGCGCTCTGCAAGCAGGCTTGTAGGGGTCTGGCACCTTTGAACAAGAAAACCTGGACTGTCAACTCCAGGAACTGCAAATGGAGACTGGACTCAGAAATAATATATATTTTATGTTGATTTTGGCCTTAGTCAGATTGCTGCTACCTGCTGTCATGTCCCTTCCCTAATGTTATTTCATGTTAAAAAAATACAATGCATTGGTTTTTAAAAAGTTTGTATGAAGATGGTTTTATATTTTCTCAACATAGACGCTTCAAACTGTTTTGTTAAAAGCAGAACTGTGGAAAATGTTTGAAAAAATAAAGAGAGCTTTGTTTCGCTTATTTGTTACAAAGAAGATTACTGTTGTGTCTGTAGAAAAAGCAAATACTATATAATACAAGTGAATTAAGCCTTGGACAATGTACAACTGACTTTAAGGATGGCCTTACTTGCTACTGCAGAATAGCTGACTGTTGTTTTTCTAGTAACTGCAGACCGCAAATATGTGGTTCAGTAACCAAATTAAGAAATGAAAGGAACAAAACACTGCTTTGGGTGAGGCCGTGTAGACCGACAATAGAAAGCACATGCATGCAAATGTGCCTCTTCTGTTGCCATGAAAAATAACATGTTTCTGTTCCAAGTGGTATCATGTATAGGTGGTTAAGCACTACATCCTCAACCACTAATGTCTGAGTTGAGGATCCGCTTTAGAGTTTAAATCCTATTACAGTGACTGAGAGAACTAGGTTTGGTTAAGCACATAGTGACAGCAATAAACACACACTCATGAATCTCAACTTAAGTCTATAGGCTGATTATGTTTCAGCAGGGCAGTTAACATTCTTCTGCTCAGTGTGTGTAGATGCACAGCCTTGGATTGAGATAAGCACATTTTCAAAACGGGTTGACAGAAAAAGGATTTAAGTATTTACTGGAATCAATGTCACAGTACTAGACAACTAATTTTGATTTTCCCTTAAAGACTCATCTCCTTTTATTGACTAAAAACTCCTGACCCTATCGAGAAAATTAGATTTAAAGGACATACAGCACTACTGTATTAGGCTACTATCTAGATTATATTTATGTGCAACACATAAAAATAACAGAAGTGATGTTAAAATAAGGCGTTCACAATGCTGGGGAAATTCCCTGGGGCGATTGCAAAAAAAGCCATTTAAATGCAATATATTCCTAGACGTGAATTTGAAGACTACTGCTTATCATTAAGTATTTTTCATGGGTAGTATATCCCCGACTTTAAATCTGCTTGTCTACTGAAACTGATCATGTTGCTGTAGATAACTACCACCTCCCCCACATCTAAAATGTGACCGTACATGTCTGTGTGTCCACAGAGCTCTCTCCTGTTGTCACGCTGACCTCGACAATAGTCTTTATTGAATGCAGCCCGATTCACTCTCACATGTCACATGTCTCACTTTATCTTGCCAGGCAGTGATGCCACTGGAGAAACAAGCCACTCATAATGCTCACTACACTTATATAGTAAGTAATAGTCTTTAAAGGCATGGCACTGAAACATTATCAATTGACTTTCCTCCTAAAAACACTTACTTAACCAGCCCTATTCTCTTGAGATAATGAATACTCAAATCAGCTCACACTACAGGATCCTAGGAACAGTATCAATTGTTAACAAAAGACAAAGAGCATGTCTAATATTGTTCAACACAAAGGCTGCCTGAGAGACAAGAGCACCGCACATCATCCCTCATGAGAAATGACCATGGCAACCAGTTTGTTTTTGATTAGATTTAACAACTAAGGTTTCTAATTTTATCTGAGAAAATTGGTAGTGGTGGATTAAAACGTTTTAAATAAGGTGTCAAACTTACTCAAGTCAACTAGGATCATTTCTACAGCCTTTGACGCAAATAGAGCATTAATTATTACAGATTCATTTTTATTATATTTAATGTCTACATAACAGGAGATTAAAGTAGAGAGAAAGGGGTCGAGAAGGGACTAAATGGCGCTGCTACATCCTCCTGCTGTGATATGTGATCAATGTTGGTAAAATTAACATCCTTTTCAAAATAATCAAATGAAAACTTTCAACTAGAGCCAAACGCAGTCATCCTTCAGTCACTCATGCTATAATAATCTTTGGTAAGATGCAGATACTATTGTCTCTCCTGTGTAGCCCAGTCCACTTTTTGACAATTACAGCCATCTACTGGTGAAGATATGAAGGTCACATATTTGAAGGACCAGACAAATCTATTCTCACTTTCAAAATTAGTTGTCGGGAGGACAGTCTCACAAGATTTCACACAGGACAGATTTGATGTGTGACAGCGTCACTGAATTTATTACCATAGTAACAAACATTTCACCCAGTTGAGAAACTGGGCTTGCAGTCCTTTCTTCCTCTGAAAACAGTGAGGAGCAAAACAAACACTTGTCAAGTTTAAACACTAATTTACCCAGTTAAATATTATGCTCTTGTGAACAACTTATTACAGTAAAGAGAGTTCAAGATGATGGTATGTAGATAATTATGCATATTACCTTTATGTTTTGGTACACTGAAATAATCAGATAACACCTTTGACGTGTTATTGATTAGACTTACTCTTCTGCCACTTGTGGACTCTGCTCACAGGAATCCGACCTACATACTAGACTTACTGCAGTTAAGCGCACAATCAGAATAATTTTACACCTCGGGAGGGTTGTAAAATTTTATTTGGAGAAATCTGTACATGGAGGTTTTGGCCTTCAGTGTGTTCACATATATAAGCGAAGTGGGGACACAGACAGGTAGCTCACTGAAGATAAAGAGAAGTGCTATCCTTTACTCAAAACTGGACAGGAAGTTCAGGACAACCTGCTTCAGTTTAGTGTCCGATACTTCTGAGATCTGGCCTTCAATCCTGAAACAGACAACAGATGACGTCAAAAATCCAAACTTTTAAAATGTTATTTCTTGAAACATTTTGTGGCTGTGGAATGTCTTACTTGATTGCGCTGAGCAGATCCTGGTGCTGGCTGAGGACGTGCTGGAGGAAAGCCTTCTCGAACCTTGTGATCTTGCTGGGCTCCATTTTGTCCAGGTATCCTCTGACACCAGCGTAGATGACTGTGACCTGCTCCTCAATGGCCATGGGACCTGGAGCAAGTGGAGGAGACAGTTTATTATTGCATTAAAAAAAAAAAGACATACCAGCGTAGCATTTCTTTTATACTTCTTGGAAAGCAGGAATTCTAAAAAGACATAGACACTCACAGTACTGTCCCTGCTTGAGCAGTTCAGTGAGCCTGACACCCCTGTTCAGCAGCTGCTGTGTGGTAGCGTCCAGGTCAGAGCCGAACTGGGCGAAAGCAGCCACCTCACGGTACTGAGCCAGCTCCAGCTTCATGGTACCGGCCACCTACAGAGAAGAAATACCATTATAAATAACGCAGGAGACGAAATGCAGGAATTGTTTTTATAAAACTGTAAACAGGAAATGTAGGTTCATGATAACGCAATGTCTGAATTTAAAACTTAAATCCCGATGTTACCTGCTTCATGGCTTTGGTCTGGGCAGCAGAGCCTACTCTGGACACAGACAGACCCACGTTGATAGCTGGGCGGATACCCTTGTAGAACAGCTCAGTCTCCAAGAAGATCTACATATAACAGATAAGGAGATTACAATTTAACAGCGTTATTACGAAGAATGTGGGAAATACCCAACCAAAACATGAATGACAGTTTTAGACATACCTGTCCGTCTGTGATGGAGATGACGTTGGTGGGGATGTAGGCAGACACGTCGCCGGCCTGGGTCTCGATGACGGGCAGGGCAGTGAGGGAGCCACCACCGAAGTTGTCGTTCATCTTGGCTGCTCTTTCAAGCAGACGGGAGTGCAGGTAGAACACATCACCAGGGTAGGCCTCACGACCGGGGGGGCGACGCAGCAGCAGGGACATCTGGCGGTAGGCAACAGCCTGAGAAGAGGGGGAGAAGACATTTAACATGACTGCACTTCTGAATACTGCCTCGATTTCTTTATGAATATCGATGGATAATTTTTCCAAATGCTAATATAAGCTTAGAAGAAAAAAAAAAGAAATGCTGTCATTTTCCAGTTATGACAGTTTTACAAAATCAGACTTTTATTTTCTTCCTCTGTCCTCACCTGCTTGGACAGATCATCATAGATGATCAGGGCGTGCTTGCCGCTGTCTCTGAAGAACTCTCCCATGGAGCAGCCAGAGTATGGGGCCAGGTACTGCAGAGGAGCAGCATCAGAGGCGGTGGCAGAGACCACGATGGTGTACTTCATGGCATCGGCATCAGTCAGCCTCTTCACCAGCTGAGCCACAGTGGACCTCTTCTGTCCGATGGCAACGTAGATGCAGTACAGCTTCTTCTTCTCGTCAGTTCCATCGTTGAAACGCTTCTGGTTGATGATTGTGTCGACAGCAATGGCAGTTTTGCTGAGGAACAGAGATGGATTTAAAGAGCATACTCATTGATGTTACATTGAACCCAAGTCATAAGCTCCCATTAATCCAGGGAAAAGCTGTGAGTCAAGTTACAAAAATAATGATAATTGTCTTTTTAAGTATTTACCCAGTCTGCCTGTCACCAATGATCAGCTCACGCTGGCCTCTGCCGATGGGCACCAAGCTGTCCACAGCCTTGATTCCAGTCTGCATGGGCTCCCTCACAGAGATACGGGGGATGATACCAGGGGCCTTCAGACCCACACGCCTACGGATACTGGAGCCCAGGGGACCCTGAAAAATAATATATTTTTAAAAACTAAAATATTTTGTAAAAACATTATTACTTATTATATGCATTATAACTGCATATATTCAGTCATATTATACAACTTCTACTCTAAGAAAAGTTATAGTGAGTCAAGTGACCTTTCCATCAATAGCGTTTCCCAGAGCGTCCACCACACGGCCGAGCAGCTCCGCCCCAACAGGGACATCCACGATGGCACCAGTCCTCTTCACGATGTCACCCTCCTTGATCAGCTTGTCGTTACCGAACACCACAACACCAACGTTGTCGGGCTCCAAGTTCAGAGACATGCCCTGCAAGAAAATAAAATATATATTTTACGTTCTACCAGAATAATTGTTTTACACTGGTTGCTTAGAGTTATATAAATATATGAAAAGAATGTATAAACAAAGCAAAACCGATCATTTAGGATTTTTTGGGTTTGATGGCATTGAAACATTAATGTAAGGAAAAAGTACACTATGTTCTTTCTGTTTTGTCAATTCAAGATAACCACTGTATGGAAAAAACCTTCTATAAATACAATAAGTTAACACTTCATGTCGTTTTGAAAAGTGCATTTTTCCGGGAAAATAAATAAATAAATAATTGTATATTCTCCTTTAAAACAAACCTTCAGTCCAGAGGAGAACTCCACCATCTCTTCTGCCTGGACATTCCTCAGTCCGTAAACTCTGGCAATACCGTCACCGATGGACAGCACGCGGCCGGTCTCCTCCAGGTCAGCAGAGGTGTCAGCTCCCAAGATCTTCTCCTCCAGGATTGAGGACACGTCGGCTGTGCCTGTGAACAACAAAACATGTTTATTGCTTAGCCACCATAAAAATATGTGATGTAATTATTGTAACAATTATGCAACATAGTGTTGGATTATCCCAGATATATTCAATTAAAAAAAAAAAAAATCAAATTTAGGCACAAAAAAACAACCTTGATTGACTGTCAAAGATGTGACAGCTGTGATTTTAGTCAGTGTCTCTTCTATTAAAAGGTTATTTAAAAACATTACCCAAATTACCTCATTTTCCAGCAAACGATAAACTTAAATATTTACACAATCAATGAATGAATAATAGTGAACTTGATGTCCAATAATTTTAAATAAACATGAAATGTGCCATTTATCATTTACAAAGAAATGTTAATGCAGTCTGTTATTATTGTATTCCTCCGTGCATGTGTGTTTTGTATGTATTGTATAAGCCTACTATGGCCTACGTTATCCTCAAGACTTAAAAAAAAGAATCCGTCTGTCCTGTTAATATGACAGCAATTAAAAGTCAAGCTCTGTAAACACAGTATCACCAATGACCTTCATAAAGTACCTTTAGGAGCTGACCTACAGTGTGGAGGCTAACGTTTCTGTCATGTTGTTTTTAGCTCACCTGTCTTCTGCAGCCATGGTCTGTGTGTGTGGAGGTGGTTGAACCCAACGCAGGCGACGGGGAGAGCCTTGGACACCTAATGTAACGACACACGGTTTGGATAAAGCGTTCATTTCAAATACAAGTTCAAAGATGCAGCAGCGACAGTTAAAATGGGCACTTTAAAAGCTTAGCTAGTGCAGGTCTGTGCAGCGGAGAGTACAGGCGCTGTCAGGATTCCTGACCTTCAAAGCGTGGCTGAATGAGCCGTTAGCTGGCAGCTAGCATTAGCTTAAGTGCTAACTTTAGCACCGCTTGCTGCAGGACGGGGACTGTCGTTTCACAAGGGCAACTTCAACAAACATATGAAATACACAATTGTCGAGGTTGTTAACGCGGATTACTGCTCAGGAGAGCTTAGTAGCATGTAAAGCAACATTGTTAAGTCGATGACAAGTTAGCTAGCGGCCTTAACATTAACATTACCCTTCACGCCCACAGGCTTCACACTAATATAAAACAAAACTGCTGCAACATCAGATGTGGATTGAATAGTTCAAATACTTACAAATCCAGACCTTCTGGGCAAGGTCCTGGCCAAAGCTGCTGCAACTCTCACGGATAACATTTTGTCCTGTTGCTAATGACCTGTCCTCCACCACTAGCGGCTGCGACCTGGCTGAGTGAATGTAATGGCTGAATGAACTCTTCTTCTATTTATGTGACACTGACGTTACATTTACTGCGTAATAGCTCAACCCTGCCCCTGCCGTCAGGGAGCAGGTACTGCTGCTATATTTATCCCCAAAACTTTATTAATGACAAACCTGTCCTTCTCTTTGTTAGTCAAGGCAAGTACCAAAAGTGGAAAAATAACTCAGATAATTTACTTAAGTACATGTAGCAACACCACTGTGTAAAAATACTCTGTTAAGGAAAAGTACTGCATTTAAAAACACAAGTCAAAATATATATATATATAGAAATACAAATAAAATGTAAGTAACTAACCTTTAAAGCTTTCATTTTGTAACCTAGTAAAAGGATTACCTGAAAGGATTAGAATATGCGATGTAATAAGGGTATAGGTGGGCCTGTAATAAGCTTAACTTCATCCCTATCGTATTTTGTCACTACTACCATTTGTCACTACTACCATTTGTCACTACTACCATCATAAATATTCAAATACTAAAGCCTCCACTTAAGTCTATATGTCAAATGAACATTCAACAGCTGTAATGTTAATGTTGAGTTATTTTATAAAAAAAAAAACTTTGTAAATTAGCATATAAGCATTTTGTATTTGAGCAATAATGTAATTCAATTTGCAAGATAAAATTGTTTGTCCTTAAAAAAAAAATACAACAAGTAATACATGTAGGAAATAAAAATAACCATAATAAATCTAGCAGGGAATTTTCTAGTGACTGAACATGGACATTATAGATGGACATTTGGACATGGACATAATAAAATGAAGGCATTCGGTAACGCCTGGTTTAAATTAAGTCCTGCTTTATATTTCTGAGCTGCCCTTATATTATTTGTGATGCATTTGAACGGGTAAAATACAAATATGTTTAATTGATTAGTTATTATCAAGGACATTCTTCAGACAAAAATGCCTAATTATGTGATTTAAGCTTCCTAATGTGGAATTAATGAAATGTGAGTGCACATTATGATGCCTTACTATAACGTATATTTAATTTGTGCATACTTCAGATCATGCCTAATAACCACAACCTATGTATAAACTAATAACCTTGGTAAATATTGGTAAGTACTTTCCCAGCAGAAGGTAAAGGGGAATGAAGTTATGCATAATAACAGAAGGCATCAACCTGCTGCAACATACCTCCTAAAAATGTACACTACCATCAAGTATTTTATTATCAGCCTATACTTCAGATCAAGTCTGACGACCAAGGTTAACCGAGAGGTAGCTGCAGCTTTTGTGTGTAGAGCCGCAACATCGCCCTCTTTTGCTCCGGACATAACATGACATGTCTGCTTTTCTGAACGACAACCAACCGAGGCAGACAGTCTTTCGTCGGGTTTGCCTGTGGTGCTAGTAGCCAGCCAGCCAGCAACAACCAGCCGCCTGAATGTAGATCCGCATGGGCTACTACTATTCTTTCTCTCCAAAACACCCAGCGGAATCATAAGATAAGGATCCCAGGATGGTCTTAGTGCATGTCGGATATCTGGTTCTTCCTGTATTCGGCTCAGTAAGAAACAGAGGTACGGTATTAATATTCATATCGATCCCAAACATGTGCCCTGTTTATCTTAATATTCACTGCAGCTGTTTGCTAGCTAGCTCGAGTTTAGCCCTTGGGTTAGCTCGTGTTAGCCAGCTTAAAATTAACGGTAACATTATTCGCAAAACGTGCCCGCAACGTAATACTACTTTATTGTTATTTACTTCCATTGAAATAAACCACCGAATAAAGTTGTTTGCCGAGCGTAATTCCGCGTATTTTAAGATAAATACCGCCGCTAAAGATAAGCTAACTGGCTCGTTGGCACAGGCTATGTCCTGGAACGGAAACATTTCTCACAAAGGATTTCACAGACACGGGGCGTGCTGTCGTAAATAGCCCATGTCAAAACACATTCCCGAATAGACAATCGTGTCAGACAATGTCAACCTGAGATACATTTTTAGACTTGCGTTTTTTATTTTAGTAACATAGCGATGTATAGCTGTTTTCCCTAAGGCGCTATCGTGTATTTGCCGTGTAAAAATACCGCAAAATAGACGTAGCCTTTCTAGCCAGTCAGCTTATCTGTGCCTGGATGATGTCATTTGAAGATCATCTGCTTCTGCTAGCGCTCGCCGTTTTTCTACCTGGATTTTAGTCATTATTATTCGTGTTAATTGGTTAATGTACAAATCGATAAATAGCCTATTGTCCGGTCACCGTGGACTTCCTTATCATCACAAATATCAAACGCCTTTTTCATTATTTGCCAATTGGCAATTCAGCAGCTGTTTGGTTTGAAGCTTGCAGAAAGACCCGAGTATGCGGTCGCAGTTAAACAATGGTAAAGCTACAGTGTAACATTAATTTCACAACAGTGGCATCAATGATTTCATTGTGCTTTTATTTCTGTTCTTATTTCCCTGTTTCATAGTATGGAGGCTGGCTCTACATTCTGCATTTATCAGATCTTTGTCGTCCCCCCCATTGTGTAGCTAATGATCATCTGCTGCTGTGTGGTGTGGCGTGGCCTCTGCCTGTTCTCTGCATTTAGCTGTATTGTGAATCCCTTCTTCATTTCCTCTTTCCATCAGAAGACGACATTGGTATTAAAAAGCACCCCCTCCCAAGATGTTTTCAGCCATAGACTTTCTTTGTTAAGCAGACTAAACAATAGCTAACACCTAGCACAGAGCACCTTTTTTGTCTTTTTCTGTCAAATTGCTGTAGCACTGAGTAAACATTTTAGCTCCTTTTTTAGATATCAGTTGAATGTCATTGTGTACCTCCCATCCAGTCTTGATAGACAACATGCTGTAAATTCCTGTAAAGTGGATACATTTTTGCATGATCTCAAATACGGCACTGCATTGTTGGACACCAGAATTCGGCTCATCTTCCTTCTCTTCACACAAGGTGCAATGTACATGATAAAAGTGACCTTTTAATTATTAGAAAAAACATGCAAATTGGAACCATATGCATGCAATTATTGTTAAAAACCTGCATTCAAGGCAATGCTGTTACGTGATCACTTGAAACGATTGAAGGTACACTGCACCTGCACACAACAACCTGCCATAACTGTCTCCATTTTTGTGTAATCCTTTTTGTTCCCTTTGCAAATTTCAAGCTTTGAATCACACTGAACTGTCAGGGCTGTTTGCCCCTTATAGACAAATGAAACTCTAAACATTTACGTAAGCAAAACATGCTCACTGGTGGTTCATCACTTCCCAATTTTCCCCACTAACATAAGGCCAAAATGCTATCCATTTCACAGGGATGCCTATTTTCCTGCACTGCTAAAGAGATCCTCTATTAGTAATAACGTCTTTTATTGTTTGGTTGTGGTCTCTCTTTACCTTTTGTTCTTGTATTAGTACTTTCAATGCATGGTCACATTTATGATTCATAATTTTTTGTTTTTGTTTTTTCTACATTGACTAGTGAAAATCCAATGTAATCTTTCTGTAGTAAAGATGTACCCTGCTGTACTGAAATCATGTGCTGTAGCCAACACGTCTGCTCATTGGATGCTGCTTTTGTTCTTTTTAACCCTATATGGAGCATGGTGGGCCTTGCCTTCAGTCTATGTTGTTTATTTTTGTTGCATGGATTTATACTATTATTACAAACAAACAAGAAAAAAAACACAAATTCCACATAACTAATATTTTCAATAAAGAATATAGTGTTTTTCCTAACCTTCAGTGTGCTTCTTGCTGATTTCCATTTATTGTCCTCCCTCTCCCTTGTCCCTACCTGCCCCCCTCCACCCCCACCCACCTCCTCTCCCACTGTGACAAAGATAGACAATTTCCACGCTTCCTCCATCACAGGGCCTGAATGAGTCTATCTGCTGTCATTCATGGTGATCGTTTTTCACTGAGACACTTAAAAACGCAGTGTGCTACTTACAGTGTAGACTTGGGCCTTTGACCCACGGCAACAAGGTCATCTCTTGTCTGCCCGGCAACACTGACAACCTGAAAATATAGCTGGAAGGTCATACTGCTTGTCTTCGCTGGGTGTGTTTTAAAATCATACTGCGTTTTTCAAGTGTACTCCTACTAGTAAATGCAATGTAGACTTTGCCTATATCCTCATGATTTAAAAAATATTTTTACTGTTTACATCAGAATACTCCGCCTCTTTTTAGACTGTTGAAGCTGATAAATTGTGAAAAACGGTACTGGAATATTAGTGCGCAATTGTAATGTCTAAACTCTTTCAAATTCACTGCTTCGGTTTTTGCCAGATGTATATAACAGAGCATTGAAACCTGCCCCTCTGCAAACCTATTATGGCTCCCTTTAACCAGGATTTCTGCAAAAGTTCTAAAAAGCGACATTTGTTATTGCAATATGTCAGCATTTCCATAATCAAAAAAGTATTTTTAAACATAAGCACGTTATTAAAACCAGATTGCACCACAGCACAAGTTAGTCTAGTTTGCTGACTGTTGAGTCTCCACAGCAGTCTGTTCACTGCAGCTGCCAAATAGCTTTGGTTGGAGAGAGTTAAAAAAGTATTCAAGCTATTTCCTCTCTACTCCTGAATGTTCGTATGGGAGAAAAGCAAATACAGCTACACTGGATGTGTAAGACACAAAGAACAAGTAGGTTTCAGCTAGGCGCAGATGTATAAAATGTGATTTTATGGTGTATCATTTTAAAGATGGAGAGAATTGTTCTTTACGATTATAAAGATAGGTACCTAGCACCCAGCAGTTTAATATTTCTCATGACAGCCAGGTACTAAAGGTTTTACTCAGGGTGCACTGACCCACTGTCGGCTGCAGAATTGACAAGAACCGAGCTGCGTTGAAGACCAAACACTGGTAGATTTCATCTGATCTGATCCAGTTCGCTTGTCTGTGAATCAGAAGACCAGGAGTCGATCCAGAGGTCGGAAATGCAATAAAAGAAAGGAAAGCTTGCGTATTGTGTGCAGGACCCAAAAATGGTTGTCATGTTCATGGTACTTGTGGTAACCATCATTTCCCCACCCCCACAGAAGTATTTTTCACCCTAGGTAAGATGTAGGGCATCATTAACATGCTATATCACACACACACAGTGACACAACATTTCACCCACAATTAATTCCACCTAATCTCTCCACCCAGGTACCTGACAACTTCTCCTTATCCTCCACAGGATCGCATTTCAACCGGCAACAGCAGCAGCAGCACAGCCATGCTACCTCTTGCCGGCACTTCCAGTTAGGTCCTCAGGCTCCGCTGCCCATGGACTTCCCCATGCCCCACCCAGGGCAGCCACAGTCAGGCATTAACCCCCACCTGGCCCCTCCTGGCCACCAGCATGGCCCTCCGCTCCACCCGCCCCTCAACCCCCTGCCCGGCCCCCAGTTCCAGGACATCCCTGCCCCTCCCTTCCTACCTCAGGCATTACACCAGCAATACCTCCTCCAGCAGCAGATCCTCGAGGCCCAGCACCGACACATCCTGCCACCTTCCAGGTATCCACACGGGTTACCAGGGAAATAGCATGACTTAAAGGTCACCGATTATGCAAAATCCACCTTTTCATGTCTTTTATACATAAACATGTGTCCCCTCCTGTGTAAAGAGATTCTGAAAGTTTCAGGAAAAAAAGATTTGCTCACTTTTTGTCCTGATCCATTTATATAAAAACCTGTCTGAAAATGAGCTGATCAGATTTTGGCCACTGTGTAACCATTAGCCAACAACCAACCAAGGTAAACCCCCCCCCCCCCCCCCCCCCCCCCCCTTATCACCTGAATCTCCTCCTAGAGCACCATTTGCCGCTTTCACACCAAGTACTTTGCGGTACTTAGTTCCCCCGAACTCTTTAGTTCCTGGAACTGTCCTAGTAGATCGCGTTCACACCGGAATAAGTCCCTGAGGGAGGATTACACAAATGAAGCCGCTGACGTCACTTCTTCTTCTTCTGCTTTGGGTTTACTGGCAGGCCACAAACAAATTCATGGCGTATACTGCCACCCGTAGTCCCGGAGTCCCCCGGAGTTGGGGACTGGCTTCAGTAGAAGCTGCTGGTTAGCGTCTTCCGAGTAAATCGCCAGAAGCGCCGACACCTCATCACTCCACTGCTCCCATGTTTTCTTTTGTGTTGCCATAAGTTAGTCTCTCTCCGTTGGTGCGCTGGGCTAATGCTAATAATGCTAATGCGAGCAAATAAAATGGCGGCTTCACAAAACTTTTCCGAGTTTTACGGGGCGTGGTTTGCAATTCGCCCAGCCAATCAGAAATTGTTAGTGTGGCCGACACACCCACAAACCTTTTTCTCCCCAGGAAAGTCCCTGCTCTCTAGCAGGAACTATCTGGGGGTGAAAAGGTTCGCGCGAACTAAAGTCCAAATCTTTTTGGTGTGAACGCATCAGAACTATTCCTGGGAAAAGTACTCCGGTGTGAAAGCGCCTATTGCGTTCTTTTTAACCAAATATCTCTGAGGGGAGTGGGGGATGGCTCCTTATTTTTCATCTAAAGTAACAGACAGAGAATCAGCACTTTTGAAACAGGGCTGAAACAGAGGGGATTATGGGATGCTACAATGCATGATCTGTTTGGTATTTCAAGCCAAACACTTCAGAGACATTTTTTGTATATAACTGAGACCTATAATATATTGATGAAAAACAGTATAATAGGGGACCTTTAAATAAATACAAAAATAATGTTCCTGTTAACCTCATGCAGAGCAACAGTAAGTAGGCTAATTGATCGGTAAAGAAAAAATAATCCCCTTTCTATTTTGACGTTCAACCAATCGGCAGAAATGCAGCCTCTTAAAATATGGTTATTCTGCTTTTGCTGTCCTATATCCTAATACATTGAATATCATTTGGCTATTAACTGGCATCTCCTTGGAAACTAGGATGGACATATTTCAATGTTTTTGGACATTTTAAAGACCAGGAAATTGGTTAATCTTGAAAATACAAATTAATAAATAATGAAAATAATCATTAGTTCAAGTCCTAGCCTCACGTTCTTTTCACGAGGATTTTCTGAAATGCTTGGTTGTTTGTCTCGGTAGACGCACCCCAGAGCGAGTTCCTCACCAGCCCCACAGACTGCGGCCCGGCTTTGAGTTTGCTCCGCCTCTCCATGTCCCCCCCCAGCCTGTGGTGCAGCAGCCCCGCTACCTGGCTGAGGGCACAGACTGGTAAGCATTATACCTCTGATACAATTTATTTTGTCTTTAGTGGATGAGATTAAAATAATCATTCCTTCAGAGTACAAATTATTACATTTAGATTTCATACTTGTATTACAATTCTTATTGTCACACAACACATTTTTATTTATTTAATCGTTTATTTGGCAGGGACAATGCACAGTAATGAACACTTAAAACATTCAAATGTGTCAAGCGTATTGATTCAATTTGGTGTTCAAAAAGAGCCCAAAACTAATCAACTCCTTCTGGCCATTAGCAATAAACTCCATACACAATAAATGATTACCAACTCCCTTTTTTGTCGGAAATTAAAACTTTTGCGATGATGTAAGTTTAGATTTCATACCAGCAAACATTTGACTGAATTATACATTACTCACTTTTGCACCAATGATGCTCAAAGTTAGACAAGACATCCTTTTTGGTCAGCTTTTTCTTAGTTTGACTGCACCAGACGACCATCAAATCTGGGTCAAGACATTACATTACATGTTAGACACTTTTATCCAAAGCGACTTACATACTCAATACTGTGGGCAATCCCCACAGGAGCAATTTGGGGTGAAGTGTCTTGCCCAGGGACACAACGACATGCTGACTGCAGTGGGGTTTGAATCTGTGACCATCTGATCCCCATACCAAGGCTCTATCCACTGCGCCCCAGACCAGATCAAAGGGGTTTAAGACCAAGCGGAGAAAGAGCCTAAGGCAAACCAACTCCTATTAGACGCTTAAATGTGCAATACACCTACGCCTGTCTGCATCATATGCAACATTAATGCATCGTTTCAAAAGGCGCAAAAGAGAAGTAGAGCTAACCACAGTGGTGCTAAAGTTAGGTGATGTAATACTGGAGAAAATCAAAAGGGAGGAAAAGAGTTTTATTGGTTATGTCAACTAAAATAAAATGGGAATGGGTGCATAATATTAAGATTTGGGGAAGTAATCAGCAAAAGGTCAAGGATGAACCTACATCCACCACTTAATGGACCTGGGACATCCCTGTGGAAAAATCAAATGTACTTTTGAATAATTTCTAAAATATCCCTATCAGTTTTTTGTAACTTAATCTCTGTAATTTCTCTGAAGAAATTGTAATAGGTAGCAATATATTCGATTAAGATAAGGTATTAAACTAAATATAGCTAACTAATTCAACAGTTAATATTAATATAATAGATATATGCTGTTTCCCATTACTTTAAGCAATCTAGTTCAACAATCCACCACTTTTATCTACCTGCTGAGACTTCCTTGTATTGGCCAACTTATGTTCATGTACTCTCAACTCAATGTGTTACAGCTGACACAATGCATGATGTATTTTTTCTTTATCATTTAAATAAAGAATTTTGCTTACTTTTCCAATGAGTTGAGCTCACGTCACAATATTTTATGCAGAGAAAAATCCTGCGATACAAGTACTCTTGTTTTGGAATCACTGTCCTAAATAATACTGTGTATAAATCAGCTGTTATCAAAACACAGTTGGCCAGAAACACTATGAAATAAAGTGTGTGCCATCGGCTGACTTGTTTTTCTATTTGTGTCCAGGGATCTAAGTGTAGATGCTGGGCTGCCCCCCCACCAGTATCACATCCATCCACTGCCGCAGCACTATCAGCACTACTTGACCTCTCCTAGGATGCACCACTTCCCCAGAAACAATGCCTCAACACAAGTGGTGAGCCCCCTCTGCCTCAGTACAATCAATCATATTAGTCTGGATGAACTCCCGGTGACTCTCACTCCACTTTTCGCAGAATAATCTCGATACCCAGCTCCCGGGGATGCAGTGTTCCATTTGTTCCTTATTTCTGCCGCAGAGCAAACGTTAACTTATTTTATCCGACTTCTTCCAGGTTGTCCATGAGATCAGAAACTACCCGTATCCCCAGCTGCACCTGCTGGCTCTGCAGAGTCTCAACCCCTCCCGCCACGCCTCTGCTGTTAGAGAGAGCTATGAGGTTCGTATCGCTGCCCCCTCACTCTCCTCCGCAGACACACCAGTCCACACTCATTTATCATTGTTCTCCCTGTGACCAATGCTTTGGACAGGCTCAAGTGCGTAACTGGTTTTCTTATTTCCAATTACCTCGACTTCCAGATGCCTCAACGGTCCAACTGCCTTTAATGTCATTACATTTGTTTTCATTTTGATAAGATGCAATCGTTTCCTGAGAGGCTCTTTCCTGTAGCTTGAAGAACCTATTTAATATTAGCATTCCACACTTGTATGTCTTTTGAATATGTTATTATACAACCGTTAATCTGCCGGTCAGACTTAAGATATTCAAATAAATAATTCAAAGATCCATTAATGTTGTTTCCTTGCTAGGAGCTTCTGCAGCTGGAGGACAGGCTGGGCAGTGTGAACAGAGGAGCGGTCCAAACCACCATAGAGAGATTCACCTTCCCCCATAAGTATAAAAAGGTAAAAATGGTCATCTTTTTATCTGCTAGCTGAGTGATAGATCTTTTCATGTGGTCTGGTGCAGAGGAAGGCACTGGGCAAGAACTTAAGCTAGATGTGAAAGACAGGATGGAAAAGAGCAGTGGAAAGGATCAAAGATTGAAGACGAGAGTGGAAAGAGGGTTGCGACTCTCACAGAAGTTCAAAGGTCAAACTAATTTCCCTCAGCAGATTAGTGAGGCAGGTCTGCAGTGTGCAAAATTCACGGCAAGGGATGAGTCATCCGGGTGTCTGCAGATATGTGCGTGGATTGAATTTTAAAAACCCGTCTACACTGAATATGACCCAGATACTCTGGAAAGAGTGTCAGATCATTTTGTACGCTGTGAGTGAGAAGAAGTAATTGAGTCTTTTCTATCTGAGGTCTATTTTATACTGGGAAGCATCATTAGGTGACTCCTTTCACCTTATTTGTCTGGGCTGACTCGGAGACACCCGTGGCATAAACATAACGGCTCCCAACACACAGCTGCACGACACACGTTAATAATTCAAGTCTGTTTGCCTTCCTGTCTCTCTCTCTGCAGAGAATACCCCAGAATGACCTGAAGATGTGTCTGGAAGATGAGGAGCTGGACACAGATGAGAAGTGCACCATCTGTCTGTCCATGCTGGAGGACAGAGAGGATGTCAGGTACAACTACACGCTCATCTTTTGCCTTTTCAAAGGGGGAAAATGCTGGTTATGCAGATGGAAAGTAGGCTGTGGGTACAATTTATTTTAAATCTTTAGTAAAAATGTAAAGGAAACATTCATAGTATAAAGAACACACCATCAAATGCATAACATTAGAGAGTACAATCTGAACTGCTGGATCTGCATTTCTTTTATTATCACAGTCGATGTTATATCTAACATCATTGTTCTACTTTTTGTGCAATCGGAGCAGGAATCAAATTGAACCTATAACAGTAAAACATGCTATAAATATATAAAAAATGTATGCATGTTTTTGAATGCGATATTTAAGTGTACTGATATTTTCTGACACCCCTAGTGATTAGTATTAGTATTGTAATGTCCTATAGTGTAAATATTCCTTGATTTCTCTTGCCTGGTGCGTTTTATTCTAAATGTTGTAGTTGTACATTTGTTCTGCAACATAAGTTCAAAGCATCAGGTTTGAACATCCTATCAAAGGATTTCTTCCATCGCCTCATCTTAAAATTCTGCCAACATTAGCATGTCACGCAATCTCATGATGTGTGTACACTGTCCAGTGTGTTGTGATCTGTATAAATGCCAAAGGGACACAGGAAATACGTCCAGTTACTTTATGTGGAGAGAAAACCCTTTACTTCTTAAATTAAATAAACCCTTATACAATCTATTATATTATCTAAATGCAGGGAATTCTTTTGCTCATGAGTGAAGTTTAAGTTTTAGTCGTTACCTGTTTGCAAGTGTCAACTATTTAACAATACCGAACATTTTCTTGAAGTGAATCCCACATTTATTGTTATTATCCTAACCTTGTCTCCTTTGTGTCTGTAGGAGATTACCCTGCATGCACCTCTTCCACCAGGGGTGTGTGGACCAGTGGTTGGCCACCAGCAGGAAGTGCCCCATCTGCAGAGTGGACATTGAGACCCAACTGACCCCCGACAGTTGATAGCTCCTGTCGTCTCCTGCAACTTTGGATCTGGTCTCGTTAATTCTCCATTGCCTCCCCCCGAGGGAAGCTCTGCCAAACACCCCTCTCTTCCCCTCTGCATCACCCACAGGCCTGCCTTCAGAGACAAGGCTGTGACAGAGGGATCAACAAAGCACACTCACCTACAACACAGCGAGGGACGGGGGTCGATGCATAGATGGGGGGGCTGGACTGAAGGTTGATTTGAATGGACTTGCTGGATGTAAAAGGTAGGAGCGGACACGTATGGACAGATGTGCTGAGGCTTCACACAGATCCTGTCAGATTGTGCACCCTGTGTGCAGTTCTCCATACAGCCATCGAGAGAGGACCTCTGACTACCAACCTCCCCAGCTCACTGTGGGGTGTATTAAGGCCATTTCTCTGCCACTACATCTAACCCCCCTGCCTATCCCCCCCCCACCCTCTGCCTGTGAAAAAAATCCTTTAAGCTGCACTCTGCCCAAGCCCTCAGCACATCTGTACAGAACATTATCAAATGATTAGCATGAGGTTGTTTGGTGTGAACTCTTGTAGCTGAACGCTTGTGGTGTAATGGAGTATAGTACTGAATAAGTATTTACAGAGTAACAGTGTTGTGTAGCAAGCAAAAGCCTTTTGAGAAAAAATGTTTGTGAAAAATAAACCTACAAAGAGGGTGAACATGGCTCAAATAAGAGAGAATATCCGCCTGTTAATTAATCATAGACAATGAGGAAAGAGATAGTTGTGTAAAAAGGCCAAAAATCCCTCTTTCTGGTCTAACATGGTTTTGGATTTCCAGTTAGTAGATGCCATCAGAGTTGATGCTGAACCCGCTAACTGCAGGCATGGCTTCCAGTGATCTGTGTAGTGTCGTAGTGGGGCCTCTATTATAGAGCAGGGGCCTCAGATGTGCATGCTGTATGACAGGCTTGGGCTGTGTCGTTAATATTGTGGAGCAGTAGAAACAGGGACTGTGTGTCTGTGCATGTGAACCGTATACTATGACGATCCCACTCATTCATAGAGGAGGACAAGAATGCACCAAATTCCCCTCCCCACCTCCCCTCTCCCCCCACTCATCCCGAGTAGACCGACGTTGCCCTTAGACATAGATCTCACACCGACGTAGCGATTCTCTCCTGATGTTCCAGGTCAGGATTCAAAGAGCTGCTGGTAGATCCGTGTCTAACTGCAACTCCTCTCTGTGGCCTCGCTCATAGCATGATCACATGACGTGAGAGGCCGGCATGGGTTCGAGGATTTGGTGCCTGAGGTCTTGCCATCAGAGTGAATAAAATCTGACATTTGTATGACCTATTACCAGAACCTTATTGCCTATCAAACAAGCACATGTGATTTCTATATACAGTGAATGGCCTCTGTGGTGTATCGGCTCCTTTTCATTTCAAACTAAGTTGCTCCCACTGTTCTGATAAAAAAGACTGTGTCTGGTGTTACAGGGAAAATACAAACTAGTTTGCCTGTGATATGTGCTAGAATGTGTATGATTGTCCCCACTCCCTCCCCCCCCATGGTAGTAGTGTATGGTATTGCTAGAACAACTGTGATACGTTCAGTGATAGAAGCCGTTTTCTCTTTATCATGCATGAACCATGTTGGCGTAGTTCACTTGAAGGAGGGTGAAAGGGAGAAAAAGCCATCCATTTGAAAAATACCAAACAATTGTTCTTAACATTAATTTTATTTTTTATTTTTATTTTTCTGCCATTTTCTTTTTCTTCTCGTATTTCTTTTGCTCACATGCCAATTTGGACATGGTACTAATATGCCGAGTCCGTGTCCATTTTAACCATAGTGAAGAAAAAGCTGCAATGCTGCAAAAACATATTTATTGTTGTTATAATGTAGCTTGTGTTTTGTAAATGCACTATAATATGGAGTTGCCTGAGTTTTTGGTTTGGTGGTGTGGGTTCTTCTTGTCCTAGACTTTGTGTTTCGATTCAGTTCCAAGTATTTTCATGCTTCCTTGTGTATTATTGGAGGGTAACTTGACTGTTTGTGTTGCTTTTTTTCTTTTCTTTTTGTATGAAACCTCCATCCAAAAAACTACAGATGGATGAAAATGGAGGTTTTGCTAGTTCACATAGAATGCTGTGATTAAAGATGCCTTAAGTATTTAACAATCATTATTTATTACTAACTGTAGCTAGCTAGCTATTGTGGTGAAATATTTAATGTCTCTATCTCATAACTTTGCAATTTAATCAATATATTTATTTAAAATAACACAAAATATAAAAAAAGAATACCTCATTATGCATTGGTCGGTGGGGATGCTTTTGCATGCCGTCTGTGTTTTCTTTTTCAAAGGAGAAAAAAAGAAACCTGTTGAAAAATGGACTTGTGGGGGTGTTTCCTGACACATGTTCTAGCCAGCATGGTGCTGTTGATCTGGATTACATTCCATTCATGTCACCTCTTGAATTTACTTTAACTCTTTTCATTATTAAACATCCTCTCTGCTTTGCTATGAAGCAGAAGACGGGGTACAACCCTTTTGGTCTTAGTATGGCTCCACAAATAGCTTGCTTTTGTTATATGATACTGCTTTGTTTCCCATAATCCGTTTTTTTATTTTATTTTATTTTTTACCATGTTTATGATATTCTATCATATCTGGATTTCAATGTAGTGCTTATCATTATTATTATCATTATTATTATTATTATTATTATTATTATTTTAAGACCCACATAATGAGCTGTATTAACTGTCCCTTATGTATTGCTGGCAATTGCTTTGTGTGGGATTTTTGAAAGTATCTAACATGCTAACTTGAGCCATTGGTCTTATTACACACATTTGTGGTGTACTGTGGTTATACAAAATTGATAGTGTGTTTCACACTGGGTATAATAAGCTAACGTTTTCAGTGTGCATTTCTTATTAATACTCTACTAATCCTGCAAACTATTATAACCTGTATTGGATTGGAATGAAGCTGGCTGGTCTTACTATTATTCTTATTCTTATTATTTCATTTCGTGCTCTCACTGGCCTTACCCCGTGTCCTCCACAGTGTACCCCATTACTCCAGAGCAAACTGGACAGTAGCCATAGTATTAACTCAAGCTGATGAACCGGAATGAACAGTAGAACTTAAAGCACAAGCTTTTTAATGCATGTCCTTCTCAGGTTTTCCTATGTGTATGTGGGAGTAGCTCTGTAGATGTGTTTAATATGATGCTGTACCTTCTTGAATATTTCAGATGTTTCTTTGCTGCTGAAAAAATGTTGATTATTAACCTGCCAGTGAAAAAGGGAAGTGGCCATCTTTGTACAACACACTGCTGTTTTGCTGTAACCGCGCAATGTTTTATGATCTTGAGTATTTTATAGAAAAGTAGAAGTATGTATCAATAATATGAAAGCAATAGCTAAATCATAATGAAGAATAACATGATCAGTGAATATTGTGGAAAATCTTTAGATTCACTATGGGTGGATTTTGTACTGTATTTATTACTAATGATGATGCAAAAAGTTGCATAGCTTAACCCAAACTGTTCTGTCTCTTTTTTATTTATTGTCTTGTATATGATCTTTTTGTATGTGTTTTTCAAATAAACTGCCTAAAATGCTAAGCAATTATCTACTTTGTGGCATTATTTGGCATGCTTTTAAAATCAATTACTTCACACTCAACCCTAAACAGTTTGAATTACAATTACAATATTTGGCCAACACATAATTATTGTGTAGCCATAAACAGTCTTTATTTGTGGGCCATCATTTTAATTTGTGAACATGAATGTGATTGTGCTTACCAATGTTTCCAAACAAAGCCATACACTTTTACTTTTTATTACTAATCTTTAAAAGGCTCATCAATTTCAGCCTGAACAAGTTTTACAAAGTAAAAAATGGTTACATTGTAAATTGTGGCAAAACAGTTATAAATGCTTTCCATACATTTGCCATCAAGGGCCTTTCTTCTAACATGTGTAAACTCTTCACCTAGACATAACCAATCAAGCTGAACAATTTTATTTTTATTTTTATTTAACCTTTATTTAACCAGATAAAAACATTGAGATACAATCTCATTTTCAATGCTGACCTGGCCAAGAAGGCAGCAACGTTACACATAACACATAACACAAACATATAAAATACAGAGAACATAACTAAGAAAACAAAAGACGAAAAAGCAGTCACTACATTGTGCACATTTGGACAGTAAACAAAGAGTTTACAAATCAAGACTAAATGATTTGTGTTGGATAATCAGCTTTGGGCAATATTAAGGCGTGTTTCTTTTATTTTTTCAAATTGTACAAGATAAAATGGTGGCAAATGGCTTTTTCTGAAGTTAGAATTGGGGCAACCTTAACAGTTGGCACAAACTAAAAAAAAAAAAAAAAAAAAGAACGATGGTGTTTCCTTCAAAAGTAACATTCAGGGCTGTTAATTTCAGTCGTACATGTAGTGAACAAAAATTATTCTCACTCCTTTGTTGTCTCCCTCCTAGTATTTGGGGTAGAGCACTCTCTGAATCTGCCCGTCGGCCTTATGCGAGTCCAGCCACTTTCCACACTGGAAGATGGTGGTTACTGAGTTGGCTGTGTTGGTCACCTCCACACACTCTAAATACCAACCACTGTTGGTGCTGCTGTTGTCATGTTCCACTTTCACCCTCAGCAGCTCCCCGAGGTCCAGCATTTCCAGAACAAAGCGGTCCGTCTGCCCTCGCTCAAAAAGGTTGCGAAACTTTTTCTGCAAATGCCGTTTGCCCGAGTCACCGTTGACGCCATAAATGCTGATGAAAATGTTGGAGTCCGTGCCCGCTCCTTTCACGTCCCCGGTGATGACAATGAATTCGTACTTCACAGGGACCAGGTTTCGTACTTTGCTCGCAAAGCTCTCGATGGTTTTAAAGCACTCAAATGTCAGGAATTTGTCTTTTTTGGCTGCCAGGGGGATTTGTGCATCACAGTGGAAGAAATACCTACAAAGAAAGAAGGGTTTGAAGGTACATCAACGGGACACTATATAACATAATGAAGGATGTATGAGTTTCAACTCACTTGTTTCCCAGCTCCTTCTCGGTCACCACCACCTCTAAAACATGCCAGAAGGCTTCACTCTTCACCTTCTTTCCATCTTTTGTTATGTGGCCGATGCAGATGCCAGCAATCTCCCCCAAGTGTTTGGATGAGAACTCAAAGGCATCAGTGGCACCGCTGTGAAGGGGCAAACGAAATGTACAAGCAGAGTTTATGGAGAGTGTGATTCTGTACATTGAATAGTTAAATTCAGTGGTGTGCCAGAGTTTTTTTATGAAGTGCGTCTCATGGGATTAGCTCTCCTGAGAGCTGAGATTTAAGATAAAAGAGGGTAGAAAAACAACATGTGAAAGAGAGCAGATTATATAAGGCCACATAATATGGTTTTACTGTGAGCCAAGGCACCTATACCCCCTTTGAAAACATACCGTAAGAACTTCTTTTTCTTATTCTCTAGAACAAACTCCTTAGAACGAGCCTTCCTTCCTTCCAACACGATCCAGGCGTTTTCTGTGGTGGAGGCGTTGTCTGTGGTAGCAGTTGTTGTGGCAATTTCATATTCTGTGGCAATGAAGAGAGACAGATATTGTCACATTATGATCATTTCACATCTGGCAAATGGCTGCAATTAGCGGCAAGGCGTTCATCTCCCACAATTAGAGAGCTTGTGATTATGCCCACAGACTTCCATTTTTACTCACTGGTTTTGTCACTGAGGTCTATAGCGTCGTTATTGGCACAGGCCAGCTCCCTCATTATCTGCCCGTCATCTTCATTTTTAGCCAGCCAGCGGTCGCAGGGAAACCTGAAGGTCTGGTCCATGGCCTCATCTTTCACGTCAATGTACTCCAGGTGCCAGCCGGGACAGGGGCCTGTTCACGGCAAAGACAACAATGTCCTTTAGTATTATCTTTTCAAAACGTTGATGCTTTTTAACAGCAATTATGTTTATTCTTCAGTTTCATTCTGTTACTATCTAATGCTAAAAAAACAGTTGAGCACCCTTCTGATAATTGTGATGTTACGAGAGTTAGATTACAAGATTAATACCACTCTCGTGTCTGAAAGTATATTATTGCATTTCTCATCCAACTCTTGGCAAAAAAAGAAACACACATTCAGAAAACATCTAAATATTCTTTTTAATGTTAGAAGGCAGTATGTAGAAAAGGTAGATAACAGCAGTTCATGTAAAACATATAACCTATAGAAACGGACATTATAATAGACAACACCGGAAAATCTACATCTTTGGGCCAAATAATCAAAATAATGTTAATTCAGCTATTTAAGAGAACAAAGATTAACTTGCGCTCACCTTTGTTGTCGTGCCACACACGGATCTTTGACAGTTCGCCCAGACTGAGCATTTCGGGGAACCTGAACACATCTTTCATTTTCCGCTCAAACTTGTTCCTGTTTGTGCTCTCCTTCAAAGGCAGCGTCCCGGTGTCCCCGTACTCCCCGAACACCATCAAAAACACATTGGCATCGGTGCCGGCACCTAAAATATCACAGTATCACTGATGAAAACACTATCTTTATATATATCGTTGCATGGATTCTACTAAATGCTATTGAACATTTTAAATGCCCAAAAGCCAAGAAAATAGTTCTTCTTCATCCTTTGTTTTAGAAATAAAACAGGCATCTCATGAGACCCACCTCCGACATCACTGGTCTGGACTTGAATGATGTAGGTAGTTTTCTCCACCATCTCCTCCTCATCCACCACAGCTCCCAGCTCACACACCTTAATCCTCTTCGGCCCTTTTGTCTTTGACAGCCAATTCTCGTATGTAAACAAATACGTGTCCTCTGTGTTCAGGTTCCGCATCAGGATCTAAAAACATTTCAGTTACGAGAACAACACATTCATTGTTCATGTTTTCTTGGTGAATATCACTGTTCAGCAGCAGCAGATATGACAAAAACAGACAGACATAAGTAGTCTGATTTCGGATTTTAGTACAATTTAAAATGTATTTTATAATGAAAGAACAAGCCCCTGTTTCCTTTAGTAGTACATAGTAGTAAACATTCTTAATTACATACTGTATTCTGATAGGTGTTAGTGTAGTCTGTATGTTACCCTGTCGAGAAACCAGTCAGGCCGACTTCCAGAGCAATCAATCCGAACTCTGATCTTCTTCAGGGGAGCAATATCATCTACCTCCAAACTGAATGTGTCCTCTTGGTCCCTTTCAAACCTAGATGTTAATGATATTTATGTGAGTTTTAAAACATCTAGGCATGGTTCTCTTCAAATGTGTGGAAGTGTATTTCCCAAAACAGAACTATTCCTCTGATAAAAAATGTAGACCTGTCCCCATTTTTGGGCAGCAGCATTTCCTCTGTGCTCCCATTGGCTCCATACACCGTCAGGAAAATGTTGGTGTCTGTCCCTGCATACTGAGTGTCACCTGTGACAACCGTTGCCGAATAAATAACCTACAATAGACAGTAATAGATAGTACAGATAAGGAAAAGACTGATTGTGTGTGTGATGAAATGTTTCCAGGGTTTCTTTTCTTAGTGCAGTGACTCACTTTGCGGTTAATGTTGATGGTGCTGGCGTCCAGCACGTTGAACAGCCTGGCAGTCAGACCGTCTCCTCTGTCCTTCGCCAGCCAGCACTTACACGGAAAGATGTACTTAATACCTTTGGTTGGCACGGCAACCGACAGCTCATCGACCAACCAGCAGCTCTCTGGTGTGACACCGTTATGGCCGAGCTGAGGGGGAGAAGGAGGGAGTGAGAGGAGGGAGGGGGAAGATAGAACTGGGAATTTATATATCATTTGATTTTGTTTGATCTAGGTACCAGAAGACACAGCTAGAATTAATTATTGCTGAGCTAGAATGGTTTTATTTAAATGTTTAACATCGGCTCATCTGATGAGGCAGCAGAGAGGAGACACAGATTTAGAAACAGAGGCAGTCTTAGATTCTCACTTCCACTCGCTTGATCTCTCCTACGTCAGTCCCATAAGACACAAAGTGCTCCATGGTGCCGGCTGTGAAGCAGTTCTTCCCCTCCGGCAGGTCCAGCCACAGCCGGTCTGTCTCCATGTCGTTGGGGCCGGTGATGATGACATAGACCCTGGCGAAGGTGCCGGCCTCCCGCTCCATCCCAGTGGACAGAGTGAAGTGATAAGGGATGACTGGGGAAGGCAAAAAGTGGATTATTCAAAAGATTACATTGACATTTAATTGACAATTTAGTAAATGTGCTTATTATTAAGATGAAAGCAGTGATATTTCTTCAATGTCTGTGCAAAAATAATAATGTTACAGCCAGCAAATAATTAGCTTAGCTTGGCATGAACACTTAAACAACAAGGGGAAACATTTAGACTGGCGATGGGTGATAAAGCCAAAGCGAGCACCTCTATAACTCACTAATTGGTATTATATCTTATTACATGTTACTAACAGTCTATAACCTCTTTCTCTCATCTGTCAAGATGCAGATCATTTTTTAACCTGCGGCCAAGAAATACCACAATACATGTACATGGCATTGATTGAAGAAAAAAAAACACAAATAGTTGTTTTTACCTTTCTTTGAATTAAACAGACATGACGTAATGTGTTAGTTAGAAATCATCATAGTGAGCATAAGTAACTGTTTTTGTCAGGCTAGTCGTTTCCCTTTGTTTCCAGTCTTAATGCTGAGATAAACTTATGCCTTGCGTTATATAAAGGGTACAGACATGAACGTGGTCAAGGTCTTTTTATTTAACCAAAGGAAGAAAAGCATATTTTCCCAAATGTTCAACCTTTTTTTTAACTTATGAATTATAAACGAAGCCTTGAATTGATAACTATCACTTAACGTGTCCAATTATCTCTAAAAGTTTTGGCTTTTATTTTGAAAGTTTTGCATTTATTCTATTCATAGAGGATTCTCCCCAGCTGGTTTTGCCTGTATTTTTTCAAGATAATTCTCTGAGCAAGGTTTTGAATTTGCATTGCTCTCATCATACCCAAACCTCATCTTGAAACACAGAGAAAGTTGTGTAGCCTTACTTGGACCTTCTTCAGCCACTGCCACCTTTTTCTTCTTTTTCTTCTTATTGGCGTTTCTGTCCAGCCCCAGTTTGGCCTGAAGCATCTTCTTGGAATTTGGATCAATGTTTCTTTCCCCTTCATACCCCTGGACCAAACACATACCAGACAAATAATCTTTGATTTTCCTTCTCATTACTAATTTTACAGCATCAGAAGCAAAGAAAAAATGAATTACCAAAGTTGAACAAACCTTCACAAAGAAAGTCCTTGCAATACTTCTGTCCTCTTTCTTCTTGGACAGCCAGCGCTCACACAGGAACATGTACACCTCATCTGTTTCCAAATCCAGCACCTCCACCTGGTCCAAGTTCCAATCGGCCCCTATCATGGAGTTGTCGTGACGAATATGAATCTTAAACACCTGGCCCAAGTCCACAGCCTCAATGCTGAACTTGTCCACCTAAGAGGCAAAGAGACCCATTTTGATGCCTTTGTATACCAGCAGTGACATGTATGATAGTGTATAAGGGCCATTGAAGGTTAAAGAAAATACTGAGCTGTGGAAGGGAATAAAAGATAACAATTCATTCTGCATATTTTCTGAGATTGGTTGTACATTTCTGAGAGAATAAAACACACATTTAAGAATAAAGAATAGGAATTTTCTTTAAACCAAACTCATACGTTTGCACAAAAAAAAAACTTCATAATGTCAGAAAATGTCCTTGAACCTTTTATGGCCATAATACTCATGACATAACATGTCACACATTTCCTCACAAACCTCTCCTCTCTCGAACTTGTTTTTGTTGTTCTCAGATTTGGCCAGTTTGCGCTCTCCTGTGTCTCCCAGGTCTCCGTAGATGGTGAGATAAACGTTGGCATCGGTTCCTGCTCCGTACATATCCCCTGTTCGCACAGACACGGTGTACATGTGAGCTGTAATGGAAGAAGAACAGAAATAGGAATTAAGTAGACAGGTCCTTCCTTCCTGCAGCGGTCAGACTATACAACCAGCACAGCCCGTAGTAGACCCCCCCCCCCATCATCATACTATGTGCAATATGTGCAATATATACATTACATTATATACATAAGCCATTAATAACTGTGTAATATATACCTGGCTGCTAAATCCTAACAACTGTTACAGGATTTGTATTTTGGAAAGTATTTTTTCTTTTACTTTTATTTTTTATATTATATGTTTTCTATTATATCATAACTTAGTACTTTTTGTTCTTAACATAGGTAACATTAAGCTGTCTGTGGCTCTTTCCTGCTGTAACGATGCACATTTCCCCTCTGTGGGACTAATAAAGGTATTCTGATTCTGATACATAATGTTAGCTCACATCTTATATGTTTCTGTTGAGTAGCTTCCAATTGAAGTCTGTGTGTTCAGGCAGTAAATCAATTAAGATCAACTATGAGCTGAAAGGTAATAAAGCTCCATTAAGCTCAGTGGAGCTGCAATGCAGGTGATATGGCTCTCTACACGAGTTACTCAAATGTTACATGAGACTGAGTACAGTAGGCTGTTTCTAGTAAATATGCTAATTACATTTAGTCTCTGAAATCAGAGTTAACCTACTTTCCAAAGCGTCCTCCACCTCCACTTCAGTCGTCTTCAGCTTCCCATCCCTGAGGAGTTTCTCTGTGATGATGTCCGAGGGGACCAGCTCCCTCACCGTCTCCCCGTCATCTTCAGACTTGGCCAGCCAGCACTCGCATGGGAAAATGGTCGTTTCTGAACCCTGACATTAAAAATGAATGTCAGGGTTCATTAAAAAACTAAAATCAATAAACTGGGCCTGGCCCTGCATCTCTGAGAGATATGAGCCAAATGGTGTTGCATTATTAATCTGTTAATAGTTTCATGAAGAAAAAAACTCTAAATAGCAGAGTAGATTTTGAACTACCTTTCCCTTCCTGAGCTGTCGTCTGATCTCCACTCTGTCGAGGTGCCACCCTGGGTTTGTGCCTTTGTTGTCGTGTCCTATCCTGATCTTCTCTAAAACGTCTCCGACATCCTCCAACTGAGAAAATGAAAACACAATGTTTACAGAGCCAAAGCCGAAGCCGTTGTCTCCAAGGCTGTATAATCCAAATCCACACTCTCATCTCACCTCCACAATAAACATGTCCTCAGCTCCTCTCTCAAAGTACAGACGTCTCTCTCTCTTGTTGACACACAGGTGTTTCTGCTGTGTGCACACTCCCTTTTGACCGTACAAGACGATGAACACATCAGCGTCTGTTCCCGCACCAAACACATCGCTGGTGTATATCTTTATCTCATAAGGCACAACTGAGAAGGAGAGGAGAAGGTGACAGCTGTGTTTGGTTGACACAGATAAGATAGAAGAGTAATATAATAATTATGATAGATCAATTAGTATTTTGTTGTGGTATGCCAAAGCAACTACAGGTTAATGTAATTTTTCAAATAATTGCGTCTATTGTTGTACTGCTATTTATTTATTGTTGTACTGCTGTTGTCTGCTGTACTCTATTTAATTATGTTTTTATTTCTCTAGTCTTGTTGTGGTCATTTAACATCTTGCCAAGGACAACAGTTGAAAATTAGCCTGCTGGCTAATACTGGCTCATTTACAGCAATGTGGATTAATGTGCACTGTCCTTTAAATAAATAAACAAACAAACAAATTGAAAGGTTTGTATTTCTCAATCTGCTACAATAATAATATAATGTACAGTTTTCTTTATATTGATTGTGTTATTTTGGATTTGTTTTTGGTTAAAAATGTAAATACACCTAACAATATCCACGACTGCAGCTTTGTATTTGGACTCTTTTACGTGCAAGTCAAGAAGCTAAGTACTGTTGCCATGGTGAAGTTTAAAATGCAGGCCGCCACTGTGACATTATCTCACTTTTAACCGGCTACATCAACGAGTCTATGCTCTTAAAGCCACTCTTCTACTGAGTGCTTTAAACACATTTCACTGCTAATCATCCCTTTTTTCTGGGTAAAACTTGCAAAAAGCACTGTTACAGGACAAATTCTCCATCAGCGCATTGTCACTCTCCCCAATGGATTCAAACACTTCTTCCACAGCTGTGTTCACTCACATGGCATGTAGAGTTCAGTCTGTAAATCAGCGGGATAAAGATCCCTCACAAACAGCCCGTCATCCTCTCCGTTATCCAACCAGCGGCCACATGGGAAGCGTAGTCTCTGACCCTGTGAGGGGGCGTCAATCTCGACCCAGTCCAAGAACCAACCAGATGAACCTCCTGTGGGTGAGAAAACAGTCACGTTATACCATTAAGAAAGGGTTCTGCTTATTTTTGAGGAGACTTTTCTTTCCACACCTGAGTTGTCGTGCCCAATTCGAAATGTTTCCAGGTCGCCCAAATCCACCGCCTCCACAGTGAACTCATTGATCATCCCCTGTTCAAACTTATTCTTGAAGTTCTTACAAGCCTTAAGGTTGATGATCCCTGTGAGTGACACGAACATTTTTATATTCAGATGGGTATCTCAACTATCTTATTGCTTTGTTTTAGAATGTGTTTATTTCTTCCTTTTTTGTATTCTTGTGTCTTGCATTACATAATCTTTGTTGCTATTTTCTTGTATGCTATTATTGATTTATCTCTGTATTGTGCATGCATCCACCTTTTAATACAGTTATCATACCTGTGTCGTCATTTTCACCAAAAAGGATGGCAAACACGTTAGCATCAGTTCCAGCATACTTCTTTTCTCCGGTTTTTATTTTGAGAGTGTATGTAGTTGACATGGCTGTAAGATAAAATGAAATCAGTCAGTTCTTTAAACCTTTTCATCCAATCACTCAAAGTCCCTCGTTCTTCTCTTGTCCCACTACTAAGACATGAGTCAGATTTGAAAGTGTGTTACATTTCTGCTCGAGGCCCAGAGTGGCGCCTGAATCCTCGTCTTCATCCTTCTTCATGAAGGCCTCGTCCACAGGAACCAGCTCTCTCGCTATCTGTCCATCGTCCTCGTCCACTGCCAGCCAGCGGGTACAAGGGAAATAGTACCTGTATATCCAAGAAATACATCTAATCAGGCACGCTAACTCAAAGATAACATGTTATTTAGACACTGTGAGTTGTATAATAACACAATTGCTCTTTTAAAGTCTTTCAGTTAGATCGTTCCTCTTGATAACTCAATAGTTTGGCGAAACTCATGTAAAATATATGTTGGTTTTCACCTACGTCGTATCATCCTTTGTGTCCACTATCTCAACACGGTCCAGGTACCAAGATGAATGAGAATTAGAATTGTCATGACGGATCCGCAGCTTCTTCAGAGGACCCAGTTCAACAGCTGTGACGATGAAAACATCCTCCTGCCAAACACAATGTTGCTACAGACAATACTGGTTTACGGCCACTTAAATGAGAACACGTGCACTGTAATGCAGTCTTATGCAACAGGCTTATACAACTGCTTTAACATCTATCATTACAAAGTGTATAATGTTCACTTTACATGAGGGGGCAGATAATTAGAAACACCTCCGAATATGATGCAGTCCATCACAAACTTTGACCTCAGAGCTAAACATATCAATGGATTAACAACAGTGACACAGAGTCAAAAAATGTAGGCATCACTAAAGTAAACTTTGGGGCATTAGAGTTGTATTGGATGGCATAACAGGAACCAGCTGTAAACCACTTAATGTTTCTATTCATATTTTCCTGTATAATAAATATCATTTTAAATTAAATGTGTGAGCTTACAGACTTCTGAAATGAATATAGTATATTTTCCAGTTTTCTGGAAACAAACATTCTCTCCACTTAATGACAATTGTCGTGTTTGATCTTAGGACACAATCTGATTGTTCCTACAGAGCCAGGTGTGATGCAGACATGAATAATTCACAGGTTAGGATTAGGTTATGAGTAAAAGTAGGACAGGTTCGATGACACAGAGGACTTCTGGTAGCTCCTCTCAGACACAGCTGGTTTGCCTGCAGGAGAGCTCGTAATCCTACCAGAATTCACTCCCACACACACCGCTCATGTTGCGTGGAGGTGCTTGACTCTTTGACTGGCTGAAGGTTCATTTTCAGCAGGATACACTTATGATTTGACAACCCTAATACAATATTTTGTGTTTGTGATTCAGGCTCAAACCAACATACTTACCTTCATCAAACTGGAAATAACGCACCGGCTAGACGTTTTTTTATACTCCTCATCTATGAATCCAAGTTAATGAAAGAATAACTCTTCTGATATTTAAAAGCTTGTTTTGTGAAGCACAATGTAAACTTTTCCCCAGCCTGTTTAACATAAAACAATAACATATTTGATTCCTTCCTTCATGATTCAGCTGACTGCCTTGTCTTTGTTTAACCCACCTGCCCCCGCTCAAATTTGTTGATGTTGTCTGAGTTCTTCAGATAACGCTCTCCGGTGTCTCCGTTTTCTCCATAAATATTGATGAAGACGTTGGCGTCAGTCCCGGCACCCAGCGTGTCACCAGTGAAGACGCACACTTCATAGGTGTTGACTGTCAGACAATACAGGGGATGAGTTACTAACAACTTTAACTTAAAGCAACTGTGTCAAACCAACCATGCATGTCTAAAACGTCAACACAGAGTACAAGACAAAAACATGTGTGAAAAATGCACCAGTGAATTTTGCATATGAGTTATTAATCTCTCCAGAATGTATCCATGCTTGAATTGTAGCCTCACAGATTTGTGGTAATAAAAACATGTTGGTGTTTTATATATATATACATTTCAAATATTAGAAACTTAGGTAGTTCTTGTGCATCTATTCAATACATAGAGTTGTTGTGTTTTCTTCCTACCTTCCAGATCCTCTGCCTCCTCTGGGAGCAGCTCCACCACCAGCTCCCCGTCCTCCTCCCCCCCGGCCAGCCAGCGAGAACAGGGGAAGTGGTAAGTCAATACCACCTCCTGCATCTCCTCTCCTCCGGCCTCGTCATCATCTTCCTCATCTTTCTTCTTTTTCTTCTTCTTTTTCTTGTCCTCCTTTTTCTTCTCTTTTGGCACCATGGCCATGATGAGATGTTTGACGTCTACTGTCTCCAAGAACCAGCCAGATCCGATCCCCGAGCCGTCGTGACCGATGCGGATCTTAAAGACCTTCCCTACATCTTTGGCCTCTAGCTGGGAACAGTTGTTTCAAATCAAAATGTAACACTTGAGCATTACCCTTCTCTTTGGCATTCAGATTTAACAACGTAGACTCATTTTGGGGCCACTGACTGAGCACAAAATCAAAGCTTTGATACCTTGAATATTTCTGTGGTGTTTCGCTCGTAGTTGTTGGATCTGCTTGCGAGCGTGAGGACCTCTGTCTTCCCCTTGTCCCCAAAGATCTGGATGAACACTCCGGCGTTGGTGCCAGCAAAGGTCACATCTCCAGTTACTACTGTTACCTCATAGTTAATCACTGGGAAGTAATTATGAGAGAAAATTGGTAAAACATGTATGACAATATAACAAATCTGAAAGAAATAGAGTTTTAGAACTAGGTTTTGAACCTGACTTGTTTGTCTGTGTTTCTGTATAGTCTCTTCTAATGGTGTGAGAGTGTGTGAATGTTGCCTACGCTGTTCCATGTCCAGGGTCTCGCTCGGGTAGATCTCCACCTCTGTCTTGCCGTCGGCCTCGGACGTGTCCAGCCAGCGGTCACTGGGGAACATGTACTGCTTCCCGTGGACTGGAACCATGAGCTGAACGCTGTCCAGGAACCAGCCGGCCCGCATGCCTTCATTGGTGTGGCCAATCAACAGACGATTTATCTGCAATAGAATTAAAGGGATGATCATATATTTTTGTTAAATATAAAAAATATTGAATAAAATGAAAAGTCAGACATATGCATGCTTAAACAATACTTTAAAACAGAACAAAAGCATTTATACATCTTTTTACAATTTCTTATGTCTTACTTTTACCTTCACAAACGCATCCTAATGCACCCAGTCTAATACAAAACTGTGTTTCATGTACAAATGCGAGTACACTGTTAACATTAGGGATGCATACCGGTTCCCGGTATTACCGAAATACCGGTTACTGGTGGCTACGGTATACCGTACCGAAATCAGATCCGGTTTTCGATACTTTTTTTTTTTTTTTTTTTTTTTTTTTTATAAAAGTGAGGCATAATATCCTTAAACTTGTGCCCAAACCGTCGGAATTACGATGTCAATTTCGCAGTGAAACTCCGCAACCAAGTCACTTTTGAAAATCTAAAGTGTGGCTGCATATGACTGCCAGTCTGAATGGTGGGGTCTGTAACCACTGCCAGTCTGAATGGTGGGGTCTGTAACCACTGCAAGAAGTTTATTTCTGGGAAAGGTGGCAACACATCCAATCTCCAACCAATGCTGTCTCGTATGGCAACCAAGTACCTTTGTGTTCAGGGAAGCAGCGTGCCAAGCGAGAGAGTGTTCAGTTTAGCAGGTGATATCCTAAGCTGTGAAAGGGCCCGTTTGGATCCAGAGAGCAGATATGCTCATCTTCTTGAAGATGAATGCACAAAACTGAACTGTGATGGGATTTGTTTTCTTTCATCAGGCAAATGTTGATTTCAAGGATGCTATTTGTTTTATGTGCAATGCCGAGATCTCATGATCCTTTATGTGTTCTCTGGTCAGTCGAATCTCAGGTTGAATATTAATTACACTGGTGCTATTTTATTTTTCCATTGACAAGATGTACTATTCCCGCCTGATGGTTGTTATAAATGATATTGCAGAATCAGTTTTCTTCATAGATAATGTGTTTTTCATTGTTTGTTCAGTACTAAAAGGTCCAAGTCCCACAATTGAATTTAATATTCATTTGACATGTTAACTATATAATAAAGCGCTTCATGGGAGTAATTGCGGGATGATAAAATGTTTCCCTTATGCAACATGAAAGTATCACGATATGTATCGGTTGAGTATCGGTATCGTTCAGTGGTATCGGTATCGGTATCGGTATCGTAAAAAAGTCAACGATATGCATCCCTAGTTAACATCTTATCGAGACAATAAATAATGCAAACTGCTTACATGTAAATACCCTGATGTTTATCATGTGTTCCATCGCAAGCACCTTGACAGCACATATTGGCATGGAAGGACTGAACCCTAACATCTTTGACTGCATGCCTTCGATTAATAAATTCTAAAGCTTCTTAATGTACTATCAACATCAAATCACATGTTATGTCTTCATGGTATCACCTGTCCAATGTCATAAGTTTCCACGACGAAGATGTCAACGCGACCTGTCTCAAAGTAGTTCCCAAGGTTGTTGTCAGAGACCACCAGCAGGATCTTACTGGTGTCACCTTTCTCTCCGTAGAGCTTCACAAACACATTGGAGTCCGAGCTGCTCCCAGGGATACTGCCCGTCTTCACAGCAATGTGATAGTCAACGTCTGACACACAGACACAACAATTAACACTGGGAAGTCAACTTAAATGTTAGAAAAACATCAAGAATCTTTTAACTTACTGTAAAGACGCTGTCCATCAGAAAATGGCACTAGCTCTCTGACTATCTGTCCGTCATCCTCATTACGGTCCAGCCACCTACCAATGATCAAAACTCTCAGCGATTACAAAAACACTCTCCTGTGGTTGTGACAACTATTCAGCACGTTGTATCCACACTGAGACTTATCACCTGTTGCAGGGGAACTCCATAGCTTGAGCCTCAGCCTGTCCATCTTCTCTTACAATGACTTTATCCAGGAACCAGCCACAACCTCCACCTTTACCGTCATGTCCAATCCTCACCCTGCGGACCTGCCCAATGGATACTGACTCCACTATAAACTCATCATACTGGAAAAACAAAAAAACATTAGGCAGCATCACATGAGGACGGAGGGATTTGTGATAACAAGCAATTTACCTGACAGATATGGCCAATGTTTTTAAATCAGCACATACAACATTGGAATTCAATTTTCACAGAAGCTACAGATAGTTTGACAAATCACATTAGAATTGTCCTAACTGCATAGTCCAGTTGACTCATACATTTTTTTTATTAATCATAGGCAGGGCTCCATCTGGGGTTGGTCCCTGATTATTGAAACGTATCCCCTAAATTTGTCAAACCAGAAAACAGAAAGCAGCATGCTACAAGTGTGGCTCATTTAATGAATTAAAAGCACACAAATGAGTGATTTGTGTAAAAAAAGGAAATGTTTAAGGCTTGTTGATTGGATGGAGGTTTGTCATTTGTTTTTTGAAAGAGAAAGAAGCAAAACTATATCAGAATCAGAATCAGAATCAGAAACAGGTTTATTACCAGGTAAGTTAACACATACGAGGAATTTGACTTGGTGTCGTGGTGCATAAAAACAAGAATGAAAAACACAGGTAGAGAACTAGAAAAATATTACAAATAATTAAAAATATAAAGTAGAATATAACAGTATGGAATGAAATAGAGGAATAAAATATGGAATAAAAATCAGCTGTAATACAAAATAATGTTGTACATTGTGTGCATTAATGTAATGCATAGAATCTATGATGTGGCTGAGGTAAAGTGTCAGTGGGGGGGCCGGGCCTTGTTAATGAGGACGGTAGCGGAGGGGAAGTAAGTAAGTATATGACACAGGAGAGGGCACATAATTGAGTGTTCCTTCCTGATATAAGCTTTATGTCTAACAATGATGTATGGAGGGTACCCACGTTTCCTTTCTCAAACTTGTTGACGTTGTTTTTGCAGTTGACCATGTCCCGATTTCCACTGTCTCCCAGGTCTCCTATTAGATTTAGAAACACAGACGCATCTGTGCCACTGCCGCCGACACTCCCTGTGCAAACTGTCACCCTGTATTTTATTACTGGAGAACAAAACAACAGAAATGAATCAGGTATTACGCTACATTCCTCTCTTTATTTGGCAAAGATTTCTATTGGTTATGATGAATACAGGTGGATATACCAACCGGGCAGGGGCTCAGCATTAAAGTCTCCTGTGGCAGAAAGCTCCCTCACAACCTCGTTATCGTCTTCATTTACGTCCAGCCAGCGCTCACAAGGAAAATTATATTTCTCCTTTGTTAATGTCTTCATCATAGTTACCTAATTGGAAAACAAGCAGTGTTTTTAATTTGTCAGGCATAATAAAGATTACAACTTTTGGTCTAGATCTAATTAATATAGAATCACAAACAATCTTAGTTGTCAATCAAATACTGGCCAAATGCATGTGAGTGAATTACACACTAGTTTAACATATCATAGACGTAAGTTTGCCAAATTATTATAAATTATTTTCCCACACCTTACTGAGATGCCATCCAGCGAAAGGATTTCTCTTCTCGTGCCAGATACGTAGTTTGATCAGTTTTCCCAACTCAGGCAGCTCAACCTGTAAGAGCACATCAAGATAAGAAGTGTCCTAAGCCTCGTTATCTGACGAACAGTACTAATGATGTGTGGTGTTAAAACATGAGATACCTACCATAAACTTGTCCACCTGTCCCTGCTCAAAATTGTCTGTTTTGTTGTCCAGTCTGGTCTCATCGCTCTTGCCCTTGTCTCCGTACACCTGGAAGGAGATGTCTGCATCGGTTCCTGCACTGGGAAGGTCTGACGTCCAGATCCACAAGGACCAGGGATGCTCTGAGCAGAACCAAATCAGGTCAGTTTAACAAGGGTGTTTACTCTTTTAGCAGTACCTTTGAGTTTACAGAGGTAGTTTGTGATGAGGGGGTTGAATGTCCAACTCCTCAAAATGTCTGTGAAGCCCCTGAAAAGGTTTTTTTTGCTTGAGAATTGTAAATGTTTGTAACTTACTCTTCTGTCTCTTCTGCCTGAGTGAGACCATCTCATGGAGCTCTCTTTCTATCAGACCATCTCCCTCCTTCTCATCCAGCCATTTGCAGCATGGGAAGGTCTGCTCTGTCCCGGTGAACGGACAGAACACCACCACCTGCAACAACATTGATTCAGCCGAAATATCTCAGTTTATTCCCAGATTGTAGTGTTTTAACTTCAGCGATTAGTCGATCGATAACAACTATATTCTTATTACTTGTTTTTATTGTTACAGAGTGAATTTTCATGGACTGCCTTGGTTACTGAGTGGTTACATGCTATATTATTGTTATGTCCCAGGTTCGATTCCTACCTTGAAAATGTTAAAAATAAAATAAATTTTTTTATTTGCTTGTGCAATATTGGCTGATAATGCTGTTTTTTAGCCTATCATATTATACAAATGTATTATTTTTCTCTGTTTTCAAATGAGTTTTAAATCAAAGTTTATATCTATTGGTTTTGGACGACATCTTGGATGGGCAATATTCAGTTTGTCTTCCTTTATAAAGACCAAACACTTATTCTAGAAGATAATGGGCAGATTAATTGATTGTTGCAGCCCTAGAATGCATGTGTGTGTGTGTGCATGTTACCTTCTCACAGTACCACCCAGCACTGACTCCGTCGTTGTCGTGTCCGATGGTGACTCTGCTGAGGGGACTGAGCAGCGCAGCGATCTCAACATTAAAGATGTCTGTCAGGCACCGTTCAAACTTTCCTCCTTCCAAAAACACCTGAATACAAACATATGTAAGAAGAATAAAAGGAAACACTGGTTCAACCGCTCTACGACAGATGTACCCAGAAAATATATAAGCACATACTCAATGTTCTGAATACATTAGTTTTGGGTATTGCATTGTGGTATAAAACAGAGGGATGATCATTAAGCACCAAACATTTCTTTAACTTGTTTCGTACAGCTTTTAAAGACTAATATTCAAACCCTTTCCCGTCTATTTCCAGACGTCAGAACCTTTATCATCACATCTAAACTTACTATAAATGCAATTGTGAAAAATAGTTTACAGATGTATAGAGAACACCTTTACACCTACAGCACTGTATATCGTTACGTTATTCTACCAGTCTCGTATTTAATTTGGTTACATGTGTTCATCAACATTATTCATTGCATGGCTCCAGTGTGGTGCGTCCTAAAACCGGGAAGTAAGTTAGCATTTTTACCACTTTCGGTTCCTTCGAAAGAAAGCAATGCAATTTCTCCATAGGATTTTGGAAAATAGCTCGAAATAAGGTCTGTGTTTGACACACATTTAAGAGACGTTTTGTTCTACGACATTACATACATCAGCAGTGACCCCACTGGTGATTTTTGAAGAGTTTACGTGTCTGAAAAACGATGGTTGTTAATATGTGGCTGAATAGGACTACAGAAGTTGTCGAGGCCGTTGTACGTCAAATACACCGAACACGTAAACACTCCCGCTAAGTTTGTTTGCCCTGTTCTGCTTGAAAGCAAGTATCTGCGCTCTTGCAAACTGTTAAAACAAATGCTTCAACTTGAACAATTTTGAATCTGTAGTTTTGAATATGGATCTTAAATGTGGGGTAGGTAAGTTTGAGAAACCGGCTCGAGATGCACTTTTTGTTATATTCCATGGAATGCTCTTAACATCCCGATAGCAATGAATATCTTAAGTGCTTTGACAAAAAATCCATAAAAAATGTCATCTGTGGAAGCCGTAATACTGTAAAAAGCACGACCAATCATTTTAGCCGGCCCGGCTAAAATAACTGGATGGCCTACCTGCCTGTCAGCCTTCCATCGGGGCACAAACTTATCTCGTGCCCTCATTGGTCATGTGCGCGTTCGTGTGTGTTGGAGGAGGGGCTCTGTAAGGAAGTGGCAGATTTTTTCCGGCTGTGTATTTTCAAATTCTAGCGCACTCGAGCTGGTTTCTCCAAAATTACCTACCCCACCTTTAAACACTGGATTGGTTTGAAAATGTAGCATTTTCCAGAGAGTATATTGGAAATTCAAGCAATACAAATGAAAACCATTGTTTTTTAGAAAGAGTAAAAGTTGTCTTTGCTTTGTTTTTGTTATCTTCTCCTCACCTTGCCACTGTTCTTTTGGCCTTTTGAGCCGTGCATCACAATGTGGATTTTGGAGTTGGTCCCGGCACCTCGGATATTTCCTGTCATGACCTGGACGTTGTACACAATACCTGGTGGGTACAGTTACACAAGATGCTATCAGGATCTGCCAGCAGGTCAGTATGGTTCACTGCACCTGTACTCCCTACGGTGCTGAGCAGGAAGCAGATCAACCGGATCCAAACATTAAACCTGAGAATGAATGATCACTGCCTCTGACTAGTCTGACTGAAAACACATTTCTCTTGCTGGACTGAATGAGAGGAACAGCAAATGATCTGTTCCCTGGCAGTAGAAATGTTGTTGTCATACAATCCTTTCTGCAATATTTTTCTGAAGGGTCATTATTTCAAAATGAGGCAAATAATTTGAAGGAAACAGACATATTCATTTTCTTTCTTGCCACATTTCTTTCACTGACATGAGGATTAGAGTATAGGGAAGGTTTTTCCTGGCTCATAAACAACATTTCTCACCTGTGGGCTGACTGCCCCCCACCAAAATGTCTCTCTGTATCTTCCCATCATCCTCATCGATGGCAAACCAACGATTGATTGGGAATTCATAAACTATTTTGTTTCCCATATCATCCACTACCGCCTGTTTGAAAAGGAGAAATAAGAACATAATCAGAGCCAACATGGCCTGGATGGTGATGACAGACAGAAAAGGAAACACGTTTTCTGAAGACATTGTTGCGTGTTGTTTTTTTATATTTTTAATTTTAATATATTTTAAAATATATTTTAGATCCTGGAAATACATGTATGTATCTAATATACAGTATTTATGCTTAACATCATTTGATTGTTACGTTGTCTGCTATGTTTTTTTAGATTATGGTTATGGTTATATCTGAAATGAAATGTATAGTTGTATATTTAAAGTCAATTTATGAATTTGTTTTTACATTGAGTCCTCTAGGCTTTGTTTCACAGACTTACATACTTTTAAACATGTAGCATATAGGTTTAAACATGTTTACGCAGCAATGAGCTCAAGTAATATTTACTCTCAAATCCATGTAAACATGTACAATGCCAAAAGGTTATGATTTATTACTGCTGACCTTTGGTGTCAGTCTGTGCTGCAGTTGCCAACAAATCCATCGACTCGTCTGTCTGTTTGCTGAAAGACGATCCCTTAATGGGTCATGGTTTCCCTTTACAGAGAGGGTAGGATGACGACATGTGTGTCCTGTGTGTGTGTGCGTCTGCTCGAATTAACTCATCTCTCAGTCGTGCAAACTATATGTGTTGGGTGAGCATGGACACTAGACTAGATGGGAAAACTGAGAGGAATAGGAGGATCACATGTCTTAAGTACCTCTTCAGAGGCATTACTGAGCAGAAATAGTTACAGTTAAACTTTTAAACACAGTTTTGTTCATTGTAACACGTGATGTAACACATTAAAGTAACATGTTTTGTTCTTTTGTTATCCGCCTTAAAAAATGTATGAAGGGGTATCAGTTTTGAGCAATAATGGCATATTTTTCCTAAAGACACACTCTGGTAAGCAACAACTTCAGTTTCTTACCTTGTCCACAAACCATCCTGCTGAAGAGCCTTTGTTATTATGGCCAATGGTGATCTTCCTCACTTTGCCCAAGTTTGGTGCCTCGATGGTGAACTTGTCCTCTGTGCCCTTTTCAAAGTTATTTTTCTCATTGTCAAGTCGTCTTTCACCTTAGACAACAAAACAATCTTTAATTTCTATCAGATAAATCCTGATTAGACCCAAAATGCATAAAAGCTGTTATTAACTTCATTATGTATAGAAAACATGAGAAAACAAGTGTTATGTGCTGTAATTTACCTGTGTCTCCAAACTCCCCAAAGATGTTGATGAAAACATCTGCATCTGTTCCACTGCCTTTCACATCTGCAGTGAAAACACTCACTATATACTTATTATCTGGAAAATTAAGACCAAAAACTTTGATCAAGGTTTTTCAGAAAATGAACCTACCTGTATACAAACACCTTAAAATGAATCAACCACAAGCAACCACAGTTAGAATCAATATAAAAAGTATCTCAATAACATTTTATTATTATTCTTTAGTTTATTATTATTTTTATGCTGTGTATACATACATTTGGGAATGTCCATTGGGTCCATGCTACCCAGCAGATCTCTGACAAAGAGGCAGTCTCCCTCCACCTTACTGAACCAGTTGTTACAGGCAAAGTAGAACCTCAGGTGAGGCCGGATCACGTCCGTCACCACCACCCGGTCCAGGAACCAGTTGGCGCTCAGGCCCGTGTTGTCATGTTCAATCCTGAAGCAACAGTAGAATAACATCTAGACAAATGACTTAGACCTTTCATGCATACTATTTCAGGTAAGGAAATACATCTTTTTAAATCTGATTCAAGGCAAGCAGTGTTTGATCTAGGTTGATCTGAAAACTGTTCAAACCTGACCATTGTCAAACTGAAAAAATATTCTACAGAATGGATCCAGGATGAAATGTGTTAAGACTAAGGTACCTTATCTTTTTCAAATGTCCAACATTGTGAGTTCTGATTCTGAACACATCAGTTTTTCCTCTTTCGAATGCCGTGCGACTCCTGAAAACACAAAGTGGTCAGACTTGAGAGCGACCCAGAATTTCTGCTGTTAACAAAACCTTCTGCATGCACTTATTTATATTGAACCATTAAAGCTGTGCACACATTGGACAAAACCAGGCAGCAAATTATGTGATGTAAATTCTCCACGAAACCACTGTATGAGATTTGATCGACAATCAACAACACCACCGGCGTAAGGTAATACATACCTCTTCTCTGTGCTGTAAGAGAAAAAACAAAACAGTTTGAGTTCAAGCACACGAACCAATCAACTTAATCAAATATGGTGTCAAACTGGCTGAGGCTGTAACTGAGGCCTCTGAGCAGCGTGATAAAGGTGAAATAATTATTCTTTATTTGACCAAAGTCTTTACAATTGTAGAAGACCTTTTATCCAAATGGGATCATATTTGACGTACTTGCTGGCCAGGTGGACTTTGGGAGTGATGCCATAGTCTCCGAATAGAGTGACAAACACGTTGGCGTCGGTGCCTGCTCCTCTCTCATCGCCAGTGATGGTCACCACCTCATATACTACAGGGTTGAGTCACAACATACAATTGAAAGTGTTTCAGAAAGAATTGTACAGTTTGATTACAGCAGGAGAAAGATTAATAACCAAAGTGAGATTTTGCAAGTTTAAAATAATTGTTTATTGATTAAGGTAAATGTAGGTTAAGTGTAAGGAGGCATGTGTTTCTGTGTAGAGATCAGATAGACATTCAGAATGGCTTTACAGACAGTGAGAGCTACAAAGATACCTTAGAGGTAAGTGAAGCCCCTCATTAAGATGCACAACCAACCTTTGTAAAGGTAAGTGAGTGGCAGGTGTCATATAGCTGTAGGTTGAAGATAACATACTAACAAAACATGAATGGTACTTCACAGTGTAATGTTACCATGAACATCAAACCAAAACATGGGTCCATTACTGCTGGGGCCACTCATAATCCCATAATTGCAATCAACGTTTCACATCCCTTCCGGGTCTCAGGTGTCGTTCCTCAACAAGTTTACATACATTGATCTAATATTGACATGCTGTTTTAATTTCTAGGCTCGCCTTTAACATTTCACAGGTTGAGATAAAAACGTTGCACTCACTTTTCTTTTTGTGATACTCATCCTCGTAGCTCTCCACTTTTTCTGGCTCGTAGTTGCGAAGCTCGTTTTCATAGATTTCAACATAATTTTCAATCTTCTTCTTTTTCCCCTTGGTCTTCTTGGTGTCATCATCGCTATCTCCCTTATCTGAACCTTTCTTCTTCTTTTCTTTTTTTTTCTTTTTACCTTCTTCATCCCCAGCTGCATGTTCTTCCCCCTTTTCCTTGCTGGATTTTTTATCCTTTGGCATTTTATCTTTGTCCGAGGACCGTCTTGATCCTTTCTTAGTGGTCTCAATCAAATCGGGGAGTCTTTCTGCTCTCTTTTTCCCTTTGGATTCATTGTTGTTATCTCCAGTATCCTGTGAGTCATTGCTCAACTCATCCCCGCTCTCCTCTTTAGCTTTCTTCTTCTTCTTCTTGACCTTTTGATTATCCCTCCCTTTTTTCTTGGTGCTCCTCACATCTGCCTCTGACGTGTCAGAACTAGATCTTTCTTCATCGCTGTCTTCAAGCTTCTTCTTCTTCTTCTTCTTCTTCAATCTCCCAGCATACTCACTCGCCTGCTTACTTTTCTTCTTGGGCTTTGGTTCTTGATCCTCTGAGCCTTCGTCATCCACATCTTTGGTTTCCTCTTCTCCACTCTGTCTTGTTTTTTTCTTTTTTGTAGGCATCTTTAATTTATTTACTACCTTGTAACTGTAACCGATTCCTGTGTGTTCCGGTGAAACTTGATTAAACTGACCTGGGCCTGCAGGAGTGACCCGCTGGCGGGTCAGAGCTCACTGACTGTTGTTTGGCAGGCGGCTGGGGAAGCCCCTCTGTGCTGGTAACCCTGACCTACAGCAGCAGCAGCAGATGCTCTCACCTCATTAAAAATGATAATCATCCTGTTGTCACCTGACAAGGGTAATAAACACCCCCAGTTTAGAGCCGCTACAACATTCTGAAGCAGTATTTCAGTAATTCTTTAGACGATTAATACGGTGGCCCTGAAGTGCAATCAAAACAACATTTCACAAAACACTACAGCATTTCACAAAACGCTACAGCATTTCAGAAAACACCTCAACATTTCAACTTTTACGGAAAGGGTATTCCTTTAGGGAGAACACTTCTTGTTTGTGATTGGACAGAGCCAGCCAGAGAAGCACTGCTGTGATTGGTTGTTTTTGCTGCCAGTCAAGAAATGACGCTTCGAGATTGGTCAGCACCCAACAGCGCCACGTATTTCCTGTTTGGTACTATTCAGCTGTTTCTGCACGAATTTTAAACTGAGTTGGAAAGAATGGAAGAAGAGATGAAAATCTTAAGGGAATATTTTAACAACGGATATAGGCTACATATGATGTTATCCTCGACATGCTGTCAACCCATCACCACATCAACATGTCCCAACACATCAGCCGTTAGCTGTTAGCACACAGAGCTCACAGCTCCTCATATCTGTTCAGAAACTGGACAAAAGTTAAACATGTACAAACCATGGGCGAATACAGTCGCTGCTTTATTTAAAGGGGACCTATCATGCAAAATGCACTTTTGTACGTCTTTTATACATGAATATTCCAGGGAACTCACCAAGTGTCAGAAAACACAACCCTCTCTATTTTCCTCCATACCCAAATCTCTAAAAAAGGGGCTGCAACGGATCTGATAAAAACTGATCCAGATTTGAACACTTCTATGACGTCAGGACAGTGGCGCTACGGCTATTGGGCCAACTCCACCAATCAGGAGGAGACAGCCACGTCCATTGCCGTTCAAAAGCGCTGGAGACGCTGTAGTACATATGTCAGGCCTGTAGGTGGTGCTGTTCTCACAGAATCTACCCTTGCAAAAACAGGGGTAAAAAAGTGCAAATTGAGCGAAATGAGGCATGGCTAAAATGCATGATCTGTTTGGTATTTTGAAAAAAAAAAAGTATAAATATGCCTTATATAGGTATGGTCCTCCTACACTATATTATTATAATTAAGCATGATAGGTCCACTTTAAGTGTTTTGTGAAATGCTGTAGCGTTTGGTGAAATGCTGTAGCGTTTTGTGAAATGCTGTAGTGTTTTTTGCAATGTCGTTGTGTTTTATGAAATGTTGAAGTGTTTTGTGAAATGTTGTTTTGACTTGCACTTCAGGGCCACCGTAGATTAATTATCTTCCTTAAAGTGGGCCTTTATTAGATATATGCTTAAGTTTTATGTGTAGAATTGTAATGAGGAATAAAAAAGGGAACAAATGTAAACAGAATTGTCTTGGGCCTGCAGCTGCCCTGCACCTATGTGAATGATGATGAAATGTGACCAGGGCATTTATAAATGTAACATTGCTTTACTTAGATTTATCCAACAATAAATCCACATTTTTTTGTAAACATCAAAAAGAGGAGCATGTTTGGACATGATAAAACAACCGCCTTGACCGACATTTACTGGAGCCCTCTGGACCCACTGGCCAGCTCCTCTGGAATAAATACCGATTGATTAAAAAGTGAAGACATTTTAAAGTGGTAAACAGAAAAGTTTGGACTTCAAAGTCTTTTTTATAACTCGTCAAATGTCTACTGTCAACGCCTGCTATGGAGGTAGAGTTGTCTCAATATTATTTGTATTCAAATGTTCTGTCTAATCGTGTCACTATCAATCATTAAAAAGTGTATACATTAAGTTTACCTTCAGTAACTCATCAGCTAGTAAAAGATGTTCTAACGTAATCTGCTAATGTTAGATCCAAAGGTACGTTGGGGCTGGTAGAAAGACACATCTCCTTCTGAGCTTAGCTAACAAGTATCCGTACTACACAGAGCGGGGTCGTATAGTTGTAGGACTCTAGGCGGCGATCTCTGATGCTACAGCGTGACAGGCTAATCTGCGTTCGAGGGGCAGGATTAAGCAAAAGATCAACTATTTGTCTAATCCACTAAGAGGTAAACCCACTAGACGCTACCTCCATAGTACCAAATGGCTGACATACCATTTAGCAACTAGCTGGTGAACATGTTGGACCTCAAGTCCCTAGAGTGAACAAAACAAATTAATCAAATAATACTCCTTCAATACAAGGTCATGTCAGCAGTCACCATACATGTTCATGCTAATATACTTGTGAACAAAAACTAGTCTCTTCTACCAAACCTCTTTTTAATTACACTGTAATTTTAGTAGTCTTGGCCATGAACTGTAGTCTATCAAGTCAGAATAAATAGCCCCTTATTTTACTGGGATGTGTTTAAAGAGCCAATATAAAAGGCTTAATGGTGGCTTGGACTATTGTCTGTCGCCTATAAAAATGATGTACTTTTTTCTTCCCAGTGCTCACTGAGTTAGGAAAGCCTTTGTGTTAACACCAGTTTATAGCTCACCGGACCCGTTAAACCAAAGAAAGGTTGTTTAATTAAAGCCTGCAGTCAATTACAGTGTCCCAGTCAGCAGCAGCCACAAGCCACATTGGTGTGTTGTGCAGAAACAGCAGACTGTCAATTAACAGATGTAAAGAACGTCATTCCTACGATATTTTAAAGATGTTTACATTATTCAAGGCATACTGAGTGTAGATGCATGACAAATGTGCTGCTCTACATGTTTATACCAGCAGAGGTCACCAGAGTTATTAAGATGCCTATTTGTCTCACACCAGTTACACTCCTTTTATCTTTTATGTCCTCTGATATTATTTGCAAACATCATACGAAATATCTGTCTGCTTTTTTAAATCCACACTAGCTGTAAATGCACACTATGCCTTGCTTACAAAGCTGCTGCCACTATACTGCACAACCACAACCACAGCCGCACAATATTAAGCATTTCTAGAATGTGTCTCTTTTTATCCTTAAAGAAGAACCTCTTTTCACATCGCTTTACACACAAGGCATTTACTATCCTGTTTCTCTCATACACATGGCCCACTACAGCCTAATGACATCACTGACCCCAGGCAGAAGTAGGGGGGGGGGGGGGGGGGATGACTCACTACTATACGTACAGCCTAGAAGAAAACAGCAGGCAAGCAGTGGTGAGGCGAATCTCTCTCATCTGATATGATTCAATATGGGACACATATGAACACAGCAATGCAGCTTAATGCAAAAGCAGCAAACCCAGTCCTCGTGGTTTGTGCCCCTCTAATGATGAGGCTAGTTACAGAATGACTGGCAGCTTAATTAATGCTGGGTGCCTTGCCAGTCTTTTTCCATACAAAGGCTTGGTATCATGTACCAGACTAAGCAGAGATGCAAAGACAGATGCTTTTATGTAAGGGGTCAAATTAATTTAAACATGAGGAGGGGCAGCCTTTCATATATTATGTTCGGGTGATGACATGGTTCCCGCCTTTCAAAGTAAAAGCATGCAGTCTGGTTATGATTGTATAAATTATACTTTTTTGATAAAGGGGGGACCCTTATCAAAGTTAGTTCTGAACTTAAGTTCTGAACAAACTTTTCCTATAAGGACCCCCCTTACATTTGATATAAACTCAAATAATTTACCAAATACAACATTTGTAAACAAATAATCTTCAACACTTCATGGAACACAAACAGTTACCAAAAATATAACAGATAATTTCTATTTCTAAATCACAGAATGTCTTTGTTGCAGGATATAATCTATGCAACACCTTTAAGATAAAGAGCACACAGCATTAACTCAGTTAACCTTCCTGTGCAGCAATAAGTGTACCTGCTGGTAAAACTACTGAATCACAACTGTAAATAATATTAAAGATGAGTGCATACCAGTGTCATGAGTTATACCCGAGTCAATGCTGCTTAAATGTGTTTATTAATGCTCTTAATGTTTTTCGTTTTTGTAAGACACTTTGAATTGCCTTTTGTTGAAAGCTGCTCGATAAATACATTTGCCTTGCCTTGGACAAAAAGGTATTATTTTCTGTGAGTATTAAAAGGTTTTTCTTTAGGTCTGTGCAGCGCATATGGCTCTGGGTCTGTGGTATTGTTTGTGTAAACTTCCCTGCAGCCAGCAGAGGGAGACACCTTCATTAGCATTTGTATTTAAACTGTATTATTGTTTGCACCACTATATTGATTCAACAGAGGATGAGCAGTAATAATAGCATATAAAATACAAAACAAAAACAAAACTACGTTTAAACTGTGCTGTATGTATTAAAGGTTCTATATTTACATCCATTAAAAGTGTATTTTATATTGAATAGCAAGAGGCTTCTATAATTTCTAATGTGCAATTACATTTTAGTAGCACAGTGTGACAGACAGGGCTAAAACAACAACAAATAGATACTTCATATTATATACAAACTCTTTGTGATATGTCAACTTTTAACATAACCAACAGAATGGTAGAAAATACATACATTGTTATTACAAAATGATTATTAATAAGGCTTGAATCTTGAGTCTGGCCAAACGTTTTTGTCTCCACTTTTAGCAATGTTTCTCTTGGCTGTACAATAGACATTTTGGATGTGCTCAGCCACAATAATTTGAATTGGATTCATCTTCCTCTTCCTTGTCCTCTTCTTCCCCCTTCTGTTTCCATCCCACTTCCTCTCATCCTTACTCTCCCTTTGCCTCCCTGTCCCTCCCTCTTTGCAGTGCTTACATTTACTGGATTTATTTTGTAACTTCTAGTCACGATTTGATTTTAAAATGTCAAAGTATTCGTGCAGAATGTGGTGAAGGGTGTGTTTCACCT